AAAATGTCCCTGACCTATAGAATGTTAGTGCTTTGGTACTTGGTATGGGATTACCCTTGGGAAAAACAAGGGAACTCTGCTGATTTTCTGGTGCATTGTCCTGTGCATCTGGACCAGTACCTTTCCATGTAAGGGAAATCGAGAAAGGAAGGCTTTCATTGACCTTCACATTATGAAAAGGAATAAAAATAGCAAAATCATACCACATGCAAAGCTTAATATATGAACAATTCACAGTACGGACAAATGGTAAAGCAATGAAAACATCACAAAAGAAAACGATGAGTTAAATTTTAAGAGCCTAGACATCATATATATGTAATTAAAATATTATCATAATGCTAAAATTCATAAATCATAATTCCCAAAGATCAGTACAATTTTACAACAAGTATTAAAGACAATAAATAAAGAAGCTTACAAAACAAAATTGGCATTAGAGGATCCTTCTGAATCGAAAAGAAATGGAAAATAATCCAACATAAGACACTTTACCTCAAATTCTCGTACTTTAAAAGTTGGACTAAGAATTGCGCATTTCAACGCACAACCTTTTGCAACACACTCACTGGCATTCATTGTTCGCCTTGGCTCTTTCTTGAAAAACTCTGCCAATATTTTGTTTATGGCTGGGACACGAGAACCTGAACCAACCAACTCAACCACATGTACATTTTCAATGGTAAGACCTGCTTCAGCAACTGCCTTTTCTAAAGGTCCCTTCACACGTTCCAAAATTGGAAAACTTAGTAGCTCAAACTCATCTCTCTTCATGAAGCCCCGAACATCCTTCTCGTCCATCAAACACTCAATGTTGAGAGGTGCCTCAGCATTTGCACTAAGCATCTTCTTCATTTTCTCACAGGCAGCCCTCAACCTTATGCAAGCCCTGGCATTCTGGAAAACATCAATCTTATACTCTTCCTTGAACTTAGTAGCAAAGTGATGGAACAAAACCTCGTCAAAATCCTTACCACCTAAAGACCTATCATAAGAATGAGCCAACACTTTCAATTGCCCCTTCTTGAATCCAGCAATGCACACTTGCATGCTAGCATGTCCAACATCAACAAAAGCAACATTCAGTTGATCATTTTCTGGAAGGTCCGTTTTATAAATCCCAAAGGCCAAGGCAGTGGCAGTCATTTCATGAATCAACTGAAGCGGGTGTAGACCAACAATCGTGGCCGCATCCAACACGGCCCTCCTCTGCAAATCAGTAAAATAAACTGGAATTCCAATGCAACAATCAACAACAGCCGTATTGAGATTCTTCTCTGCAATTTCTTTTAGATTCGACAACATCATGCCAAACACTTGTGTAGGTGTAAATTTCTTAGCCTCACCCAAGTATTGGACGTGAATTAACGGGTACCCATCATTCCCCTCGGTAACAATAAACGACACTGACTTAAGATCCCGTTGCAATTCGGGATCAGAGAACTTTCTACCAATGAGTCTCTTAAACTGTGATATTGAATTCTTAGGGTTCATCATAGTGGAGGCAGCACCAGCAGCGCCAATGAAACGTTGCTTATCACCAAAGCACACAATGGCAGGCGTTTCACGTTTGGACTCGTCATTAAGCACAACATCAATCGCTCTTTGCCTCGCAACTGCAACCTTGCAACTCTCATTACCGAAATCCAAACCCACCACACTCATCTTCCTCAATCAAACTTACTCAAAAACAAATCTGAAAAAAAAAAAAAAAATCTCGTCGTTACACAAGTCTATAACACACAAAACATAAAAACAACAAACTAAACAACGTGCAGGAACAAACAATAGTTAATTTAATAACAGTAAAGGAAGTGACGATCCATCATGCAATAAAAGATGAGCAGTAGAAATCGAATCTAATCATTTGGATCAAAATTGGAAGATGAAATATGAATGACAACGATAGCAATCTTACGAGTGTAACGAGTTTGTAGTGTATCCACAACAAAGAAAGGGAGAAGATAAGAGATTGTGAGGAATTTTGGAGTTTTGATTTTAAGTTTCAGTGATGACCTTTTCCAATTGTTGTTAAACTACTAAAACTAGCTATTTACCCGCGCAGCACACGGAACATTTTAATTCATTAATAAATTTTATATATATTCATAACTCACATTATTTAGGATAGGAGACCAAGGCCACTTTTATATATATATATATATATATATATATATATATATATATATATATATATATATATATATATATATATATATATTCATAACTCACATTATTTAGGATAGGCCACCGTGGAATTTTTGGGAGATGAGGAATTATGACTCCAAATATAACTTATATTAATATTTTTTATTTTTGTTTCTTATTATTCATAAAGTTGTGTAGTTTTCATTAGTAGTTACGATTTTAAGTCACTCAAATGATTATTAAATATATATATATATATATATATATATATTCTAATTTTTTATTATTTATTAATAATATACTATTTGTCTTGAATGGTAAGATTCGTCACTCGTTAAGATACTATTCTCTTTTAACCTACTGAGACGTTTTTTAAAAACAAAATCATGACAGATAAGAGCTTCAAAACAAATAATACCTCGGACATGAGAATTGACATTATCATGTTATCATAACAAACATAACGTCAAGACACTCTTCTTCCTTAAACGGAACATTAGTGCATACTATGAGGTCGAAAATAAAGTCTCTTTTCCACTCATACATAACGTCCATCATGAGATAAAAAGTAGAGTCTCACTCCACTTGTATTTATTTCTTAGTCCTCAACTAGGGGTTTATGTTCCAATAGTTCATAAGTCTTACACCCTCCATTAAAGTGTCTTTTAAGAATAAAATCGTGATGGACGAGAGTTATAAAACAGATAATATCTCAAACGTGAGAATTGACCCCTAACAATATATCATATTGGACATGACATCGTGATTATCTCCTCAAATGTAATAATGAATGTTGACATAAAATATAAAAAAATATCTTATCGAAATGATTAAAATATCACAATTAAATTACTAATATATACTTTTGACACACATTATTTTGTGAAATGAATTTTATTTTTTTTATTAATATATACTTATCGCACATACTTTTTTTGTTGAGATTATTGATTTTATTTTATTTTATTTTTAAATTGCCTATACAATAAGAATTTCCCAAGAATTATTAATATAATACATTTATGATGTAAACATTTTTTTCATTCACCTTCCATTTTTTTTATTGTAGTATGCTGAAAATGTATTGTTTATGTAATGAAAATTAATTAAACTACATTTTAAAAATATCTTACCTATTAATTATATATAATCGAAAATAAATATTAATATAATAATGTATGATGTAAAGTTTTTCTCATTCTCCTTCAATGATTTATTAAAATATGATGATTTTTTCAAAAAAGTTTTATGATAAAATATAAATAAAATACATTGTAAAAAAATATTTTTATTATCATTATTATTTGTGTGCAACAAAAAATGAAAAATAAAGTTAAAAAATTCTTTTCATGTTTTACATTAAATTTATTGTAAACATGCATAATTAAATATCATATATATAATATAATATTAGACTCAATAATTAATAAATATATATATATATATATGTCTTTTTTTATTAAAAACAATTAATATTAAATAAAAAGTTAATTATTACAAAATTAATACTTTTATTTCATTAAATAAATTATTAAAATCATTGATATTACAACTCATGGATCAACCGTTATACATTTTATGCTTACTTATTATATGGACTATCCAATTAATGATAAATTTCATATTCAAGTTTTATTGTTTGTGAAAATCCCTCTATAGGAGAAAAAAAATCATAGATATTATGAAACTTATTTATAAAATATTTTATACATCTTATAAAATAATTCATATTATTTATATTAATAGAAATGAAGACTTTAAGTATATTTTTATTGCATGTATTTTTTTATATTATTATTTTTTAAATATTTTTTATGCATGATATTTTTTGTTACTTTTTTAATTACATTTTTTATTTTTTTAAAATGTATAATATTATATTATTATTTGTTACATAGCATATTTTCTCTTTTATAAATAATATAATAAAAATAATTATATTTTATATGAGAAAATATAATATTATTTATAAGCTACGACCTAATTAAAATTAAATGCTCTCATGATATAGATGAATAAGTAAAATAATATGTTTGAAAGTATTAAATTATAATTCTCACATGTGTTCTTACTAAAATGTAATAAAAAATCAAATATAAAAAAATCTTTTACATAAAGAAAAAAAAACTAAAGTAAATCAAAAAATAATTGTGTGACGTATATTTTCTCTACTTAATGTATATTTTATTTTGTACCTGTTATTAAATTAATAATTAGCAAATAGATTAGATTTGAATTTTTTAAAATTTATATAATTAAGATAATATTTTTTTAAATAAAATTTTATAATAATAATAATCTTTTCCACATTTTCACTTATTTTAAACGCGCATTTCTATTTTATTTCTTATGTATTTTAACGAAAGAAAATTAAAAGGTTATAACAAAATTTTCTTATTTTACCTCTGAAAAAAATAAAGAAATTTTAAAAAATACATATAAATATTTTATTATATAATTGATTATGTCCAAAAAAAATAATTAATAATTTTATTATTATTATAGTAAATAATTAAAAAGTTATATTAAAATAATAAATATAATTATTGTTTATTTATTCCTATATTTTCATTGATTTAAATAATATTATTTTATATTTTTTAAATTTTTAATTTCCCTATTTCACTAATAAAAAACTTAGTTTAATAGAAATTCATCCTCCTTCCACTTCGTATAAAAAACGTTGTGATACTCAAATAAATCTCTATTAAATATACACTTGAAAAAGTTCAATAATTTTTTTTTTGCTGAAACAAAAAAAAGTTGAACAGTTACTGCATTCTTGTAAATAAATCAGAAAGGTGCCCACGTTTTCTTATTAAGACGACCAGAACGAAACCTCGACTGGTAATTTAGGACGACCCAAATTCCAAGGTGACTGCTTCCTTTGTCTTCTTCCGCACCTCCCTTCCGATCCTAACAGTCCGAACGCTCCGCGGCGGCAGGGGCTTCTCCGGAGCAATCTCAGGCGGGTGGCACATGGTGGTGGCCACGTCCACGAAGGCGCTGAGAATGAACTTGTGCCACTTCTTCTGATTCAGATTCATGTGACAGAACAAAAGGTCATGCATGAAGTCCCAATCCACCTTTCCACACTTCTTCAATCTATATCAAAAAAATTAAAATTGAATGTATGCAATTTTTTGACATCACATCTAAGAAACAAAAACTGAAGACTGAAATTTCACATAAAGCAAAAATATTAAGGAAGAAATCCAATCCAATTTTATGTCACTGAATCATCGATATTTTAGCATACCTTGCTTCCACCATGGCCTCCATGGATCGGCGGAAATCCTCATTGGGTCTGATGGAGTTGGCCAACACCACCAAGCAGTCACTTGGAACCGGCGTTTGCTCCTCCACACCCTCTCTCTCAGACATAGCCCAACTGGATCCTGCTTCGGTGGTTGTGTCTGTGAAGAGGTTCAGTGGCGACTCATCGAACCTTGTGGACGAGTCAAATCTGATAGAGTCTAGTTTGAGAGAGTCTTTTTCTTTGGATTGATTGTTGCCGGTGGTTTCTTCACCATCGTCGAGGAATAGATTCTTGAAATTCTCGACAAGAAAACGGTCAATGTCTGCTAACATGGCTTCGTCGTCCTTGGCGTTGGTGGCAACAACGATGTTTTTCTTTTTGTCCATATCAAGAGAAGGAGTCCTAGGATGCTTGCACCCTTTGAGGACCCATTTCTTGGAGGCTAGTTGAATCATGGAACGTTGGGAAGGTTTGATCTTGGAGATGTAATTTCGAAGGGTTTTTGACATCCTCTTTGACATTTTGGTTTTATGCTCATTGAGGATAAATGGTTTTGCTAACTGGGATTTGATGGACATGGTTTGAAGAGAGTGAAGAGTGTAATTTATAAATAAATAGACTCGGAAAGACTGAGGAGAAATATTGTTTCGCGAATTAAGGTGTGTGTTCTTGTTTAATTGGATCCAGTGTAGTATTTGGTAAAAAACATGGTTTTTTATTGAAACTCATGATCTTCATATCAAATCTTATTCAAAGAAAGAATTCTATTAAAGACTTGTGATTTTTTTAGAAAATCTTGATTATATGCCATTTCTGCCTATTTTGATGATTATTTGGGAGATGTTTTTTTTTTCCTCACTTTTTGCAAAGATTTATTATAATATTGTTACTTAACCTTTCCTACCAAATTAGTCAACTTTTGAGACAGTTTTTTTTTTTTTTTTTAAATGTATTTGTTGTTTGGGAAAATGAATTGAAAAGAGTGGGAGAGGATAAGAAGGAAGAACATTTGAACGCGTGATAGTAACCATTAATTGCAAAGAAAGAAAAACATAAACTTACAGTTATATTTTAATGATTCATTAAATATGTTAATGAATACAGTATATAAATAATGTTTGAATATTTTAATCAAATATTTTTTTTTTGTTTTTTAAAATAATTATTATTTTACAAGAAGAAAATCTATCAAGAAACCTTCGTCAATTTAATTTACGTCACATAATTTTTTTTATTTAAACTAATATATTTTATGAGCTTTTAAAATTTGATTTACCGGAACAGTCCTATTTTGAAATGTTTATAACTCATCCATTTAAAAAGTTATTTTTTTATAAGTTTGGTCTTTAAAATTAATCTCATTATATTTCGAAAATAATTTTTTGTTATTCATATTCAAAATCTTAGTATTTAATTTATTTTTTGTGTAAAGTGTTTGTAAGGTTCATAAAATTAAGATAAACAACCAATTTAAGTAATTAACGCATATTGTAAATACATTTATTAAACATGTAGAGTCTATAATATTTATAAAACATTAAAACAATTTTATATTATATTATTAAATAAATTTAGTCTGATGCATAATATAATGTTTAAGGATATATGATATCAACTTTCAGATTATATAATTACAAATATCCGATTTTAACAGAGTTGTTGAATAATATAAACATATTAATTGTTAAATAATTAAATTTTAATATATAGAGAAAGAGTTTGAATAAAAATTAATATAAAGTGTTTTTTTGGGAATTTTTAAATTTTAAACTATAAATAAACTTTGACTATATAATTTTTATTGCAAATATGTAACTAATCTATAAAAATTAGTTTTTTTAGTATCAAAATAGTTAATATTTTTTTATTTTGATGCAGTTTCAGGAATAAATGTTTATTTAATTGTAATTTGATTATCTATCATCATATTAATTGAACATTTTATTTTTACCAAGACTACAATTTTAACAGTTTATTATTATTTTTTTTTCAATTCAACAAACATTTCATCCGAAACTAATTAATTATTCTGACATTAAATCATTCTAATTAATTACATAATTAAAGAAAAGAGGGCAACATTGGTCAATGGTCTTAAAAGTACTTGTCAAATTTTTTAATTGTTTTTTTTTTACTTCAAAATCATGGTTTTTATAATTTACGTGAACCAAGCAGTCAAACACAACTTACAAAGTCAACTACAAATCAACACGAGTTGCCTATTTTAAAATGTAAGATTTTTTTCAAAATATTTTAGAAAATAAAAGGTAAAGTATTAAATTATAAACAAAATAAAATATAAAATGAATTATGTTAAATAGAAAATTGATCATTAAAATTTTAAATAATACTATATATAATTTATTGCAGTATTATTTTTAAAATAATAGAATTCCTCTCTATTTTTCAATAATTAGTTATTAATAATTTATTATTTTAATTTTGTTATATTCATTTTAATGTATAAAATTAATAGGGGGAAATTTAAGACTTTTTTTTATGTATAAAAAAGTTTTTAATTTTTTATTTATTAATAATTCAAAAAATTATTTGTGAAAATAGTTTTAATTTTTTAAAACTAAAAACTTTAAAAACTGATAATTTATTTATTATTTAAATATTTTAATTAATATTATTTATATTTTTACCCATTATTTAAAATGTTTTTGAACTTTGACGGTAATTTTTATAGTTGTCGATATCAATTTTATTTCAGGTAATAAACTAGAATTATTAAATTATTAATTTTTATTTATTTTAAAAATAAAACATTTAAAATTAATCTTTCAATTATTTTAAAAAAAATTAAATTAAATTAAACAAGCCCTTATTTTGACTTATTTCCTTTAAAGATAGCATACATTTTTACAAAAAAATAGTATCTTATGTTTAACATACATTTTCGTGAGGGATGAAATATTACATATAAACATTTGAAAATAATTTTAGTGAGTACGTGACTATTAATTTGAGAAAATGCCTTGTCAAACGGCGTCGTTTTCGGAACTGATCCTGGGAAACGCTAAAGATTCTCGTAACGGTATTACCAGAAACACAATTTCAGAAGCGCGGGGAGAGAGAAAGAAGAGAGAGAAAGAAAATGGCGAGCAACAATGGAGGGAAGGAAGAAAGAAGAAAGAGAATTGCAGAGAGAGGTTCGGATCGCATGGCCCTGATAACGGGTCGAATCAACGCGCTTCCTCCAACACCATCTCCCGGGTCCTCCCCAACACATCGCAACGTTCCTCGACATGCGCAGTCCATGTCCCTTGCTCCCGGTTTCGATTCCCCCTCAGAGGTGGACAATGACCCCCCTCGCCGCCAGCGTCCTCAGTCATTGTCTGCATTTGGCGATTACAACGAAAATCGCACTGGTTCGTATTGCTACCTTGTTCTCCCATTTTTATTCTTGTTGGTTCATTCGACACTATTAATTTTATAAAGGGTGTCGTAAAATTTTTGAAATTTGTCTTTTTTCGAAGGTGTTTGATTAAATCGTAATTTTTATTTATAGTTTGTTTTCCATTTCATTGAGTTTGCTTCACTATGATGCTTGATTGGAGGTTACACAATATTAGGATGAATAGACAATTCATTTTCATTCAAATATATGCTATGTTTTGATACGTAAGAGAAAGTTGTTAATTTTCTAACAACTAATTCAAAAATAATACATAAGATAGTTTCTAATTGAGTACGTGTTTAGTTTTCCCTTCCATTCCAGATCCGTGTTTGATACAAAATCATGTTAAAGATACTACAGAAACAATTATTAGTTAATTTGAGAATTCAATTCTAGTAGTATTTAACGTGTTTCTAAACACTGATTGGAGAGCGTAACAACTTTTATATTAACAGTGTATAAAAATTAAGTTCTTGTTTTTTATGATTTATAAGAAGTCTGTGCCTGAAGATAAGCAAAATGTTGCGTTGTTGGTTGATACTATGGCCAACAACAGTTAATCATGGATATATGATTGATGTTCTATACTCATGTGTCAAGAATAAATGGAAAGAGGAACAATAATAATAAGCAGTAGAATGGAAGAAGGAAAATTTGAAAAAATGACAACTTGAAGGAGAAAAATGAAGGTCCTCTCTCTCTTTGGCCATCATGAGGGTATTACCCCGAAAAATGTAAATATATGGTTATGGAATAGTAAAACATGTAGGAGAATCTATTTTGACAATGATAACAACAAACCTTCCAAGTGACGAGGTTTCAAGTTTTAGCAGTATCTTATAGGAATCCAACTCTGCAACTATGTAACTGGTGTGCAATATTGTTTTTCTGTTCTCCTTTTAGCTTCACCAATTCACCGTCACAAAGAAACAATATACTTTTCCGTTGTATTCCTCTCTTAGCTAAAATATCTCTGTTAACAATGCCATTTTCTTGCAGTTTCATTGTTTTATTGTCAGTATTTTTTTTATGCTGGAATCGTCATGTTGCTTATTTAATTGGATTTATTGGGATTTTCAGGCGGTGCTGAAGATAAACGTAGTCAATTTCTCTCTGCATCAAGGCTAAAACATCAGGGAGGATTTAGGTATTCACACTTGGAAAATATGAAGTTCCCAACTGAAGATGAACCTCCCAAACATGATTCTGATCCTATTACAGAAGCAAACAATCAAGTGGCTGAGGATCATGGTGCCAAAATGAAACCACCTCCTGTCCCGACAATAGCTAAAAATCCGGCACAAGACACACAACAATTAAAGCAACCTCCCAGGCATAAGGCTGCATTATTCGCTTCAAGAGAGCTGAATTACTGCATTTTAGCTTCTGAGCCCACACGTGCTCTCAGTTCTCTGATAATAGCATTGGTGGTAGTTTTTTATTACTTGATTTCAAAGAGTATCTTAGCCTCAAGGCCTCTTTACATACTTTTGTTAACTGATGTTACAATTGTGTTTGCTCGCCTCTTCGGTGGAAAGGCTATTGTTGTGGAAGAAACTGAGGAAGAAAAGGGTAAAACTCCCGGAGATGGACACAGTTGGGGAGATGCTGTAAAGCTTTTGGAGAGGGGTTTAGTGGTTTACCAGGCCATTAGAGGTGTTTTCATAGATTGCAGTATTTATCTAGTGGTTGTTGTATGTTGCACCTCCTTGATGTAGTAGCTCTGGCTGCTTAAGTTTGAGTACTTGCGATATCCCCACTTCCCCTTCTTGGCAAGTATATGCTCCCAAATAATTTTGTTGTAAATTCTTATTTGCTTTTGTACTTTTGAGGACTATCATTTAATTTGAATTCAGAGTTGATTTAGGCATATTATCTTTCTATCAAATCTTTGCTGAAACCATTATATATATTAGTCTACTAAATACTAATTTAGCATATTTGATACATTTTATGAATGTCTGAGAAGAACCAAAGACTTGTCCAATATGATGCCTGAATGATGCAGTGCAGCCACACAGTATAATGGAAGCCAACATGAAAATCATTGCTACAGGATATGAAGTTTGAACAACCTGCACACTACGTATATATATTATATTAGAATAAGTGATAGTTAACTCAAATGACAGCTTTCTGAATAAAAATATCATACGGTATTAAGTTAGTTTCCGCTGACCACAAACCGTAATATATAATTAGTTTATTGATTTTATTAGTTGAAAGAGGAAAAAGATTTTATATTGACATTGCATGCCCTACTAAACTCCAACTTTATTTGATAGATCATTTGAATATGGCAAAGATTATGACTTGCTTGGTGAATAATTACGTTCACTTTTTGGTAATGATAACAAAGAACCCTGCACTACTCTGAAAAGTTATACTGTATGAATAGACAACGATATTTTCACAGTTGGGTTTTCCTTGTCTAAGTTAATGGTTAAAAAAAATAACAACTGTGTACATCATGTAAAGACAAAATTTCAACGATGAAAATATTACAGTATATATATATATATATATATATATTCACACATTGTAGCCCTTATAATTAACCAATTTGTTCCCGAGTTTGGAGATTTCAGAATTTTTCTTACTGCTACTGGACCAGCCGAAAGTGTTATGACTCAACATAAAAATGTATATAAATTCTGCTTCTAATGTTTGAGCACATTTTTACAGATTGATTTTATAATATTTACGAAGTTACAATATATGACCAGATATTGAATACTTAAAACAGAAGAAGAATGAAGGTGTCTGGAGTAGCTTTGAAAAAGTTAGTCCGAATAAATGCAGTAGAGATAGTAGAAAATGACATATCGGAGGCCTATTGGAACAAAGGCAAACATCATAAATATTCCACCAAATATTTAAATAATTCAAATTTAACTAAATATAACATATTTATTTATTTGATATTTGATCCATGTCTTTAGAGTAAAAATCTGATTCAGATATAAACTGGACTGACTGATACTACAAGACCTTGTTAGAGATTTTTTAGTTCCTAAACAAAACAGTAAATAAAAATCTGTTGGAGATATTTCTTGAGTCATTATCATTCATTTCGGAATAGATTTTTAAAACATCAATATTTCGAAACAAATGAGAAATGGTGAAAAATGACAAAGAAATAGTTAAGAAATGTGAAGTTGGCTTCAAACCGTGGCATCTCTAGATGAGCCACAGGGCTGGTCCTGTATGATATTCAAGGGTATGTAGGTTTCTTTGCAATTGAGGGAATCCAAATATGTTTGTATTTTACACACATCACAATCAAGCATGCCACAATCAATCACCAAAGTGAGTGATTCCATCAATAGAGGATGCGTGGGGCTTAGAGTAGATGCCCAAATTTCATCCTTCCCCAATCAATCAATAATCATATTCATGGTAACTTTGGTGGATATGAGCTGCCAATTATAATGGCAAGAGAGCCAAAACTATTGCTTTTTCTGTTGCATTTATTGAGCTACCTTTCGGTTGAGTGCTTTTGCTTCTTGCACCTAATGCTATTATATGATCAATATCAGTGTGTCACTAAGAGATACATACTACACACATATGTTGTGAATTTATGGAGAACTCTGGGGAGGATTTGTCTCCAAATTTGGAAGCCCCTCATTTACCTACTTGATGGGTGAACAAAAGACATTTGGGGTTAGACAGTTTGGTCCAAAGGATATAGGAAGGTATGGTAGCACATGGACAGGCATTAAATTTCATGTGCCCCACTGCACCAGTCTGAAATGTATCAGAGATGGGTAAGATAAAAGGGTTAACGAATTAGGATGCAAGAAAATGGCTCCTGTAGCTTTTACTATTCCAGTTTTTTATCCTTTTCTCCCTGGATTAGTTTGTGACATTAAATAGAAGACTCAGATTCCGTTGAAAAAGAAGCTGAAGAAAAAGAAAACAGATGGGTGGGAAGAAAGAGGAAATAAATTCTAAGAGGGACAAGTGAAAGAAGGTTGGATAGCACTAGCACATCATGTTCACAGAGCACATGGTTGGTTGCAGTTACTTTTTTATTTCTGGATAGGCTGATGTTATGGTCCCTTAGTACCAGGAGTTAGTGGACCACAATTCATGTTGGTTAATGATTTTGTTGGTTGATCAACAGTGGGGGGATTTTGTGCAAGAGAAATAATGATATCATATTTTGTCACTATCTTGTAATATTAGAAGATAGACAAGTTATGAGGAAAATAGTGCTCAACCTTAAGCACATAAACTCCTAACAAGAACATCAAAAAATTATTCTCAAGTTCACTATCAGGTTACAGGGGACACAAGTGGATGATAGTTTGGGTTTTTTTAAACATATGACAAGGGTTTGGTTCTTATGTGAATAAGATTAATATTCATTTTCTCAAACAATTAATCTCAACTTTTGGCTATAAAAATATTGTTTCCAGAAAGCAAAAAAAAAAGAAAAAAAAAAAGTGTGTAGTAATGTCATAATTTTAAGCAATTAGAGAAAATGTTTCAGCTCTGGGTATAATGTACTGCTTCTTTATTGCTATAGTGAAAGTTGTTTTATGCATATGAATTGACACTGCCCTGACTCAAAAGTTTTAGTTAATGAGTCAAAAGGTCCATCCAAACACCATGGAAAGAGATTCTATCATCAAGGTCTGTTCCATATATGAAAAAGGGACACGAGAAAGAAATGGAATTATGAGTGAGAAGATAACTTCTACAGCATCTAAGAGTCAAAGAGATTAACTAATATGACTAGACGTCTCAAAATTTGTACACTGCATCATAATTCATCTGAAAAAAATGAAAATGAGTCCAAAGGAACTCAAAACTACATCATGATACTCTTATGGTTTATCTCCAATTCTCCATCACAACCCATCACTTGAATTTTTGCAAGGATCTTGGAGGGTGCTGCAAATCTAGCTGAGAATGAGCGAGAAACATTATCAGGGTCGGTGGAATAGCCATCATCAAAGTTGTGTAAGTAGGAGGTAGGATCATACTGGACATGGAAGACGGGTGAAGGACTAAAGAATCTCCTCCTCTCTCTCTTGATCTTCCTCCATAATGTTTTCCAGCTTCCCATCTTCAATCTGGTCACAACTTCGTTGACACGCACAATGGGATCGTAGCCAATTCTCTCATAATTTTGCCAACTGCTGTTGCTTATGGTGCTGAGACAGTGACAATTTTCAAGGTTCATGGTGTATAGAACCAGCACAGATAGAGAAGAGAACCTTGGGAGCATAAATTGGTTTAGGGGACCAAGGTGTTTGAAGTGCATGCACTCATGCTATTTATATAATGACAACAACATAACCATCCTTTTATCAACTCATCACCACCACCTCAGCACTGCATGTACTTGCAATAGGATAGGGTCAAGAAAAAGAGTGAAAAATACTATAATCCAACAATAATAATTCTTCCTTCTGAGGTCACCAATTATATGACTTTTTGAGATTGTTTCAATGCCATGTTTCTATCTAGTCACATGGGCCATGGTGTATGGTTTGTTCAGTAAGTTACTTCGGAGAAACATAAACACTAAACAAACAAAAAATTAACTATTTTATGTAGAGAAATGGTTGATTGAATTGAAACACCTAAGTCCTATCCTATGTATTTGATGTGCCACAATGTTATAAACAACAGATAACCCTGGAAATAAGCAACGATGTGAGGAATTTTTATTTGTCTTTTTGATGCACAAGTTTTTTGGTTCAGTGTAAGACTATAGACCACCCTATAAATAAAGGTTGGTCGGTGCTAAGTGTTTGATTTTGGGACTTAATTAATAATTTCAATTTTTAAAATGTTTTTAACCCTTTAAAATATGGTTCTTTGGTTTGTACAATGGTTTCAATTTGACATGCTGTGTTAAAGTTACTGTGTGCCACTCAAACCTTGTCTTTTTGGCCCACTCTATTCCCTGATTAATTACCCTTTTCCTACCTTAATTTTTGTTGGTCATGGCCCAATGCTGCTTCTTCCAAAAGTTATTTTATCTTTGTTTGGAAATAAGGGGAACAAATGAAGTTGAAGAAGAAAAGTAAAACCAAAATTATTCATGCACAAAAAAGAGTTACCTCATAGCTCTCAAAAGTTTGCTGCACATTCAATGAGAAAAAGAGAGGATAAAAAGGGAAAAAGAAAAAAAGAAAGAAGAGAAAAGAAACAAAAAAGAACAAGATGATGAAAAATATTTTATTAAAAACCCAAGTAAGAGAGAAGAAAACAAATTATGGCACGCTTAATTTTTAAAAATATTTTATTATTTATAAAAATAGAAAATTAAAATAATATTTTAAAATCAAACTAGTCTTTATTTTGACAGAAAACAAGGGTCGATATATCTCAACAGCCACCACTCCATGCCTTACATACACATCCTAACTCAAAGGAAAATTATTAGCTTTGTTTGGAAATAAAGTAGGACTAAGAGGTTGATGAAGAAAAAAGTGAAACTGAGTTTATTCTTTCAGAAAAAGGAAAAAAGTTATCTCACAATCAAAAGTAAAGTGGATCATTAATTCAGAAGGGGAAAAGGTGAAAAAAAGAAGAAGATGAATTTGTGGTTTTGAATCTTTTTCTCCATGTACATATTTCTTATTTTTAAACTAAATATCCAAAAATAGAAGTGAAAATTAAAAACCTGATCAGTTGAGAAGACTTGTTGTTAGAGAGGTTGAAAACCGAACTTATTTAGAAAATAAAATAAAGAATTGATAAAAAAAAAAAGACAACCAATTAAAATTGAATATTTTGGACGTGTTTAGATTTTTTTTTTTTTCAACTAAACTAAACTATTGGGTTTAATTTGCAGTTTAGAACGTTGAAGTAAACCCAAACCAAATAATAAATATATTTATTATTAAACTTTTTCTTTTTCTTTTATAACAGACACATGGATCGTACAAAGAACATGGTGTCATGAAGTTCGATGAAAGTACGGTCTTCTCCTTTCAATATTCACTAATAATTACAAAATCATTAATTTATAATAATAAAAAAAGTGAAAAGTTTACATTATTAAAAAAAAAAAAAAAGGTATTTTTCTACAACATTTATAATTTGGGGACTCTTGGTAGGTGGATAATGAAATCCTTGACTAGATAGCAGAAAATTATACAAAATGGGATGTGAGAAGAAAACATGGTTATTGATGATTGAAGGTTGAACCAATGTTCCAATAATGATCACAATAATACAAACTTGAATGTGTTTCACATTGGTGGTTCTTCACATTGATTCTTTCAAACTTGAGACTTTTGAGGCTTCTTTCACTTCAGTGATGAGTGCAGAGTGTTGTTTGTGGTCAGTCCTTGAGTTCATAATTGAAATGATAAAAACAGAGTGAGTGAGTAGAAGGGAGTCGTTTGCAAGGCAAAGGCATAGTCACAGACTGTATTACGACCCCACTAAGACCAAATAATTGTATAAAAAAAGCTTACCTTGTAAATACAGTGTTGAAGAAGGATTGAATGGTTTTTTGTATCCACCAATATCTCACATGCCAGTATTGTCTGTTCGCATATTCAGAGACACACCATCACCAAAATCAAAAAACATAAATCACGTGCACATGGTAATGTCCAAGTTCTCCATGTGAAGATCATGGTAATGTCAAAGTTTTTTACTTGGGTCAAAGGCCAAAAACTTCTAGAACATCAAATTCTTAACTATTTCGAAATATATTTATGTTATATTACCTTAAATGCGACAGGGATGGAAATGGCGAAAAGGCCGTATTCACCAGCGACCTCGATAACGGTGTGAAAGTAGACCTTACCCTTCGCAATGTCCTCCAGCAAATGGGCCACCTCGGCAGATGGAAGCCCACTAAACTCCAGGTCACCGTCCACGTTCGTTGCGGCCCAACTCCGCACGTGCCACCCCTCCGATTCCACGTGACCCATCTTCTTCCCCCGGTATTTCACTCCCACATCCACATCCATCAGGTCCAGCCAGTACATGCCGCGGTTCATCACCTTCACCGACAGCGATATCCACACGTCCGCCCCCACTGGCGGCAGCGGGTGCACCTTCACGCGCTTCACGTGCATCCGCTCGATCTTCATCTCCGGACTCCACGGCCATAACACGAACAAGCACGCCGCCGTCACCACCATCGCCACCGTCCACTTCAAGCAGCAAAATCGTCTTAAAACGACGCAGTTTGACGGAAATTCCTTCGCCATTGCTTTAATTTAATCCAACTTCGCTTCCTAACTCTACGTGCGTTGGGAGGTTTTGTATTGGAGAAGGTACGTTATTTACACGTACTGCTGCTGCGTAGGTGAAGGGTTTTACTTGCATTGCATGTTTTGTTTGATCTTAGAATGCATGTCTTGTCTGAGTGCGCGAAATTCTGGTGGACTTTCCTATTGTTTACACCTTTCCTGTGTTACCTGTTTGTTTGCGTTAAAATATTGCGTTCATGTCTTGAAAATGTCTCAGAAAACATTGTGTCATGTGGTGTTCGATCAAATTAACAAATTCAACTTCAGCAAATAAAGAAATAACGAATTCAATTTAACGTCAAAGACTAAAAATATCAATAGAAAATTAAAACTTATTTAACCTTGACTGAAGTACTTTACTTTACTATACTATTTTTCCTTCTACTTTTATAAAGCAGAGGGTGTTATGGTAAGAAAGTTATTTTAAAGAGGATGATAATTAGATTGAGTAAATTCCCGAAACATGGTGGAATCAATGTCTTATTTATTGACAGACAACAAACGGGGAAATTGAGAGTAAAGGCAGCTTGTCTTGTCTTTCATAGAGGGAGACGAGAACGGTATTGTGAGACACGACAGACCTAATTAGGAGTGACAAATAGATTAAATTGGACAAATTTGATGGATTGGATTAAAAAAATTATTCACCAAAATTTTAATTTAATGAAAAATTAACTATTACGGTGTCTTATTAATCAAACTTTAGCTCCGTTAAGACATGATAATGAGGTGGGTCATGTAAGGTTTCTCCTGCTTTAGATTTTCTTAATCATCATATTTAAATCATGTCGGGATTAAGAATTAAAAATTGGGTTCTCATATCTCTCTATTTTAGAATTTGGATTTCCTGTCCTGTCTCAATGTAATATATATAGCATAATTATAATGCGTATGCAACTTTTGATGTGTATGAGGAAAAAAAAGAAAAAAGAATCGAAGATAAAAAAGAATATTTTTAAGTTTATATTAAATTTAAATATGGGGTGGGATGAGATAATCCATTTTAGATAAATATTTATATATTCAAATAAAAAATTATAATTAAAAATATTATATATTTTTTGTCATATTATTAAAATATATAAATATATTATAATATTATAATTTAAAATATAAATATTAATTAATTAAATTTAAATTATTTATTATAATTAATTATTTTAATACATAAATATAATAATTTTTAATTTATCTAATAAAAATATTAATTAATAAATAAAAATTTAAAAATTATTCATATAATAAAAAATATATTTAAAAAAATACATGTAAAAAAGTATATAAAAAAAATTTAACGGATTAATCTGTCCCAGGACGGAATAAGATCTGTAACTGACTGTTATGTATCACTCCCCTCCATTCTAGAGTTAGAGATGGTGTAGATTAAAATTAGGCGCACTAACCTGTTTTACTGTAATAATTATCATCCTTAGTGTTGTAAAACATAATGATGCAATTTTATTTTCTCTCTTTCACTATCATTTATAAATTGGGCTTTATGAGTTTTTAGGGTTTGAACTGTGTATCCCTACAATTTGGGCTGCAACAGCAAGGATATGCAATCCAAATCTAATTTAATACACAATGAATCTCACATACGGTTTTTTTTTTTTCACATTGTAATAAATTCTAATTTTATCAAATCGTCATATTTAATATTAACAGGAAGTTTATATATCATATTAACAGGAAGTTTATATATCATATCTATTTATTCATTCTTTATATAATTACACATTTGATTTATATATGAATAAATAAGAATATATATAAGATTTTAGAGTTTTTTGAACAATTATATATAAGATTATATTTTTTTTTCCTTAATATATAACTTAACAAAGAAAGAAACGGAGATTGTATTTCTTGCAATGCAGATAGCGTTAATCCTAAAATTGTTGGCTACATGTAAGAACTGGTCCACGAGAGTGGTCCTATTATCTGATATAATTACAGTTATACATACAACAACAATGTGATTTGAATCCTAAACATGAGATATGGAGGTAGAAATAATAAACCTGAATGATGAATCAAAGAAACTATCTTATGTGTCGAGATGCTGAGAGAGGACACCACATAGAAAAATGGCCTAGAATAAAGAGAAAGAGAATGTTCTGTGTGGTGGTGGTGAGGTGATAATGAAGCTGCATGTTTCTTATCTCTGTCTGAGAGCTAAAAGACGAGCTCTCAGTTCATCATAATCGGGTAGATTTGGATGCACACGCCATGCACCACCCCTCATTCCTGATTCCAAGGAAATGGTTCGTGTATGCCCATTTGATGTTACCACTGCAGTGGTGGGTTCGGAAGGAAGAGATTTTCCTCTGACATGTGAGCTTGTACGCCTTCTGTTTTGCCCGGTATCATGTTCTGGTTGTTGGGAAGGATAACGTTTTTCTTTGCCTGGTTTCATTCCACCTGAATCTGGTGCTTCAATGTCAGCATGTGTTGTTTTCTTTGAATCACTTTTGTTTGTCTTTTGTTTGAGGTATGGTGGTGGAATGCGCCAATAGGAAGAAATTGACCTCTTGGTTTCAGCTTCATCCTCAGATATGCTTTCCAATGAACTTGAACTACTACCCTTTCGGCCATTGAGGGATGACAGACTTGTTTCATCATCACTGCTACTGCTTTGGTGTATCCATGAGTCATCATTTAAATCCTTCCTTTCTAGATGTTGGTTGTTTCTTTCCTTTCCTTTTGATTTATTCAAGTCTTCCCTAGGCATAGGCTTCTCCTGAAACCATAACCATTGAATCCATATCTTACAACAATTTCTCTTATGTTGAAGGATTAAAACATATAACTTATCTTGAAGGGTTAAAATATAATTTATCTAATTACAATTCAAATTCATATTTTGGCTGAAATAAATGCTCTACTGATTGCATATCAATCAAGTAAATTATTCTAAGACTTACTTCACATAATGACGACTGTGTATAAAGTCTTTCTCTCAAAGAGTTGCCATCCCATTTTATAGAGAACTCTTGTGCTATATCATATAATAGTCCAATCTTCATTTCTCTTGTAGGCGGATCTCGCCTCAGCCTCTCAACAAACTGAGGAAAGTAATTATTAAAATAAGTTTTAAAAGCAAAGATGTTCTGAAGAAAATGCAGTAATTTGTCTAGTAATCAACAGTATATATGAATGTGCATTTGTTATAAGAGTGGAATCGTTGGTTTACCTCTTTGTTTATATATGGTTCAAGAGAATTCCCAAATTTCTCTGTAAATAATGTTCTGAGGTCACGCAATTCGGGCAGATCAGCAAATCTTGCAGCAGCATACATCAATGATGGCACAGCTTCCTTGCATTCATCAGGGCAATCCCTATTCAAGAAAATTTAAAGATTATCAACATAATTCATTTTAATGTCCAGTAGCTATAGACAGAAAGAATAAAACAGAAGTGATTGAAGCAAGACAGATCTAATTTAAATTAAAGGTTCAATGTTCAGTTCATAAACCTCTCAATGTCATAAATTTAGTTGCATTAATCTTTTGGAGATGGTATTGGTTAAATGTGACAAAATTTAGAGCATTTGCGTTCTTATTGAAAACTTCTTAACATAATTTTTATAGGAATTTTTAGGATTTTGTTTACCTATATATATAAAATATTTTCCTAAATATATATTTTATTTATGTACTTTTTATATATAAGATAAAAATATGATAAAATATCAAATATTAATAATATCTTAATCATAATTATCTAAATCAAAATAATAATCTAATATTTTCTCTACTTTTTCTTAAAAGATAATAAAATATCTTAATACTTAAAATAAAATAAAATCTCATAATACCTAATTTAAATAAAAGATAATAAACAAGTTTTCTTATATTAACAGTGATTCAACATGTGACCAATGAGAATAATTTGAATAGATGATTAAAAACAGAGAAAATCATGCTATTTTGTGCATGTATGGGAAGTGAGAAATAAAGAACAGTATTCCAGTTCATATATAGAGAAGCATACTGCTGCTTAGTTAGGTCTTCAACATGATCTGATATGCACCCAACAAACTTTTCAATGAGTTCATAGCAAGATAACATTTTCTGCTCGAACAGAAGCCCTTCAGCCTGCTTCAAACACAAAGGGTCAACATCTGTTGTAACTTGAACGCACACGACAAAATGAATAAATACAAGACTTTTACCAATCTTTTTTAGAGTTTTACTTGAAAAGTGATTGCATCTCAGATCACATCTTTATTGGAAAGTTAACTATCTAATGAAATGAGTAAACATCTGAAAAATTGAACACTATAATGCAAATACTACCCTCATGTATGCATCATATTCAAGGCCACTCCTAAGAAGCTCTGCGATGTCACTCCTCAAAAACTTCTGAACTGCTTTCTTCTTCTTCTGTATTATCTCTAGCCGAGTCTTCACAAGCTTCACGTAAGACAAGCTGTTTTTTTTTTTTCCAAGTGGAAAACAATAAAAAAATTAGAAAGAAAAAAAAAATGCCCCAGAAAAATTAGAGTAGGAGTAGCAGAGTCTAGGTTAGTGTTGTACCATTTTGAATAGAACCTGGGCTTCAACAGCCACCGAAACATTTTGTCCTAGAATCTGAAAAGACCAAGTTGGCTGAAAAGGGAAAATGGCTTTTTCTGGGTATCCTATATGCTATGTCCAGGTTAAATATAACTTAAAATATAGAATGAAGATCAAGTTACGCCAAGAATCAGCATTGACGAGGCCTCAAAGAAAAGAAATGGAGAAGCTCCTCGCAAGAGGTAAAATCAGAAACCACACTAAGAAAGAGACCACAAAAAATTATCCTTAGAGCTAGGAAATCTAGAGAGAAAAATGGTATCTGAAGTCTGCAACATAAACCAATAATAAGGCTGAGCAACTATGATGGAACATAGAGACAGGTTTAAGTAATGATTATAAAGCCTTATATATATGTGGCGCGCGTATTTTGTACGATGGGGTTAATAATGGAAGTTCTAAGAGTGTCGACCAAGAAACCAAAAATTGAGGCCAAAAAGACAGTGGCAGATTAGGTAAAAACGGTCTGGAAGTTTGGATGACAGTTAAATGGTGATGAGAGAAAAAAAGAAACAGTTAGGAAATTAGCTGTCAATTTGGTACTCTGAGAAATGCATGTGCATAAGAAAGGGAAAAAGAAAAAAAAAAAGCTTTGGTAAAGTGGTATTTTTTTTTCTATATTTGGGTGACAGTTAACAGAGAGATACAATGGATTTGTTCAAGTTTGAGACTTAGTTACGCTAATGCTAATAAGAGAAGAGCCACTAGCATTAACATTGTTCTAATTGATCTACGTTTGTACTGTTAATAAACATCTACTTGTGCATTAGTTTGGAAAATATGTATCAATGAACTCAGAGGTAAAGTAAAGGCTACTTTTATGATGATTTATAAATTAAGTACACTCATTTATTAAATAAGTACATCCATACACTGAAGATGTGTAGCAGATAGTCCGAAGCTTCCCAGAGTTTAGGGTCTACATAGAGCTAATTTATCAACTTTTTTTTTAATTTTGATCATGAATTATAAGAAAAATAACAAAATTTCCATAACTGCAAAAAGACATTATTACAGTTTCCATCATTTTAATCAAAAGGGTACGTCCTATGTTCGGTTAATTATTTAAAAGATTTTGACCTATTTTTTATTGTCTGCAGGGAGAGATTCGTGATGCATAATAAAAGATGTCACAAGCAATGGCAAAGTTATAGTTGGCGTGATCTTGAGGCTAAAAATCTGGGGCAGGGACAGGTAGGGTATATTCATGCATTGAATCAAATGTTGTTTATTTCTTGTTCAGTAAATAATCAACATAATATTCAGAAAGCATGGAAAAAAATGTCACAAAGTCACGATGAATGAGTTACGTTTGCGTGCTCCTTCTTCTGATAGAGAAATCTGAGTCAACTTGCGTGACCTTGACATGATCCTTCCCTTTTATCCTAAAACTATGCTTATTACATTCCTTTTTTAATATTCACTTAATCACTTTGCTTTGTGATCAAGAATACTACTCAGGCATTTCTCACACATGAGGATCATAACTAATAAAAAGCCCAAAAGGGTGCAAACTTTTGTGCATGACATGAGGTTACTTTGTTGTGAGGTTCTCTTAAGGGTAAACAAGCTAAATGATGGCTTTCAATTTGTGTCACATGAATGAGTACATGCATAAAATGGAACAAGTTCTGCTAAAAATGGATCTCACTTTAGTCACAAACGAGTTTTGGAGGCCAATAAAGTTCAATTTTCATGCAGTCTAATGCCAGCTGGGATGGGAGACAATTCCTGTGCGCAGAAAACTGCAGCTGTAACTTTCTGTTATTTCACAAATAAAATAATGATATGGCTAAAGTGTACATGGAAGTTTCATCGTTGTGCTTTTGTAAAAAAGTACGAGCATTTTCATTATGATTTGTTTATGTTATAAAAACTTTGATTATTATATATAATTATAACTAGATCTTCTGTTGATTCGTTTTATTTCAGACATTTACTCAATGCTAAGAAATTTGAAAATATGGGATGTTAGAAATTTTATAATATTTAATTAGTTAATTATTGTGAACTTATATCATATTATAATATTTATATTAGTTATTTGTATTTATACGGATTTCATATAAGTTGTTTAACAATAGAAAAAAATACATTATGTGTATAAAAACAATAAGTATTTTATACTAAACTCATGTAAACTCCAAAGTCCAAAAGGAATCTTAGGTCAAAAAGGACATCTTAACCTAGGAATGTTTTTAGCTTTTGGCAAATTATAAATTTATAATGTCAATTTTGGTGCAAAAGATGGAATGCTGTGCTGGTTTCAATTCAACTTAGTTTTTATATTAGTCAACTAGTCAAGTCCTTGGTGAGGAAGGAACTTCCAAAATCTTAAATCACAAGTTGGCATGGGTTGGTGGGTTCTCAACTTATTTTGGAAATGAAAAAAAAAACATTTAATCATTTATAAATATTGTTTATGCCCAATTAAAGACTTTCATTTTGTATAGGTAGATCATTTGTTTAATAAAAAACAATGTATTTCAATTTTTAATACTTGAGTTCTTCTAAATTCTAAAACAACAAATTTTAATTTTTAATTGAAAATTTTGATTTCTAATTTTTTTATTAGTTTTTATTTTTATTTTTCGATTGATTTAATTTTAAATCCTTCTAGTTTTTATGTTTGTTTTAATTAAATTTATTTTATTAAAGAAAAAGACAAAAGGAATAAGTTATAATTACATATAAGAAAATATTAAAAAAATACTATAAACTAATTTGTAAATATATATATATATATATATATATATATATATATATATATTATTTATAATAACTTTATTTATAAGTTAAATTGCAGTGATAAAGTAAGAATTTCATTATCTCACGTATTAGTTCACGTAGCTATTGGGCTAAACCTATTTCTTTATGTAATTTCACCCAAAGTTAAATATCTAAAATATCTTTCATACAATTTTGTTTTTTTTTGCTTTAATTTCTTCTTTTATTTGTGTATAATTTTTGCATCTTCATTATTTGGTTATTTGATTTTGTGTTATCACCTCCGTTGAAAACATTTTCTAATAATTAAAGATAAGTAATCATTAATATTATACATATTCATGTACTTAAATTGCACAATCAGATCTAAATTGCTTAATTTAAAACAATATTATGAAAATAAGATTGAATTATGAAAAAGTCAATCTAGAAATGCATCCTAGATAATAATGTTTTTGAATGTAATTCTAGAAAGGTCAATTTGAAAATATATTTTGAATTGAGTGTTTCGAATATATTGATGGAAAAACTAATCCGGAAATCCAGAATGTATTTATAGATTGACCTTTCCGAAATACATTTTGTAACACATAATCCGAAATACATTAACTTTTCTAAAATAGGTGTTCTTGAATGCATTTATGAAAAAGTCTGTCTAGAAATATATTTCAAATTGGGTGTTTCAGAATGCGTATTCAAAAAAACCTTTTCAGAAATACATTTCAAATTGAGTATTTTGGAATGCGATTTCAATAAAGTATTTATGGAATCGCATTTTAAATTGGATGTTCTGGAATGTGTCTCCTGAAATGACTTTTCAAAATGAATTTCAAAGATAGAAATGAAGATAAGTGTAAGAATAAAATGAGATTTAATATAATTATGGGGTGCAAAAAGCAATAGACATTCTTATTTAGTATTTGGACAGTACTTGCAAAGTTGGAGATGCTAACATAAACGACATTTTCTTTATGCAACTCGATAGTTTCTTCTTACATTCCATAATTAAATTAAATCATATTTTATCCTTGAACTTGTCTTATTTATTTTTTATTTTTAAAATTTTTTAATATTTAATTTTTAGATCTACTAAATTATTTTCATTATTCATTCTTCTATTATTTCAAGAATTGTAATAACACAAGTAAGAATCTCCAATTTTTTTTTAATTTCAATCAATTTTTTTACAACTTACAACATTTACACCATAAGATTTTTTTTATTGGAAACACAGTTCCATAAAAAAATTTCAAAAATATGTTCTGGAATTTTTATTTTTCAAAAACATATTTTGAAAAATAAGTTCTAAAATATATTTCAATAATTAATTTTTTGAAAATATGTTATAGATTGGTAAATTTAGAATACATTTTTGGATTATATAGAATCCACTTTTTGAATATGTTTCTAGAATCCGTAAGAAGTACATAATATTAATTATTAGTAACACTTCAAAGTGTTAGTAATATTAAATGAATGAAGGTGATAACTAAGAAACTAATTCTACAAATTTTTGAAGAGAAAGAAGAAGAGCAATGAATGTGAAGAACTTTCGCTGAAAAATGGAAGAAGGAATTAGAATTTAAACAAAAGTTATTAAAAAGATATTTTAATTATTTTATTTGGATATAAAAGTCCTGAAAGAAATTATGCAAGTTCAGATAAAAAAGTCCTAACATAATAAGGATTATCACTATGACAATTGGGCCCAATGAAGTCTTGTTCTTTCTCCGCCGAACATAAAACTTTTATACAATAAATAAATGAAATTTTAGCGTAATTTTTTTCAGTTAAAAATAGATATATTTTAGACATTTTAAATTATTTTTTATTGTTTAATTAATCACATTATCACCAAGGTATTTAATGAATAGAAAAATTTAGAAGCACATTTTGTATAATATTTGTATTTTAATTTTTTGTATATTTTTTAGTTTTGAATAATTTAATTTTCATGAAATAATGTGTAAATTTTATTCAAAACTTATTTTCTGTATTTATTTTATGAAATTCTTTCAAATTATATAGGAATAAAATTTTTAGAACATAATATTAAATTTTATCTAAAACTTAGTTTCTATAGTTTATTAAATGAACATTTATATGATTCCTTAAAAATAGTTATCTTTTTTGTAATTTATGTTATGATGTTACTCCTTAAAATATTGTAAGAAACAATTCATTATTATTATTATTATTTAAAAAAAGTTATATAAAGATGAGCTCGTAGTAAATAGGAGATAGGTATTTTAAATAATCATAATTATTAGTCGGTTTAAATTGATTAAAGATATGTAATTAATGAGGTCTAACTTTAAATTTAATACTCCTATGTGCAATTAAATCACGATTATCTTTAAGATATTCATCCGAGACAATGCAATTAAATCGTACAACTAAAAACTTTAAATATATTTAACGAGACTGAACTTTAAATTTAAGACGTGCAATTAAATATTTATATTTATACGCATTTAATTCGTATTGTTACAAAAATTCAAAAGCATCTTCAATAATATCAATAAAATAAGTTGCTTTATAAATTCAAAAAATAGAATTATAATCGTACTTATACTCAATTTTACTGCAATGAAAAAATAAATTATAAGGCTCACAATTTTTTAATATTTTTATTCTTAATATTTATTGCATAAAAAATAAGTTTTAACTTGAAGAAATCAAGTGGATAACATATATTTACTATACAAATAAATTTAAAAAATAAATTATTCAACTTTAGAAACCATGAAAAATATCATACTTTTAAGAGAATAGAATGATAAATTAAGTTTTTTTAATTTAAACTTTTTTTTACTTTTTATATTTTATTTACTTATAATAAATATATTTACTAACTATAGTATAATTTATGAAGATAGATTAAAATGTATTAGGAAATGTTGCTATAAACTATTAAATGACTATGTCATCAATAATTTAAATATTTTCATTTCATAGGAAGTAGAATATCAAATATCCACCAGTTCATTAAATTATAAATATAATTTTAATGTTACATCTTCAATTAGGAACTTAAACTATAAAATCTGTATAATAGGATCTTGTATTAAAGAACAAAAAATCAAACATGAAGAACAAGTTCACCTTATAAAGATCTACGAAATTTTTTGAAAAATTAAAATAAGATATTGAATTATGAGATTGTTATAGACTCTTACAAAAATGCATTTTTAAGATTCTAAAATGAGATTTATCACTAAAACTAAAGAAAATAATGAAAGATCTTAAGATGATGTACTATATTCACTATAATTTTTTGAAAAATTAGGTTTCCTATCAATACAATACTCATCCTCATGCAACATGATTGTCAAGTTAGGTACACCATTTGGGTCTAGATCTAAAGTTTGTTGGGGCCACTAAATTAAACCCTTCAAACAAAGCAAGAAAAAAAATAATTTAAATCTACATTTTTGTTACTTGAGAAAGAATATTCAATGAAATCCACAACACATATGAAACAAAACAAAATTACAAAAAGGAAGAAAAAAAAATCACTCATGTAATTTAACGTTGCATCTTTTACTCAAAATCCAAATTTTGGAGAGATATTGCTGCTTTATCCAAGATTGATCAACTTTAGTTGAATGTGCCAAATAATAGTTTCTAGTAAATTCTACTGCATTACATTGATGGTCTCAAAAAGTGTGTTGAATTGGTTCCGTCAACGAACGCATTATGAAGCACTTTGCACATTCATTGTTGTTGGTATCTATCTACCAGACGCACCTCAACAAAATGGAGAGAAAATGGAAGAAAGGGTTTTCTTGGTGAAGAAACTCGCGTCGCACTAATCGATCCAAGTTAAGGCTTCGGGGAAGCAAATTCGCATGATACAGAATTGTGGTCAAAGTTGATGTTGGTTCACACACTAGTGCTGTTCCCAGCTTCACCAATGAACGCAGCATCAGCGGCATCAGAATCTGCAAAGAAACCACATTCTCTAATCACTCACTTCCAACAAACACATTCTCACGTTAATTATATATATATCATATCCTCCTATTCTTGTAAAACAATAACATTGTTAACAACGCTAATGTTACTTCTATATCTATATATATATATATATATAACATGCAACAAATCGATGAAAAAGCATACCTGTGAATTTTTTTTGTTTTATTCAAATGCAGTTAGCCAGTGATGTTCTCAGAAACAACCCTTGAAAGATGAACACTGTGAAAACTGCAAATGCTTGATGTGATGAAATGAAATGAGAATGAGATGTTAAAATAAATACAAAGAACGAAACAGACTCAGTTGAAAAACGATACCATCTATCTATTGGGCATTGTTTCTTCCTACATCGGTCTCATCGACCAAAATTTAGAATTTTTTTGATAATATATTATAATAGAATTCAGTGGGTGAAGTTTTCACATTTTGAATTGTTTAATGCTTTTTTTGGGAGGTGTAATTTATGTGTTTTTTAATTGGTCACCATTAATTACCTTGATCCATCTTCCATTCCATTGCTTTGATCTTGAACAATGGACCTTGTTTTCTTAACTCTCTATCTATTTTTAATTTAAAAGTAATAAAAATGCTTCTATATAACCAAAAAAGGACTATGAAATCTACAAAAACATAGGTAACAATTTCAACTATATCTTTAAGGCCTAATTAATTACATTTGAAATATGATTTTTTTTCAGAAAAAAATGCACTTTGTCTATAAATAAATTATATTATCATTGTTTTTTGAAAATGGGCCTGGAGAATTGGTGCTTATTAAGGTCATTGGGATACTGGTAAAGCATGAAACTGTTGACCATTCACCCGCCACTTGTTTTCTTTTTTTGTTCTGCCTGTTTTCTTATTGTACTTTTAAACCATACAAATAAAAATAGGATTTGTGATTAGGTATCTAAACAAAGTTTGTTAAGATAAATTTTAATATTACATTAAGAAAATGAAATGAAGTATAATTTGATTATGTAAATTAAATTTTTATTTCACCTGCATATTATAATTTGAAAGGGTGAAAAAGGCATGGGTTGTTGTTGAACTCTATTTTGTGATTTGTGTTGTTTAGATTTGAAACCACCGTGTTACGATGGCCCGTTGCATTCAAAATCTATGTGCTAATGAAAATCAATTACTACCACCACAGAACCCTGTTTTTACAGCAGAAGCTTTGGTTCACTTTTACGACTTTGTGCAATTATTAGAAATCGAAGAAGTTCGCTATTGTCTTGTAAATTTAGTTAATGTGCAATAAATTTAAGGGTGTTTGTAAGGTTGTTTAATTATAAACGAATGTGAAATAACTGAAAATGGTCTTAATTATTTTAAACTATAATGATAAAAAATAAATTTATTTATTATGATAGTAAATAATTTTATTTATGATAATATAAATAATTAATTTTATTTTATTTTATCACAATAAATCAATTATTTATCTAATTAAAAATATCAAATATTTATGAGTTAAATATATTTTTATTAGTAATTCAATCTAATTATGATTAGGTTGAGTTATAAAATCAAGTAATTTTAAAAAAATTATTAAAAAGTTACTTTAAAATATTTTTTTATTAATTATAACATATTGTAATATCTCAAATTTTAAATATAATATATTAAATTATAATATTTTTAGATAATTTAAATATTTTTATTTTTAAAAAAATTATCATATTTTAATTTAATATTTTTAATTAAAAGATAAGATGAGTAACAAAAGAATAAAAGAGGGAGAGAAAAAAATAAAAATAAGAAAACAAACATAAAAAAAAGAGTAGACAAATAAATGAAAAAAATTTTTATTGTATTATATAAAAAATTAAGTCTCGTAAATTTCTATTTTAAATGTATTATTTTAAAAATTATTCATAATACTGCCTCGATAATCCCATTTGAAATATTAGTTATTTTAAAAGTTTGGTCATGATGTCAAAATGATGTCGTAAATAAATACTATAATGAATTAAAAATAAATGTATACGTAAAATAATATTTATAATATAAATTCTTTGGAATTGGAGTCATAATTCCTCAATTTTTTAATACTATATTATTTAATTTTAAAATAATGATTAATATCCATCAGTATTATAAATATTATATAACAAATTCACGTTCATTAACAATTAATAACAAACTAAAATTCTTTTTTTTAAATCATATTTTATTTTAGAAAAAATTTAATAATATACCGTAAACTAGATATTTAGCAATACAATCTAGTATATTTTACTTATTTTTTTTATTTTTAAATAATTAATTTTAATCTATTTTTATAATAGACCTTGAATATTTAAGAATATAAAATCGTGAAAATTAACCTCCTAATTTACCCACATCTTAACGAGTTTCTAATAATTTTAACCACTTAAGTTTAGTTAAATATCAGTATATTAAAGGAGTTTAGGTAATATTCAAACTAATGTTATCCATCCTAAGATACAAGTTTCTATTATTATCATGCATTGGTGTAAAATAGAGACATCACAGATTTAAATAAATAACTCAGATTTTTCATCATATCAGTTTTGGATTTAATTAACTCTATTGAAAATTTCTCACTTCAAGACAGAATAATATTTATTTTGGCTTTGGTAAGATAAAGTTAGAGAATAAAATGCACTTTATTACATAAGTAGAGGATATATGAGAGGTAATTATTGAAATGTTTAAATTTTATTAAATAACTTAAAAAGAAAAAAAATTGAATAAATGGAAAGAGAGAATAAATTTTGTAAATTTTAATAAATTTTATTTTAGTAAAAAAATGACGTAATATCATAAATTTATAATTTTATGTTATATATAATAAGTGTTACTTTTTTTATAATTGCTTTATTAAATAATTTTAAAAAATTAAGTAAATCAATATATGAGTAGGATGAATAAATTTTGTAAGATTTAGTAAAAAACTTATAAAAAAATAAAATTAATCGTTTTTCTATAAATGATGTCACATGATAAATTTATGTTTTAAAAACATGGTAACAAATGTGAATTTATGATAAGATTAAATATATTTTTAAGAAATATTAAACTAATTATAACAACAAGATTTTATAATTAATAGTTATTATTATATTTTATATTTTAAAATGCATTATTCTTACTTCATGGGAATGGAATTCAACAATATTGTTATATTAATGAATTTGTATATTTTTTAATTGGGCGAAACATTTTAAAGAGTAATATAACAAAAATAATAACAATGATTGGTTACAAAATCAATCAAGACAAATATATATTTAACAAATTCTAAAACTAATTATAATTATAATGGTTGATTTCGTAATTAACTGTTATTTTTGTCAAAGTGTGTTCTTCAGATGAGTCAAGTCTTAGTGTAATACGTTATAGCTATTATTATTATTATTATTATTATTATTATTATTATTATTATTAATTTTAAATTAATTATAATCATGATAAAATAAAATATATTAAATATGAATAACAAATTGTTTTACTCATTTTAGCAATTAAAATGCTAATGTTTTAAAACTAAATATAAAAAAAGTGTGAGTAAATGAGAAAAAATGATTTAAATTACACCGAGATGCTTGCTAATTCAGTTGCGATTATTTTTACGAAACCCGAAAATTCAGTTGCGCTAATCTTAATATATTCTCCCTATATAAACAATTGAGTGGGACGAAGAATAATTGTGAGGTGAGGGTAAGGTCGTGTCGTTTCGTGCTTTATTTCGTTGTCGTTTTTGTGTCCAGACCGAACCCTAGCTCCGCAACTCAACCATGTCGACCAAGCAAGGTATCAAGTTTCTTCTCTCTCCATCTTTCAAACTCCTGATTTCGAGGATTTTTTATTGATTTGAACCCTGAAATTCAGATCTGTTGGTGATTTTTGGGTCTTTAATTTATCTGATCGATTTGTTTTTCTCATTTGTGATTTTAGGTGGAAAAGCTAAGCCTTTGAAGAAACCCAAATCTGATAAGAAGGAATACGACGAGGTATTTCAATCAAATCCACTTTGTAGTTTTTTTTTTTTAATTATTATATATGTTATGTGTTAAATTTGTTGTGGTCAAATATAGAATTTCCAAGGTTGATGCACGGTGGTTTGAGAATTGTTAATATCTTTAACGAAGAGAGAACATAGGATTGTGATTTTTTGGCTTTGGTTGGATTATTGGGTGTTTTCGTAGGCACTTTTTAAAATGATTGATACAAATTCCTTTAATATATATTGCTACCACTCAGGCTGTTGCGATTTCTATTGAACAAGAAGAAAATTATAACTTTGCATTTATCTATAATAATTGATTGTCATGTTTTTAGTTTATGTTAACGCCGCTCTTGTATTATCCCTTGTTTGCACTGCAGGTTATTTTTTCATCCGCGCTTCCATTTTTTTTCTCGTTATCCATTTGTTCATTTGTTTTATTGCTCCCTTGTTGCTTTTGTAGAAGCGAACAGAATTGACTAACTCGGTCACTCTTAAGAAGTACCTCTTTTGTGGGATTAGGAAGAAAAAGAGATATAAATATTATTAGTTTTTTTAATTTGAATTTTCTCTCTATTTAAAGCGATGGGATTCAACTCTTTAGTATAATGAGCCTGTCGATGATTTTGGGTAGACAATTAAATATAAATAAGTATATGTTAGAAGTGTATGAGGAGCAATGGGAATGCATGTACTTTTAAAACTGTTCAACTGACAGTAACATACGTGGTCTGTGTGACAATTAAAACTAAGGTGTGTGATGTAAATATCAGAGGGGTATGGTTTGGAACTCTAGACTCTAGAAACAAGACCTCACGAAGCCTAAGGGAAACTTTGCCTTTTGTAATATTTTCATTTTTGTTTTGTAACCATTATCCCACTTTCTCGGTGACTTACTTCAATGTGAATATCATGAAGGTTTATTGTTCATCACTTTCTTGAATCATATTAGCCAAACGATCCTACTTGATTGTGTACAATAATTTTATAAGGAGATTGAGAACATGGGAGGGACATGGGATAAGTATGTAAGGATCAATGTGGTTTTGGTAAAAGTATGTAAGGAGCAGTGAGGTTTTGCTATGTTACCACCGGTCACTAGGAATGTAGGCAAGCGGATGTTTGTTTTATATAAATGAAAAGTAGTGGTTGAGACTTGAGAGCAGACGGGAGATGTAGGCAATCACTTCGGGCAGGGCCACTTGCAAGGACCCTCCAAGAACCTGTCTTTGTTGGCGATGTTGTGAAATTTTGATTTTGACCTTGATCGATATATGATTTTATTTTTGCGGGTTTTACACACAGACGGCAATGTTTCAATGAATTTGATTATGACCTTGGCATTTATTTTTATCTGTATTTTGTAGGTTGACATGGCTAACATTCAGAAGAAAAAGGATGAGGAGAAGGTTAGATATTGATTTGTGACTTTGTACATATACATTCTAGTAATCCTTTCAGATAATTGTCCTGTTTATACGTAACACTGTTGCTTGCACTGAACAGGCGCTAAAGGAATTGAAAGCCAAGGCGCAACAGAAGGGTAGTTTTGGAGGTTCTGGGCTCAAGAAGAGTGGAAAGAAATAAGACCCTGTAATAACAGTTGCTACCAGATAAATTCTCCTATTGTGGCGTACTATAATGCTAATATTTTGTACTCTACTTTAACTGACGTTTGTCGTAATGTAAGCTGCAACAAGGTACTTGTTGGTAGCTAACTTTATTGCGTGTTTTGATCATTATTAGTGTTGTGGATTTGGTTGATATGTTGTTCGAGTTACAAGTTATAATAATGGCTTGGCTTTCAAATCTTAATTATCGATTCTATTATCATCTCACCGCGGCAAATGTCAAACATTATATCCTTAAAATCAATGCCCAATTGTCTGTCTTTTATTTCTAGTGGTTGCGTGACCTGAGTACTATGCTACGCACATGAGGCTCTAAATCTGTTGCATTGATTGTAACATTGGTTAAAAGGGAAAGTATATTAAAAGATTACCGTGGTTCGAGAGGCCAGCTAAAAAATTGGTCGGTCCGTTTGAGTTCGCACTTTCAAATATTCAAATGTTGGTTTTTTGGTGCTGTTCAATCTTATATATTGGACTAATGGGTCATTTTGATTTGTTTTAAATAATGTAGAACATATTATTAAAAAAATGTCTTTAAATATATCTAAATTATATTAGTATAATTAATTCTAATTTTATATATTATGAATTTATATATTAATTATAATATAATTATTATTTTTAAAATTGAATTCGATAAATCTACATCTCATAATTATTTAGATCGGTTTGGGACATATCCATTTTGAGACATACTTTAATTTATGAAGTAAATAACTGCTTTATTTTCTTAATTATTCTTAGATGTTTTTCCTTTCTCTCGGTGATGATTTGACCAGTTAGCTCCTCACCACCTTCCAATTCACAAAATGCTCTACAACACAACTCCAGCTAGACAGACCCAATATTTTTGGAGGACTACCATACCACCTCAAATTATAAGTTCGCCTGACTCGTTATTAATACGAGAGACTAGTTGACCTCAAGGCGTGATTACTAGCGCGGATAAATTACTTCTTGTTAGCCTTCATTAACATGAAATGCAGTGGATTGCTGCTAACTTTAAAATAAACAGATTAAGTCAACCCTATAATTTTATTAAGATACTTGTCAAGAGAAATTGGCTATAGAAAAAAAAAATACATAATCTTTTGAGCTAGGTTGGTAGAAATGGAAGTGAAAACGGATGATAGAGCGAGACAGCAGGACCAAAATCTTGTTAGGGAGGTTATTTTGCCATAATTCTTGCCTCAAATGATTTTTCAAATTTTCATCACACCATATGCCCCGACATTTAACAACACTGTTATGTTCTGAATTCGCATGGAAAAATAACAGAGTCCGGCTCCATCTGGAAACACAGACATAATCGTTGCACCAAGTGAAATCTGGTTAACTTTCCCATCGAATATACATTGACTAAAAAGATCTCAGTACCCTATCACTCTTCAATTTAACCACTCGAATCCATGTAATTAACTATTTGATATTCATATTAATCATTAACCAGATGGTTTAATCATTGACAGGAAATAATGAAATATACCATTATCCTATAGGGTAGGCTAGAATCTCCTTTCAAATAAAAAACTCCATCTTCCTGCCAAGTCTTGATGAATAATTCAATCAAAAGCGATGTTGCATTTAAACAATAGATCAAGTCCATCAAAATTATGGTATAGGTGCAAAAATAATGGATTAAGGAAACATTACTGCCTAAATATACGTCCGTAGCACAAAATTGTTGCTTCAGTTTTTGGTGTTGAGCACTTGCATGAGCTAACTCAAAGGGAATGGCGGCTAGAAATACTTGAAGAAAGCTAAATTTTCTGATGCTATAGGTATTCATGTGATACCCTTACATAAACTTTCGCAATCTTCAGTGTGGCTTGAGATATCAAGGATAACTGGAGAAAACAAGACTAGTTATTTCCTACACTCTATTGCTTATCTGGTTTTTCTGGCTTTTCCGGCTTATCAGGCTCCTCCTTTTCAGGTTCTTCCTCTTCCTCTTTCTTTTCTTCCTCCTCTTCATCCTCTTCTGGAGGATCTGCAGGCATCGGAGGCGGCAAAGGTGTCTTCATAGGACTGAATTGAGGGAATATATCTGGTCTTCTTCCAGGCTTAGGCCTTTCCCACTCCTGTCACCGTATCATATGCATTAAAAAATTTACCAGCTTGTGCATCAAATGAAAACAAATTGAGAGAAAAGAGGGATCAAAATCTCACAAAAACCTAACATCACTCAAATCTGAACTTACTGTCAAAGCGACCAGACTATGGAGTATGGACACATTGAAACCGAAGTTTTGAAAGAGGATTGTGACCAATTGTTCACTACTTAGACAAACCCCCTTAATCCCTTCCATACATCTTCGAACTATGATTAATATTCAAAGAGAAGTGTAAAGATCGTGCTTACTGTGAAACATCATACAAAATGTACTTACGGTATGCATCAGAAAATACTAGCACTTATCACAGTAGCCTTAACGCACAACACGCATATAAGTTCGCCATCTCTTAACTAAACAACAAACAAACTTTATCATGCACGACATTATTTTATACAACAACTTCAACCATTAATTTCTAAATTGAAGGTATGATCTGGCACCTTGAAAATATTCCAGAAACTAGCATTGCATATAACCGAAACCAAGATGAATTGATTTTATTTAGGAGCAAGGAAATCTAATTAAAAAGTAAATCAATTATCCTTCAACAAAGAATTGAAGCGGTACACATCAATTGAAAGTTTGTACTATTGACACTAGAAATTTCCCTAATCCAAATTCGCAGCCAGCAAAAAATTGAATTCTTTAGAATTGAAGTGATTAGGAAAAACATACGATTGGGAAATCGAGAGGTGAACGGCGAGTCATCTTTTCCTCTTCGGGAGCCATACGAACGAGGTGCCTCCGAAAGCGTGGCATGGGAGTGAGAGAGCGAAACCCGACGATGAAAGGTGATGCAAAGTTGGAAGAAGAAGAAGAAGAAGAAGAAGAAGAAGAGGGTTTAGGAGAAGAAAACGAAGAAGAAGAAGAAGGCGGTGTCAGAAGGGTGTTGAGGCTCACCAAAGCCATGGCCATGCCTGCGGCTGCGCAACACCTAATCCAAATCCTTCTCTTCTCTCTCCCTTTCTCAGCCTCCTATTTACTGTTTTCAATAACGTTAAAGTCGGTTTTTCGTGGTTCGCCCTATTTTTCATTTTATCTATTTTCCCTGCATTTTATTCAATAAATAAATAAACATATTTTCTTATAAATGCTGCCAATTTTTTATTATTTTTTTATATTTGTTGTGCCACTACTTCTCTGGTTTGTTCATTCCATTCCAATCACCATTTTCACCGTCTTAGTTTCATTGTGCTTTTTTTTTGTAGTCATTTTAGGTTGTATCAATAAATAAACATATTTTCATAAATGCTGCCAATTTTTTATTTTTATATTTGTTGTGCCACTACTTCTGGTTTGTTCATTCCATTCCAATCACCATTTCACCGTCTTAGTTTCATTGTGCTTTTTTTTTTTTTATAGTCCTCTTAGGTTGTATTTTTATCTATTCTGATACTTTTTTCTTTATTTGTATATTCTACTGTCAAAAATATCTTCATAATGTCCTAACTAGTGAAGATTAGAGAAAATATCACACTCATATTAGATAATTGAGAATGAAAAAAAAAAACTACTTAATCATAATCATTCTCATTAATAATGTTAATTATCTATTACTTTATGTTGTAAACTAAGGGGTATTGCAAAACAGAGAACGTGTTCTTACACGTTGCCAGAGAACATGTTCTCACACGTTGCAGAAGATTGTTTCAGAGAACGTGTTCTCACATACGTTGCAAAAGACAGTTTCAGAGAACGTGTTCTCACACGTTGCAAAAGACTGTTTCATATAAAGTTGCAGAAGACTATTTCAGAGAATGTTACAGACCCACTACCAAGTCTTCCCATAACTGCGACAAACTTTCTCCTATAAACAGAGGTCACATCACACTCTTCAAAAAACACCTCTCTCATCTTCTCTTCTCTGATCTTCTTTCTCTTATCTTGGGTTAATTTACTCTTTTGAGAGTTTCTTGCTAGTTTTCGAGATCCTCGGATATTCCGAGAAGTTCCTGTTGTATCCTAGGCACTTGTCCAATACACCGCGGATAAGTCCTTAAGGACAGTGTTTATACACGCCTCAGGAATAAAGTTTGTTCGTGTCTCTATCAGCTTTTACAACAATCTTAAGGACTTATGACTGACAATACGAATATCAACAACTTCCTTCAACAGTTTTAGAATATTGGATAGTGAAAGAAAATGAATTATGAAGTGCTCATGGATCAATGTTAGTCTTCTGATTATGGTTCATGTATGTTATTATATGAGAATCAATTCATGTATGTTGTTATATGATTATGATTCATGTATGCTGCTGTAATTCTTGTTGAAATGTGAATGATCCTCTAATTGATTTTAATTGAAAAAACAAATTACGTGATTGGATTAGAGTGAATCATATATGAAATTGATTATTGTATGTTATAATTATGATGAAAGAAAGGTAAACTTTTAGATCAAATGCTATCAGCATACATCATCACTACAAGAAAATCGCATATTTCCAATGGATATTTACCGACATATTTATGGTCGTCAGAAAATGAGTCATTACCGATGGATATAGAATTTGGTCTTACCGACGGATATATCCGACGGTAAAATAATAATTAGTTACCGACAAATTTATCCGTCGATAAATTAACAATTTTTTATCGACAGATATATCCGTCGGTAAATCGGTAAATTAACAATTATTTATCGACGGATATTTCCGTTGGTAAATCTATCGGTAAATTAACAATTAATTACCAACGGATATATCCGTCGGTAAAATTATATAATAATTCCTTAATATATTCTAATAAATTAATTATTCACCTAATTAAAAATTTAAATATTTTTTATATAATAATTTAATTTAATCATAATTAGATTAATTTATAATAATTTATTAAATTAAATAATTTAAAAAATAAATATATAATTATATATAAATATATAAATATATTTGTATATAAATATAATTTATTTGTAAATTATTATCGAAAAATTCTAATAAGCTTAGTGGTTGGAGTATCGACCTTTAACTCTAAAGGGAGGGGATCTCTAAAAAATAGGCTATAAAATAAGTAAAAAATGCAATAAATAATAAAAATATTACCGACAAATTCTTGTTTGTCGGTAATTTCGTAAAATATTTACCGACGGACTATTTAAATCCGTCGATAATATTTACCAACAACCCAATTTCTGACGGCGGACTATTTAAATCTGTCGGTAATATTTACCAACAACCCAATTTTTGACGGATTTTTGTTAATGCCGACGAGAGTATTATATGTTGTGAGAGATTTGTTTTGGTAGTGAACAATTAACAGTTACATGTGCATGACTTAGATCTACATATTATTTTGTACTTATGTGTATGATATTATTTTGTCTGCATATTATTTTGTACATACGTATAAGTAGAATATTTTTTTTTCCATATTATTTTGTACATACGTATAAGAAAGGGTTGAGACTGTATGAAACCAGTGGATCTAACCCCACTTTACGTTCAAGAAAGTAAGGTCATCATGCACCTCAGTGTAGACGTGAAATGAGAAACGACAATCCTCCTAAGGCAAATTTAGCCAAAAGAGAAGATACAATTACTACGGTCGTTTCCCAAATAAACCTTGTGACAAATGTGAACAAATGAGTGGTAGACTCTGGTGCTACCAGGCACATCTGTGCAAACAAAAGTATTTTTACCTCCTACACTAGTGTGGGGATGGAGAAGAACATAATTATCTCGGTGATTCCAGGACAACTCATGTCTTAGAAAAATGAAAAATTCTTCTAAAATTCATATCTAGAAAGATTCTGACCTTGAATGATGTGCTACATGTGCCATTAATTAGAGCTAATCTAATATCTGTAGCACTGTTAGGAAAAGTTGGGGTTAAAGTGTCATTTGAATCTGATAAGATTGTTATGACAAAAAATAATGTCCTTGTAGGGAAGGAATATTGTGATTAAAGTTTTTTTGTACTTAACATTGTTAAGGTTGTTAATAAATTTTGTTCTTCTGCTTATATTATTGATTCATATGATCTGTGACATTTATAGATGACTATTATACATACACCAAAGTATACTTAATCAAACAACTTTAGTGCACCAAATAACCTCTGAGAGAAGATATACTTACAATGTGTTTTTTAAGAAAACTGATAAAACTCCCTATGAGTTATGAACCTAATCTTAAATATTTAAGAGTGTGGGGTGCCTAGCTAAGGTAATGTTACCTAATCATAAGAAAAAGAAAATATGTTCTAAAACTTCTTAGGCTATGCAAAACATAGTGCTGCCTATAGGTTTTTTGTCCTCAAAAGTGATATAATTGAATATAATACTATAGTGGAGACAAAAAATGTTGAGTTCTTTGAACATATTTTTTTTTTCTCTAAAGGTTAGTGAGACACCTAAACAATCTATAGATATTAATAGTGATAAAATATATGAGGATTTGAGGAGAAGTAAAAGACAGAGGAAGAAAACCTCATTTGAAGATGATTTCTACACTTATCTAGTTGAAAATGATCCAATGAGTTTTTTAGAGGCTACTAGGGCTCCTGATGCAATACATTGGGATAAGGCCATTAAGACTGAAATTGATTCAATTAAGAAAAATAATACTTGGACTTTGGTAGATTTGCCTAAAGGAACAAAACATATTGGTTATAAGTGGATCTTTAAGAAAAAGTATCATCTTGATGGATCCATAGATAAATATAAGGCAAGATTAGTAGCAAAGGGTTTTACTCAAAAATCCAGCATTGATTATTTTGACACCTTTGCCCCTGTGACTAGGATTTCCTCTATTCGAGTTTTGTTAGGTCTAGCAGCTATCCATAAGCTAGTTATATACCAAATGGATGTTAAGACAACCTTTTTGAATGGTGAATTAGAGGAAGAAATTTACATGACTCAACCAGAATGGTGTGTTGTTCCAGGTCAAGAGAACGAAGTGTGCAAACTTTTAAAATCCTTGTATGGATTAAAACAAGCACCAAAACAATGGCATGAAAAACTTGATAGTGTTCTACTTTGTAATGACTTTTCAACTGATGATGCTGATAAATGTGTATACTCTAAAATTGAGACTAGTGAATGTGTCATTATATGTTTATATGTCAATGACATGCTAATATTTGGTACATGTATTGACATTGTCTCCATAACTAAGTTGTTTCTGGGATCTAAATTTGAAATGAAAGATATGGGTGAAGCCAATGTGATTTAGGGAGTTAAAATCATAAGGAAGGGCGTTAGTATTTTTTCTATCCCAAGAACAATATATTGAGAAACTTCTTAGGAAATTTGGGTGTTATAACGTCAAACCAATGAATACCCCTTATGATGCTAACTCTAAGTTAAAGAAAATTAGAGGAGACTCAATCTCTCAACCTCAGTATGCCCAAGTAATTGGGAGCTTACTGCATTTAATGAGCGTTTCTAGACCTGACATTGCTTATGCAGTAGGTAGACTGAGTATGTACACTCAATGTCCTAATCAGGAACATTGGAATGAACTTACAAGACTTATGAGATACTTAAGAGGTTCAATAAATTATGTCATTGAATCTAGTGGATTTCCCGCTGTATTAGAAGGGTACAATGATACTAATTGGATCTCTTATTCAGATGAAACAAAATCCACTAGTGGCTATGTACTCACACTCGGGGGTGGTGCAATTACATGGAAATCAGACAGACAAACAATTATTGTAAGATCAACAATGAAATCTAAATTTGTTGCTCTCGAAATGGCTAGTAATGAAGTTGAGTGGTTGAAAAACTTCTTACTAAATATTCCATTAGGAATGAAACTGATCTCGTCTGTATCAATATACAGTGATTGTCAATCGGCAATAGCTATAACAAAAAATAAGAACTACAATGGAAAAAAATAGACATATACAGTTGATACATAATTTAGTGAAGCAGTTGCTAAAGAATGGAACAATTTCCATTGACCATGTGAAGTCAGAACAGAATCTAGCAGATCTTCTGACAAAACCCTTAGCGAGAAATATGATTTTAGAAATATCGAAGGGAATGAGACTCAAGCAACTTGCAAATAAACAGGTGATGGTAACTCAATCTTTGTGATTGGAGATCCCATGAATAAGGTTCATATGGGTAAAAACAAGTCACTTGTTAGTTCTGCTAGCACTAAAATTGATTAAAATCAATTATGTCTATTCCTATGGTGTATATGTGAAAGTACTAGATATTGCATCATTGAGAGGTTAAACTTTGTAATTAAAATTCCATGTGGTGTACGAATTTTAGTCTAAACAAAGTTTTTAACGATTTCATATCCTTTAAGGATTGTGTATGATTTGCAGCATACGCTTGATGAAGTCACCTACATGAGTGTCGAATGAGGCCGCTTGTATGAGATCTTTGCAAGATTTCTAGAGTACTCATGAATACGGGACACGCACATGGCCTAATAAGCGCAACATAGCGATAACAGCAAGAATTGTGGGGGTGTATTGTGATTATTAAAACCGCTAACACACATTAAGTGTTTTGGTTCATATAGCTTGTTACACCAACTACACTATGTATTAAGTTTTTTAATCTAAGACTGATTCATATAGCTTATGATGCATTACATCTTATATGAGACCCATGATTTTCTTCTTTTATTCTTTTATCTCCTTCTTTTGTTTTGCAATATGTGGGGGATGGTTGTAAATTAAGGGATATTACACGTTGCAGAAAACTGTTTTAGAGAATATGTTCTCACACGTTGCAGAAGACTGTTTCAGATAACATTGCAGAATGCAGTTTCAGAAAACGTGTTCTCACACGTTGCAGAAGACTGTTTCAGAGAACGTTACAGACCCAGTACCAAGTCTTCCCATAACTGCTATAAACTTTCTCCTATAAACAGAGACCACTTCACACTCTTCAAAAAACACCTCTCTCATATTCTCTTCTCTGGTCTTCTCTCTGTTATCCTGAGTTAATTTACTTTTTTGAGAGTTTCTTGTTAGTTTTTGAGATCCTCGAATATTCCAAAAAGTTCCTGTTGTATCTTAGAGAACTTGCACAATACACTGCGGATAAGTCCTTAAGGACTGTGTTTATATACACTTTATAAATAAAATTTATATATATAGTATATTTAATATTTATGGAAATCAAATCGATCTGTTTGTGCCCTAATTCTGATTATTCTTTTTTTTTTGTTTTCTTTTGTTGCGTAGCAACTGAATTGAACAAATCAGTCCAAATTTTCAAAGGAGGCTACGTTTACGGAACATCCATTATATTGGATAAGACGCATGTGAGATGGATGGAGGTGGAGCTAAAGTTGAATAAAAGGTTATTACAGAGTTTCCCACTTAACAAACCGTGCACCATATTTCTATCTTTTTCCAAAATGACCCCAATAGAAACAAATTATCATCTTTTGACCACTTTCTTTTCAAATGATCTTTCCCACTAGCCATGAACTTGAATCAGATGGCGCAAGAAACGAAGGAGATGGAGCGATTTGGACTTAACCATCAAACTCGATGATGATGGGATTATTCCATGATAAACAAGGTATGCTACTCGTACAAGTCACAGTTCAATGAACTGAGACTTCTAGCATCACCAACCTCACCCTTAACTTCTTTTTTTTTCAATGATAAGAATACTTTTATAAATTTATTGAACTGTATTTTATACAAGGTAAATGGAATCTGGTATTAATAAAATTATAGACAATTTTAAATGTCTCGAATTTTATTGGGTTAGAAATTTTAGGTTGAATTTGAAAGATAAGGACGGAAATGGGGGAAGAATTAGTTACCTATCCCAAACTGAAACCAATTTTTATAATCAGATATAAAACAAAACTCAAACCTAAGCATCTAAGAATCATATCTGCTGGCACTGAAGGTGATGTCACATTGAGCCGAACAAGTAACCAAGCTGAATCTTGCAGGCTTTTAAAAAAAAAAACAAGCCTCAACATGATTCATAAAGACACAGATTTCTGCAACCCACTTGTGTTGTTCCAACTTCCAAGGTTCAAAGATTAATTCACGAGTCTTGGTTAAATTATCTTCGCCTTGCACTAAATTCCCTCGGTCATTTGTAGTAATTAATACTCACGATTTTTTTTGTCATGTGGGGGCAGTGCAATCTATTCCATTTGCGATTAAACAAAAAACAAAAAGTTGGTGAACTAGGCTGGAATCATGATGGGCGTGATCAAAATTTTCCACGTGTAAACTATGTATTGGTAACGTGCGTTAATTGATTGTTGGGCACTTTTCTTGCACTACAAAAATAGCAGACAAAATTGCCACCGGTGGCATTTGTTTTGGCCTAAACTCGAAAGGTCCAAGTTCTTTGTTCTTTTTCCATCTCACATGAATGGGAAGGTGAAAATATTCCCATCATAAACTTGATACATATTTCGGGTTTGCCAAACTAAAGAAAAAGTCAAGAATTTTTGACATAACTCAATTGCTGGTTCCGTTTTCAAGATTCCTGGAGCGAAAGAGAAAACCAGCATAGCTTATTATTGTTCCATTTGAAAGTGATAGTGTCGTGGTGTTTGATAAAACCAGGAGTGGCTACGTGGTTTTAAGTTTTGAGAGATTGTCAAATCTCAGGGTGAGGGTGGTTAGAGGAATGAGAGCAGAAGATAATGGATTTCTGGCCAGAATTTCTTGCAAGCAGTTCGGGAAGAGAGTTTGTAGCTGGTGGCTTTGGAGGCATTGCTGGTATAGTTTCAGGTTATCCACTTGACACTCTCCGCATCAGATTACAGAACTCAAAAAATGGCTCCGCCTCCACCATCTTTAGACACATGGTTTTTAAGGAAGGACCAACTTCTTTGTACCGTGGCATGGCCGCACCATTAGCCTCTGTTACTTTTCAGGTTATTTTGGTCTCACTCATCAACTTTCTTTACGTCATGCCATTCTCTTTTACGTGTATTAGTTTAATTTCATTTGGATGCTCATCTGATATGCATACCCTCATAAATTGCAGTCGAATTCATGGGAATCGTATCACATGGGTGTTAATCTTAATTTTGAATCTTATCTTTTTCTGATGAAAGAAATTGGATAAAAACCTATGACCAACAAGTCTTGGTCAGAGGAATATACTATAATCTCACCGGTGGTTTTTTTTATTTGGAATATAATGATTCACAAACAAGAGCGCAATTAATTCCCTTTTGAGAGTCTCTTTCCCACGGCTTTTAAACTCAGAATAATAATATTTCTTTAGGATAAGGAATGTAAGACTCTGACTCGTGCACCCCAACGTTTATCCAACTCGAGCAATATTGAACTAGATTTTCGGTTTTTGACCGGCCAATAGCGGAGTGATCTAGTAGGAAATGAAGGTGACTTCTGCTCCAATGCCTCAATTTGAGGATAAGCAAAAGTTCTGATTTACAAGACAGTTAATCATTTGATGACTATCAAGAGTTTTAATTTTTTGTGACATCAAAATTCAGCGATGAATTTCCATTTTCCATGATGTCGAATCTTGACATACTTGGGAAATAGTAGTTACATATTGAAACATCAAAGGAACGACATTTCAGTTGTTTCTACGTGAATGGTGTATTAGGAGCATAACCCTGTAGTTAGATTGGCCTATTTCATGTCCTTGTTTGCTTTATTTATCTTCACTATTTAACATAAAAAAAAAAGTGCATCAGAATTTGACAGTCTCAAATTGATTATTATTCGTTTATGGTTGCAGAATGCAATGGTTTTCCAAACGTACGCGGTTCTGTCAAGGGCATTTGACTCATCCGTTTCTCTTAAAGACCCTCCTTCCTACAAAGGTGTTGCATTAGGAGGAACTGGTACTGGAGCACTCCAAAGTCTATTACTTTCCCCTGTAGAGTTGATCAAAATTCGACTTCAGCTGCAGAACGCAAACCAGATGACAGAATCCACAAAAGGTCCTATAAGGCTGGCTGAAAACATATGGAGAAAAGAAGGCCTTCGAGGCATTTATCGAGGACTTGGTGTCACTATGATCAGAGATGGACCCTCTCATGGTTTATACTTCTGGACATATGAATACATGAGGGAACGATTTCACCCTGGTTGCAGAAAAAGTGGTGAAGAAAGTTTGCACACTATGTTAGTAGCAGGAGGATTAGCAGGGGTGGCTAGTTGGATTAGTTGCTACCCTTTTGATGTTGTAAAGACTAGATTACAGTCTCAAACACCCTCTTCTCTTAAATACAAAGGCATCATAGATTGTTTCAAAAAGAGTGTTCACGAAGAAGGATACAGTGTGCTATGGCGGGGCTTAGGAACTACAGTTACCAGAGCTTTCCTGGTAAATGGGGCCATATTTTCTGCTTATGAGGTTACACTAAGATTGTTTTTTAACAATGGCACTATTCATATGAAAGAAACTATTTAGAAGAAACACCAATTGAGTTGCAGCTGGTGTGGTGAAATTCACCGAAAACGCCATTTGATACTCAATAACCATTTTAACATGTATTTTACAGATATTCTACAGTGATATTCATTACAAGATCTTTTAAACTTCTATCTCCAAAGACAAATGTTGTACTCGAATACAAATCAATTATATATTATACTGTAGAAAATTTCGACTAGTATTCATGGTTTGGGCTAGAGAAGCTTCAAAGAAGCTTAGTAAGTAATTATATTTTATTTAAATTAAATTAAACTTTTATTAACTAATTAATTAAACTTTTCCTGTCAATCATTTTCCTGATTTATTTGTCTTGACAATAAAAAGGACACAATGCATGAAAATCTATGGATGAGTGTAAAGGGGTTGGTTGTAGCCGTGACTAAACCGGGCTTATCACATATTTCAGTTTGGTTGGATTTGATGTTTTTGAATTTTTACTGACAAAGAGTTAAAATGTGAACCTGACATACTTAATTGGTTAAGCAGGTTGAACTCGAAATACATTAATTGACTTATAACCTATTATTTATTTTAAAAATAATTATAATAATTTAATAATTATATTATCATATTATTTTATTTTATGCTACATGTTTAATTTGTATCAAATTTATTATCAATTATTCATTGAACTAATGTGTTTGTTATTACACTTAAATTGCTTGTCATCTTTTGTCGTACAATTACATTTATGTGTTTGTTGTGTTTATCGTATCACCGTGATTCGATTGCATCATAATACTTGTTGCATTTTAATCGTGTCACAATATTTTTCATGTCATTGCATCATAACGTTTCAGTCATGCTACAATATTTATCATGTTACCACATTCGTTACATCATTGTATGTGTCATGTCACCATATCACCGTATTTCAGTTACACTATATCATTTGTCGTAATTTAATCGAGTTACAACATTTGTCACATCACCGTATTACATTTCAATCGTGTTTATTAAAAAATAAAATTGAACAACAAAAATAAATGTGATTAGTGAACCAATCCACTAATTTAAAATGAGTTTAATTAGATTATGAAATATTTCACTCATCATAAATTAAATTGGATTGTTCTCCTTTATTTTTACCAATAACTAGATTGACTCTATTTGATATTCTAACTAACATTCGTAAGTTTAGTAAAGAATTCTTAAAAAAGTTACTCGTAGTTTAAGTTTGATCACGGGCACGAAAGTTCATCTAGAAGTATGTTTCAATAACATTTATTACGAGAAAAATATAGCATACTCAACCCTTATTAAGAGAATAACAATTAAGCAAGTTCTTGAAACGAGAATAACAATTTAGAATTATTATTCAATATAACCCAGTACTTAATGGGCTTTGATATCATATGGACCCAATACAATTATTATTTTGGTAATTATGGTTGTATAATGAAGTGAATAAATGACCCTATAATCTTAAGCCGATTCTTCGGTTGATTTTTGGTACACCTAACTCAACCCACCACCACATTACTCTCTCTAATAAAAATGGAGACAGCGAGCCTAACAGGCGGAGAGAAAGCCCAGAAACATGGGCCTTGGCATCGACCAACAAACGCAGTCCATTATGATGAAAATCCAATCCCTTTTTCACAAAAATGAAAAAAGGGACACGTGGCAAGTTCCGAGAAAGCCCGGAAAGGTGGCAGCATTTTTGAATGCGAAGGAGCCAAGCGCGCAACGATAAACTTAGAGAAAAGCCGCGGTGGGCCCCACCCACGTGAGAGACGGTGGGCGATGATAGGACAACTTAAAGAAAAAGAAAAGAACACACTCCACAGACCCAGCTCTACGTCGTCGTTTCAACGTTCCACACGTGCCTCATCTTCGTCTTTTAGATTCAATTCAAAAATATTCAAAGCCTGTTTAGTTTGTTCTCCACTCACTCACTGCATTGGGTCCTATTTACCTTATATATCATTCTTGGGTTCCACTCTTCACTACGCTCCTCGTTCAAGTTTCGTTTCGTTTCTCTTCCTATCAAAACATGAACAGACAGGGGCAGAGATCCGCTGCGATGGGGGTGCACCATAACCGCCAGCACTCCGACAACTATCTCGACGCTTCTTCCAAGTGGTTTAACTCTTCCTCCAATCACATTCCTCCTCTTCAGGTTCGTTCCTGTTCCTGTTTCGTTTGTTTCGTATTTTTTACCCTAACCTTCAACTACTTCACTCGAAATTTAATATTTCTAATAATGAATGTTTGAATGCATTTATTGTTCGCAACAACCACCAGTCCTCTTTGCACTGGAAGCTGATTTCTGAATTGCGATCCATTTTGACTTGTAGGACTACAATTTGTACGGTGGTGGAGGCAGAATGTACCGGAACAACGTGCAGAAGAGTTTGAATGAGTATTGTATGGATCCGTTGACGCCTCCTCGTAGTTTCGGCGTTAAGAAAAACGGCAACGGTAACGGTGAGGAGGATGATTCTCCTCTCGATTTCAGTCCTGGCCTCTTGGATCTTCATTCGTTCGATACAGAGCTTCTTCCTCAGGTTTATTCATTTGCGTTTCGTTTCGTTTCAATTACCGTTGAATATTTTTCGCTCGGTTTTGTTTCAATTATTTGCTTGTGAATTCGTAGATTCCGTCCTCGACCGCGTATGATTCCGAGCCTTACATATTCGGCAAACAAACTGTAAGAGCTCGTGCTACTGATAACAACGTCTCCAATAGTCTAGCTGCAGCGGAGAATGTGAAACCTAGCAATGTGGCTAAGATTAAAGTTGTGGTATGTTATCCTTTCGCGTATCTTTATATTCAATGAGAAATGTTAGTGCAATTAATTGTACAACAAATTTCGCAACTGGAGAGGGAAAGAAAGGAGTATGGTATCTAATAGACAATGCAATAAAGAGAGATCGAGGCAGAAAATGTTGACTATTTGCTAGTGAGTTTGGAGGCTCTTACTTGAAAACTGCATTTGTTGTATAAGTTGGAATTTGTCTTTGTTTGAATTTTTGTTTTGTTTTGATTTGGCAACTTACTATTTTATGCAGGTTCGCAAGAGACCGCTTAATAAGAAGGAGATAGCTAAGCACGAGGAGGATATTATAGATACAGTTTCGAATTCTTTAACAGTGCACGAGACTAAACTTAAGGTGAGTGTAGTAAGCAATAGAAATCCGTGATGTCGAGAAATACGATATTATAATTGTTATTTATATTGAAAAATATTTGATTAAGCGGTTTTAGATGACCTTTGAGAACTAAGAATTTAGAATGAAGTTGCCAATAAAGTATTTCGTTGAAATTTCTAAATCTTTCTCATGGTGAATTTGGAATGCCTGGTATGAAAACAGTGTGCTTAGAAAGACTAGCAATTTTGTTAAGTGTAAACTCCATACTATAATTATCAGTGTTTATTTTTAGAAAATTGTTCAAGTTTGCTAGAAATGTAGCAATCTCCAACATATCCTTCTCCGTTAATAATATTTATCCATTTATTTTTCACAACCTGGTGCATATGATAAGCTTTTGGCTATTATATTACAATAAATGGTTTTATTTTAACATTTTAAAATTTAAATCTTTACAGGTTGACCTAACTCAGTATGTTGAGAAGCATGAATTTGTTTTTGATGCTGTTTTGGATGAAGAGGTTACGAATGATGAGGTAACTATAGTGCAATTAAATGTTTAGTTGAAAGAATAAATGGACAAATGCATAGCCCAACCTATGTAGCTTTATTTTTAACCTTTTGATTTCATTAGGTGTATCGTGAAACGGTGGAGCCCATAGTTCCAATAATATTTCAACGCACAAAGGCAACTTGCTTTGCGTATGGTCAAACAGGTGAGAACAGCTTCTGAATTTTATTAATTATTTGTCTATATATAGTCGACATTTGTCCAAAGAATAAATGATTAATTAAATTTTATTGACTTCTTTTATACTTACAACTGTAGATGGTCATCTATTTGGGTCATTGATAATTTGTAGTTTAAAGAAATTTGTAATCTGATAGATATTTCCAAATTGTTTCATTATGTCTAAACTAGTAAATTAGTAATACATAGAAGAGAAATATTTGAATTCTTGATGGTAAGACTTGGTTCACCAGTGGTTGTTAATTTAAGCTAATGTGGCTTTGGATGCTTGCACTATTACTGTGATGTTTCCATTAGTTCTATAATTTGTGAACTTCATCATGTAATTTTCTTCTTGTGTAGGAAGTGGAAAAACTTACACAATGAAGCCTCTGCCTCTTAAAGCATCAAGGGACATCTTGAGATTGATGCATCAAACCTACAGGAATCAGGGATTTCAGTTGTTTGTGAGTTTCTTTGAAATATATGGTGGGAAGCTTTTTGATCTCCTTAATGATCGAAAGTGAGTCATTTGATCCTTCTTGTATGCACCTGTGGTCTCTATATTCTTTAGGTGTAATATTGTACTTCTGCAGAAAACTGTGCATGAGGGAGGATGGTAAGCAACAAGTCTGCATTGTTGGTTTGCAAGAGTACCGAGTATCGGATGTAGAGACCATCAAGGAACTGATTGAGCAAGGAAATGCAACAAGAAGTACTGGAACCACAGGTGCAAATGAGGAGTCATCACGGTCACATGCAATTCTTCAGCTTGCTATCAAGAGATCAGTTGATGGAAATGTATCCAAGCCTCTGCGTGTTGTTGGGAAACTCTCCTTTATAGATCTTGCTGGAAGTGAGCGTGGAGCAGATACCACAGATAATGACAAACAGACAAGGTATGTCTCAGGGAGTTGCAAAAAAAGATATTGTTGAAGACATAATTATATTAATGATATCTCATATTTTCTCTTCTGACCTTCTTAATGAATTTGTTTGCCCGGTCGTGTGTTCCAAATTATATGGAATGCAGAATAGAAGGTGCTGAGATTAATAAGAGCTTGCTCGCCTTAAAGGAATGCATAAGAGCTCTAGATAATGACCAAGGACACATCCCATTCAGAGGCAGTAAATTGACTGAAGTTCTAAGGGATTCATTTGTCGGTGATTCCCGCACTGTTATGATATCATGCATATCACCAAGTTCCGGTTCATGTGAACATACTCTGAATACATTACGATATGCTGACAGGTAATTTCAATCAACCAAACAATGAAATTTCTGTTGTTGATTTTCCACCTCTCTGCGAATCATTCATTTTCATTCGTTGTGCAACCACTGTTATGTACTAAAATGAAAGCTTTTGATTTTACATTTTCAAAATAAATGAAAATGCAGGGTAAAAAGCTTATCCAAAGGGAACAATTCTAAGAAGGATGTTTTATCTTCAAATATCAACCTTAAAGAATCAATTACTATTCCCTTGTCTTCTGTTAATACATATGCCTATGAGGATCGTGCAGCTGATAGATGGCCTGAAGAAAACGACGTGGATGAATTTAGTCCTACTGAAGATTACTATGAACAGGTGAAACCATCATGTAAGAAAAATGGAAAGATAGAGCTATATGGTGCAACAGATGACAAATTTAAGAAACCCCCCAATGGCCAGATTAAATTGAAGGACATCCCGAAAGTTGAATATAAAAAAATACATTCAGATGATGATTTGAATGCCCTCCTACAGGTAACGTAGACTACTCTTAAAATGAGTTTTCATACTTACAAAACCTAGAGTAAATGCATGTATCATAATTTCAGGAAGAAGAAGACCTTGTAAATGCTCACCGGAAACAAGTAGAGGAGACCATGAACATTGTTCGAGAGGTATTTAAATTGACTCTGTTTTTCCTTTTAACCTTTTATTTGTTCTTAAAAGCAATTTTGGCAAGTGCGTAACCGTGCCATTTGTAAAACCATCGAAACTTGTGAGTTGTGACTATCATCGGGTAGGCTTTATATAAATTGGTGGGTCATTCAAAACAAGGTTTCTCATTGCTTTTAATATTTTTTTGTATAATCGTGGATGGTTTTTAATGAAGTTGTTTGCAGAACATAATCTTGTGTATAAGCATCCTAATCCTGTGTTGAAATTAAACCTCTTTCTAAATTTAATAATGGGGGTAGCAGGTATCAAGACTAGATCACATACTAATAATAAAGGCTCACATAGATAATGTCATTAATCAATTCCCCGAAAGTTTAAGCTGTCGAGTATAGATACCTGAATATACACACAATAAAAAATGTTTTGTAGTTGGGCAACAAATTTCAGTTTGTTGGAATATCTTGTGACATGCAGCTCATAATTTGAGTGTTATTTATCCTTCTAAAAAGGAATAGTTGGTACAATATCCTTGCAGAGCGTAGTTGTTATTAATATATACTCTACATATGCAGGAAATGAACCTCTTGGTTGAAGCAGACAAACCAGGTAATCAGCTGGATGATTATATAACAAAACTAAATGCCCTTCTGTCTCAGAAGGCAGCCGGCATCATGCAGTTACAAACCCGTCTAGCTCATTTCCAGAAACGTTTAAAGGAGCATAACGTTTTCGCTTCATCTGCTGGTTACTAATTTAAATCAGACTCCTCGGGTTTTTAAGTTGATGGAGTCCACTGATCATAATCATGGGGAGTAGTTTCCAAGAGAATGTTGTGAACATTATTTTATTTTTCTACGTTCTTAAACCCTAATTTGTTTGGAAGTTTTCATGAGGGAATGGTGTATTCATCTCCCTTGTTTGGAAGTTAAGATTATAAATAATTGATATATATTACAAATTTAATTCCAACACCAAATAATTTTCATTACTTCGTTACTTTCTTTCTTGAGAAAATAGTTCATGGCAACATTCTATCTAATCATTAATTGACATTATGATAAAAACACCTTGAAAGTCTTCTTCTTTTAATAATATATATATTCTAGGATGGACAAGGGGATAATATGGTTCATGGTGAACCAACAGAATCTGATGTACCCTCTGCAGTGAATCTTTTTCTCCTTTCTCTTTTTCTTCAACTTCTCATTCCTTCCTTTACTCCAACTTTCATTGCGGCAATTCCAGAGATTTTTCCGAAAACCCGCGTTGGCGGTAGTTTGAACATAACAACTGAAAATGATTGTGGGTTGCAAAAATGCAAACCCCATTACAGAAAAGAATTTGTTGGTGGCGATTGTTACAGAGAATCAGAAACTAGCAGTGAAAACGTCCAAGTTAATATTTTTGAATCATGAACAAAGGAACTGCGCGCCGCCGCTGTGGAGTACCGTCGAGAGTCCGAGGTCATCGTCATTTAACGGATCTCATCAACACCATCGGGTGGTGAATGGTGGTGGATTGAAGCAAGTGACTGCAGAGATTTTTCCAGCGGCTCAAACGGTAGTGCATGGCTCAAAGAAAACAAAGAATGTGCTCTATTGTAGAGAAGGTCCACCATAACAGTGTGAAGATTAGATAAATCTAAGGCTATAATTTGTGGTGCATCATAAACCATTTGCATGAGTGATGCACCGTAGCCGTGTCCCTAGTTGAGGAACTAAGTTTATAACATAACTAATTGAATTGAATAAGATTACCTAATTGATCATTATAAAGTTACATAAGGATATATGTAGTCATTTTATTTTTTAAATGAAAAAAGAATAAAGAGATTTTAAATGTATTAGTGAGGAAAAAATGAAAAAAGAAAGAAAGAATAGAGCTAGTAATTACAACAATGTCGTTGGAAAAAATAACATTAGATTTCTAAAATAAAATCTTGAATAGCATTCGGAGGTGGCTTGCAAGGTATCTTCTAAAAAAATAATTATCAACATGGTTAATAATACTTTTTTCTAATTTCACAGTGACAAAAAAGAAAAAGGTTGATAAGCTAGTTTATTTTCTTAGATTAATTGAAGTTATTTTTAAATAAGTTACAGATGGTATTCTTATTATTTTTAATAAAGATATAAAATAAATATGTTTCTAGTGTAAAAAACTCTTACATTTATCAAATATTTTATAGATACTATTATATTATAGTATATAATAATATAAATCTCATCATATAAATATGTTTTGTAAAGTTGAATTAAATTTATAATTTATTTTTTATTTTTATTTTTATCTCTTACCACTGGAGCATATATTTTCTTCAAGGATTTTCCATTAAAGTTTGTTAAAAAATTCAAGTTAAAGAAGCTGAAAATGAAAGAATCATTAGCTAAAATACATTTTTAGTTCATTATCTTATATTCTAATTTGAGTTTGGTCTTCTAATTTGAGTTTGGCGTTTAAAAGCCTCTTATACCGTGTTGAAAAAGAGAAAGGAAAGGAGAGCCACGGAGATGCTAAATCTGGGTACTTAAATGACACCACGTAGTTTGATTTATATAAGTTTATCGTAATTCGTGGAGGAAATTTTGCTCCTCTAAATCAGATAAGAATTGTCTATAAATCAGATATATATTAATACAGAATATTTGAATAGCCGGAAATTTTATCAGTATACATTACATGGTAATTGCCATTTGTAAGTATGGAATAGCTGCAAATTTTAAAATATGAACTTGTTTTCCGGGAAATGCGACAATTAGCAAATAAGAAAGTTTGATTCTTATGCTGTAAGAAACCACTATTATGCACGAACAATATGGATTATTCAAGCAATAACCAGATAGCATCGTCAAAGAAAAGAAAACTAGGAGTAGTGGGAATTGAACAAAGCAGACTCATTAGTACAGCACACCATAAAAAGGAAAATAAGAGGCAGCGAGTAGTGAATAAAATTAATTTCCTATACGGTGTTAAATTTGCAATGTGGCTAACTGGTAACCCTATCTCAACCGGATTGGACCAAGTCTTTCATTGGTCTGATGCTGCCGGCACAGGGCTGCGAAACAGATAACTCTGACTGAATGTCCATGAAAAATTTGTCCACAATATCTACATAGACAGGGCTCTTAAGCCGAGAGTAGTAGTGCAGTGCCTCTTCTATGTCTAGTACGTGCTCTAGATCACCCGCATGCACCATATCCATTGCCTTCATCTTTTGTGCTAAAACATGAGCTTTCTGGTTCATGTTTTGCGAATTTAAGTCCTCTTTTTTTCTGAGGTGTGAGCTTCCTTTGTTCTTCTTCTCTTGTGGTCTCTCCTCAATCTTGCTCTTTTGCGAACTTAGCTTGGCAAAACACATGAAGCTTCCAGTACACGAAGCATCTCGCGTTGCTGACCTGGACATGTTACCATACATGTTTATTCTGCTGAGGTCACTCTGCAGAAGATCATAAAACTCATTGTAAAATTGGTCGCTTGTGTGAGCTCTTGCATTGCCAATTCTACAAAAGAATGGGTTGAAGGAAAGAGATCTAGGAAGTTTTTGGTACTCTCCAAAGAAGAAAAACATGAAATTTCGGAAGCTTTTGTGAATGAAAACCTTGGTCTTGCGAAAAGTTTGTATTAGCAGCATTTGTGGTTCTACTATGAAAGGGAGTGGCTTTCTCTTCTCCAAGTGTCCACCTCGAAGGGCAGTCATAGTTATAAGCTCTCCAATTTTGTCCACATTCAGATTTTCAAATAAAGAGCTGTGTGGTTGGTAACTTGCTTATTAATAAGGTCACCAAAAAGAACTCTACCATTTTGTCTACGGCATCTCATGTTCTCTGTCCCTTTCAAACCGATTTCCTCTCAGGCCGTGATTATATGGTAAGTCGGTGATATGAAGAAATATCAGATATGGCCAAAGTATTTTGAGCTCCTACATTTTGTTACTGACCCGGAAATTACTCCTCTTGGGTTAAAGATATTTAGAGAAGAGATTATGGGTCTTCGGACTTGTTTTGTTTTGACAAGGAGCTGTTAAAAAGTCCAGCGGTTTAAGATGGAAAGCTAATGAGAATGGGTGACTAAAAGATTAAGCCTCGGTTCCCTAAATCAGGTAGTCCTTAATTGAATTTTTCAGAGGTCTATGTGCTTTGTCATGCATCTTGATTTTAACTTTTTGCTACTGCAGTTAATAATTAATGCCCCACAAAAGCAGATCAGACATCGCTTTTAACAGAAAATTCAGTATATGTCACTGAGAATAATTAATGGCACACATGCTTATAATTCCAGAAACAGAATCTGTTAGTTGTCAATTTATTGGGAACTGGATAAGAAAGTGGAAGAATGAGAAGAAAGATGGTAATCATGGTATTTCCTGATTGTGATAAAACTGAAAATAGGAGATAGAACACTTTCCAGGTTCCCCTTTAGAAAGGATTTCTCATGATATAAATATCAAAACTCAATTCCGATACAAGACAGAATGCCTTTTTCCCAACATCTCCTCCTATTTATTTGCCCCTCAGATCCCCTCTAACTGACTCACCCGACTACCAACTACATTAATCGTGTGAAGTCCAGTTTAGCTCCAAATGCTGCAATATTTGAAGATGAAGTTTATCTTTTAATAAGAAACAAAGTGATCCAAGAATGGAAATCCTAGGCAATTGATTTTCAACTGCAAACCCGGTTAGTTGGTTCATAAGTTCCCAAATTATCATCTATCCTAGGGCTTCTAAAGGAGAAAACCTTGTCATTTTGTAAGAAATAGGTGGATGGTCCCCGGTCTATAGTCAGGCTACAGTGAGAAGAGTGCATTCCATCTGCTGCACTGGGTCACTAATGGACACTTGCCAGTGTTTTAATTCTTTCACCCACCTCGGTATGAAATTATGAAATTAAAGAAACAACACTTGCAAGAGTTTGGCATATACCTGTTGCCTTCTGGAAATGGCATTTGCCCTGTGAAGAAAGCAACTGACCTCTGGCAACTGACAATACTCTGGAAGCATAAACACAGGCTATACTCGTGATGACTGCAGACTGATTACTTATGTGCAATTACTAATCAATTATTTCAAGGTCTGCAAACCCTTGTGCTGTTCAAATTAGACCTGGTGCTGATCACAAGGAACCTTTTACAATGTATTAGACATTTATTGTTTTTAATTTACAATAAAAAAATATGTAGTGTTTTCCTCAAGTCCCATGTGAATGAAGGTGGAAAATGCTACAGATTTATCTTTGATTATGAAACAAAAAGATGTATGTAAAATATGACACCATCTTTACCCTTGAGTCCACCATCTGCATACTTTAGATTTGAAAGCCAAAAGAAAGTTGTAGCGGGCATCAATTCACTTACATTGAATAGGAAATCCAACGTGTTTATGCCTCATTCTTTTCGTGGTCACAAAATATGCCAGTAAATGGCTGTAGCTAAGAACCATACATGGTAATGAAAGTCAAATTAATTTGTTGTAGATACCCATCTTCCTTAGTAATAGAATAGGATCAGATAGCGTGTATTAGTTAGTCCCTATCAGTATATTTTTAAGGGGATTATCCGCTGGTATTTTAGAATAACGGATAGTAAGCAGTCCTAAAATCCAATGGTTCTAAAATGTGTAAATAATGTTTAATATTCATTTTGTTTTTGTCATAATAAGATATTACATAAAGGGTTTGAATTTCCTGCAGTTCTAAATAGAAGAATATAATGTTAAAATAGAAGAATAGCCAAATCTTCCATTACAAAAGGTACATCAATCAGTAGGATAACGGTAATCTTTGTAAGTTTGCATGCAAACGCAGAATAAGTGTATCTAACACGCGCTCTGATGATGAAAACGACAGCGTCAACTACACGAACAGAGTAAAGAAAACTTGGATTTGCAACTCACTTTTTTATCTAAACTGTGCTAACAACTTGAACTATTTACTAGTCTGCTAACAGGATCTGCTAATCGGACTATTGGCAGCATGTCCTTTTGAGTTTAAAAAACTGATGCAACGACCTATGTACCTCACCATAGTTAATAGAAGAAACAAGACCATCTTTTATCCACTGAGGGAGCTTAGTGACTGGGTGAGAAAAACTTCGTTTTAAGGAATCAGATGCATATCTTGTGTCAACCAACAAAATTGCAGCATAGTCATTAATGTGACGGATCGCTCTACCTGTAATAAACATATTTCTCATGAAAGGTTAGGACGAAAACCCATCAAGATGTGGACAATTTGCAGGTACAGATTGCAAAACATACAGAAAATCCCTTAATATATAGAACCTAGATTCCTTCATTTAAAAAAATTAGACTTATTTAATTTTAGTCCCTAACTATCGTAATTGTACGACTTTTGTCTCATATGTTCCGATTGTGACTATAGATCTCTTAAGCTTTATCCCCTTTACAATCAAGCCCCTCCCTGAATTGCACCAAATATTTAATAAAATAAATTAACAAGACAAACTAGGCACGACATGACAATGAGTAAATAAATATGCATCAGCTAAAAAAACACAATATTTCAACCACAATGACCTAACAAATATATATTTTGACGGTATTGACTTAATTGGCGTGTTAAGGATTCTTGTGGTAAATTAATGTTTACATGACAACAAAGAACAAAAGAATTGTCTTTCACTATAAGGAAATTAATACTTAAATATTGAATTGGAGGTAATGAAAATGGAGGAACCGCATTTTAAATGAAAGAAAACTTAAAAAACTCATTTGATGCAATTGGAACCGACAAATCAAAATCACACCACATATGCGGAAACTGAGCATGCAATTAAGCCAAAAAATTATCTACCACACATCTTAAGTCTTGAGAGTCTAATTTTAATTTTTAAATTATTGAAACCAATTAGATCCTATGAAAAGTGGTTTCTACCAAAACAATGCTCAACATAGATCCACAATCCATGGAAATATCCTTTAGGGGTTACTGTAACTTGTAAGTACGTACCTATTGATTGATTTACAGCTTTCATGCAGAGATTCTCATAGTACTCTTTTCCTCTATGAGTGCAACTTCTTAAGATGTCAAAACCACCTTCTACATTTCCACTGTATAGATCATAACTGGCAGGAACGCTAGAATTCTCAAGCTTTAAATTTTGAAAACCATCAATATGCTTTATCCTCTCCAACAACTCTATATTAGATGGGCTAGCATACGGCAGTCCAACCATGACTATACATCGGCCCATCCCATCACTTAAGTTGATCCCTTCAGACAATTTCGCACCAACAACAGCAAGGAGTATTGCACCACCACTATAAGATGCCTGGTTTATTTCTGAATTCATACCCGACGATGTATAAATGTTATCTTTATATTCCTTAAGAACGGATTCAACGTCCATGTTATTTCTAGGCTCCCTAAATACACGCTTCCTCTTTGTAATCCTTTCAAGAATGCCAGATGACTGCCAATACTTATAGACTCTGTTTTCATAATCAAAAGAAGGGAAGAAGACCACAATTCCTTCCGGAACCACAGTCGCTAAATTACATAGCAAAAGACCCAGTTCTCGCATCTATAAAACACAAGATGTAGCACAGTCAGTCATTTTACGCAGTTAGTATTTCATAGAAATTAGACTGAAGAAGGATAGATGGAACAACGAACCACTCACCATGTCTGGTGAGTTCCTGGAGTTGAAGCTAAAATCAAAGGTGCGTCCAGTAGGCCCACGTGTAAGAGCAATTGGCATAATGCTATCAGGAGGAACAATATGCCCGCATGAAAAGAAATGCAACTGGTTTGATGGTAACCATGGAAAGAGTCGCTCCCTAGTCTCTTCTATAGGTTGAAGTGTTCCCCCTACTAATACAACGGCATGTGCTTCATCTACAATCTAGAGAAAGTTTCCCAGTTATTTTCTTTTTAGCTACAAAATGCTTTCTAATTGAGGAAACAGTATCAGGCCAACCTCGGAAAAAATCTTCTCTGCACTGAGCATAACATACTTGATATATCCTCCTTGCTTCCCGATGCTCGTTGACCTAGACCTGGAAATTATTATCCTTCCATCACCATCATTGTGTGTCAGTGATAGTAATATGTCAACTAAGGTCTGGAAGGCAGATACACAGCTTCCCTCCTCAGCATGTTCCTCTATTTTATGGTGTGCTGGTATCTTCTCCAAGGTAGCCAACTTTTCTCCATAACCACTAAGCTGGAAAATCAAAACTTTGATATCAGAACGACAAAAGAAAGTTCAGAAGCATAGTGAGGCATTCTCTCAGAGGAAAATGTATATATTAAGTGGCAAGATTCACCTTGTGCATGATATTACTTTCCTTCACATACTTCAACAATTTGACCAAGTTGATATTGTCTATATTATGTTCAAATAAAAAATCATTGATGGCCATAGTAAAATCAGAGGCTCTATTTTCTTCAGAAGATTGATCTATATCACAGCAAGAACCTATAATATTTCCATCTTTATCATCAAGTAGTACTCGGAGAAAAGCTTGTGTGAGGACCATCAGGGTTTGAATGTATCTCCGATTAGTTGGTCCCAAAAGATTCCGGAATCTCACAAAGTACCGTTCCAAATGGCTGTGCACAGTCTCCAGCTGTAAAAAATAGAGGACAGCCATATAATAATTGATGAAAAAATCAAAATTAAACATCCCAAATATGGGTATAAACAAAATATAACTTTCATGATGTCCGGTGTCTGCAACTAAAGCAAATGTAATTGCCAAATGACTGATCCATAATTCATGAATTTCCCTTTGTTTCGTAGGCTTTCCATTCTAATCACCTAAAATAAAATATTGACTTAGCTCAGATGATTGGGAAGGCAATTCTGATAGAGTTCTGAGGTTTAGGTTAAGTAAAGTAGTAATTTTGTGGCAAAAAGAACCCAAAATGCGTATACAAACGCTAATTAAGTCTATACCAGTTCTTAAAAGACACTGGCAAAATTTCAATCAAGGTTAAGATAGAAATGGCAATAATACCTGTGATAAAGTAATTTTGGAGTCATACATGTTGATGAGTGAATCAGCTAAATTATGAGCCTCATCTATTATAACAATAGTGGATTTCAAATTCAGGCCAAGTGCTTCACGAGATGATTTAGACAGAAGCGATTGATATGGTAGGACAACAAGATCAGCTCTCCGAACTATGCTTCTAGAGCCATAGTATGGACAAGTTCCCATAGTTCTTCCAAGATTAGCAAGATCTTCAATATCCAGGGGTCTTTGTTGAAATACCTCATTCCTAAATTCTTGTTGAACTCTGTGTTTTCTAAGCATTGGGCAACCAGAAGAAGTGGCCTTTGTTCTGCGTATCCCTGCACCTACTTTTACGTTCTGCAGGGCAAATCCACCGTTCTTTATTCAATTTCAAAAGTTCTTTACTAACAGTAGGTAGTGAATACCAAAATATATAGTTATCAGATCAACTAGACATTCAACATGGGAAACAGTAAAATGTGTCATCTTAGATTTTATATTTCTCAAGAGGGCTATTTTTCTTGGATTTCCACTGTGCCAACAGACCAAACTTAATTGCTGAGGAGCCACGGTCATGGGAATGGAAAAATTATGCATCCATAGAAACTAAAACAAATACCACACCCCTATAACTTGCAAAAAAAAAAAAAAAGTGTCAACCCGTTTTCAACATTATGTCACTTTTTAAAAATTGCACACCTTAACTTTGGTGGCATCAGTTTTCTTTTTCTTCTGAAGTTCCAAGCATCGCTCATTTATACGTGTAGAGTTTCCAAGTTCAACAACTTCTGCAATACATGCAACAGATCATTGGAAAAATATGAGACCATTTGCAACTACTTCCGCTTCAACAAGTGAAATAAAAAGGAGAAAGAAGAGTATCCAAGTGAAGTAATCTCAAAACCTTCATTAATGCAAAGATTTTTTCTGGAGCCTAAACTTACAACCTTCATCTCAGTAGCGAACACCGTCCTACGCAATTCCTTTATGAACTGCGAAAGTTGTGAGTGAGTTCTACTGCAGAAATAAACCTTCCACTTCTTCTCCTCCTCCTCTTCCTCCTCGCTAGACTCATCTTCACTAGAGGAACTAAAGGAGGTGTTAACAGCCTTCCTCTTGGACACTACACTCCCTGGCCCTCTCTCATCTTCACTCTCGTATTCCTCCAGTAAAAACTCCTCATCCACTGCATCAATTTTCTTTTGCAAACTCTCACCCCCCTTTTCCTCTCCAGCCCCCATAACTCTAAAATCCTTACGAATTTCCTTACTATTTTTATTATTATGAGGTTTTCCCCACACAAACCCGCGCTTTTCTTCCTTCTTATTATTCTCTACTTTGTTGATGATGAAGTCCCTCATCCAATCAGGTTCGTCATCTAAACCAACCCTGCCACCACTGCCATTCCCTGGATTCTCATCACAAAGTGCTTCCTGTTGCAGCCTCCGGTCAAGCACCCATTGCAAGGCACTGCAAATTACACTCATGGTCTTCCCAGTCCCTGCTCCAACATACACAATGACCAATCAACACTCATTTTACCGTAACTAAGGCTAAACCTAACTGAATCTACTAAACAAACCTTAATTTCAATTCAACACGAAAATTGAAGAATTAGTAGGTAGTTACCACTCACCAGTTGGGCTTTCCAACATAGACACGCCTCCTTGATTGAGAGATTGATACAAGCTGTTCATGAAATCAATCTGAATTGAATAGGGTTCGAAAGGAAACCCTGGGAATTTTGCCGCTCCTTCATCAGCTTCCATTTTCGACGTGCTTTACATACGATTACAAGCAATTGCGATTATTTTTTTATTTATTTCATATTACTTCCCCTTCGTGGCGGGAAAATAACTTCGCCGCTCTTTTATTTTCTTACATGCTATATTATTGGGCCGAAGGCCCAAAACGAAAATAATAACCTATAGTCAAGAGGCCCAAAATATCACAATGGTGGCATGTATAAATAAATCCTTTCGCGTACTGCAGCGTTAGAGAGCACCTCCAATTAGGGTTTCTGATCTGCTGCTATTATGGTACTACTACTTTCCCTTAATCTCTATGGATCTGAGGTTAATTTGATTCTGATGATGTTTGGGTTTTGCATGAGTGCAGGGGAAGGGAACAGGGAGTTTCGGTAAGAGGAGGAACAAGACCCACACCCTCTGTGTGAGGTGTGGCCGTCGCAGCTTCCACCTTCAGAAGAGTCGCTGTGCTGCGTGTGCCTTCCCTGCTGCGCGCACAAGAAAATGTAAAAATTTTGCATATTAAATTATAAGCTTTAGCTCAAAATGTTCAGGTTTGACTCGTTAAGGTTTCAGATAACTGGAGCGTGAAGGCCATTAGGAGGAAGACTACTGGAACTGGAAGGATGAGGTACCTGCGACACGTGCCTCGCAGATTCAAGAGCGGCTTTAGAGAGGGTATGTTTGGTTAATCATTGGAAAGTTTAAATTTAGTTCTTTGGTTCAGGTGTTTTGTTAACCTGATCGTTTTGAAATCAGGTACCGAGGCTGCACCCAGGAAGAGGGGAGCGGCTGCCACTTCCTAAACTTTTAAAGATAGCAATTTTTAGGGGTCAGTGAAATTATAGGAGTTAATGATTTTATGTCGATGTCAAACTTTATGGAACATTTTTTTCTCTGTCGTTTTAATTTCATTTAATATGTAGTTGATTTGTGTTTTGACATGAGGATTGTAAGGAATTTTGGTTTTTAATGAGAGCTTTTGACGTCTATATTTTGGTTATCATTCTCAGCATTGGTTTTGGTATATTGTGGTGCGCAATGCACTGTAATTAGCTTAAATTTATGTTAAGCCTGATTGGACAAGGGATGATTTGCGGGAAAGTTCTTGTGGTCTGTCGGTCGAAGTCCTTGCGAGCATATCTGATTAACATCTGTCTGAATTTCTTCATGATGAACGCAAGTTTGCAATTATTGTTTACATAAACGCGTATTTAAATTGCAAGCTGGCTAGAGTGTTTAGGAGGATCATAAACCGAATTTGTTGAATCGTGTTACTTGTTTCGGTTATTAAATTTTTAGCGTATTCCATTCGTTTCTTCTTTCATCTGTTTTAAGACCATTTTGATGCGTTAAAGTTTTAGGTACTTGTTTCTATGTTTGTCGTGATAGTGGAACATTATAAGCAACGAAAAAACAAAATGTAGATAACTGACGTGATGTGTTATCATACCATATTACATCGCCGGGTCACGCGTTTAGCTGTGTTTTATAGTGATCGTGTTTAAAGAGTAATAAGGAAATGCAGAAAGAAATTCCGAAATTAGTTTTTGTTTCCTGCTCACTTAAGCAACTTAATATTGTAGGATTCAGTTTCGCATGAGGATCGTGCACTAGCGTGCCACTTTGAGAGTTAGGCACAATTATCCCTATGAACGTGAAAGAAGATAGCTCGACAACATTTTTTCCAATAAAGAATACTAAAATAATTGCATTGCTCTCAAAATTTACAACTGGTTTGCCTTATAAAATACCAACCTTGATTACAAAACCTGACTTGGTAGGTGAAAAAATTTGAATTGCCTTTATATCGAAGTAGGATCGATCATCCCCGGTTGCATAGTCAAAATAGCAACCAAGAAGTTGCATTGTCAAAAGGGCAACCAAGAAATATCACAAGACAAAAAGTGTATTTCTGAAGACAAACATCACCATTATTTCTCGGTGCCTCATCTGAATATTTACTGAGTTCTGAACTCACCAAATATATGTTTTTCGTCTTGCAGCTGCTTAAAGATATTATCAAGCTCGGGAAATGCCGACGTCAAAAGCAGCTCCAGGATGTCAAATGCCAGCTGCTTCAAGCAAACGGATGACTGCAAGAAAGTCAAAAGGATTGTTTATAACTAAATTTTGGAGATTTAGGAGGAACCCTTCGGTGAACAGTGTCTGTAGGCATGTAATTAAACTAAGCATCATATTAGCCCTGGCTAGTCAACCGAGTACTGACTTTGTTATTGCTATAACATATCTTACGCTTTTGGTTGCCTAATAAGCAATGTGCCCGTGCATCAATTGCTCGAGAGATGACTCAGTGTAAAAGAAATGAAACACCAGAGAATCATTTCACTCTTGTCATGACAAAATTGCTACACCCAATAACACCTTAGCTCAAAAACAATAACTAATAAATATTTCAACATCTTGATTATACTAAGGTACAAATAAAAAAAACATTTCACGAAAATAGTACTACCATAATACAAGGAGACCTTGACAGAAAAAATCAGTTAACCAGAAACACTGTGAACAAGCAGAGTAGAAAGATCTAATCAAAGTAGTACCCATACCATAAAATATATGATCATGCACCAAGTGAGTGAAGTGAATAATAATACATTAGAATGCAATGCTCAGCATCATAACATAATGGGATAATGTTGCAACTTAAACCACCAAGAAATTACCAGATGAACAAAAGAAGCTTCTGTAGACAACTTCAATTCATATAGACAGAAATTACCTGAAGGAAAAAATATAGATCCCTTGCACATTGCTCATACTCCTTCCGACCAACAAGACCTACAATTGCTGGCGGTGCATGATCTACATCAACAGGGATGGGCGGCTAAGTATTATATATTTTTTCAAATAGAATTAGATACAAGATATTGAATATAGCCAAATCTGTAAATAAGTGAGAGCAGTATAACAGGCATACCAATCATTAGCTCATAAACAAATTTTGCTCGCCGATCTGCCTCTCGTTGCTGCTCATCTTCCAATCTTGGAGAAGTTACTTGTGCAGTTTGATTTCCACGAGGAGAATTTTGAGATGGACTTGTAGGTGGTGGTGGTTGTCGGCGATTTGGATGCTTGGTTATGAATATTCCATCAGGCCAGAGTATCTATTAAAGAAAGTTGTAGTCACTACAATACTATAACGATCATATGATTATCAGGCTTCTATAATACAGGGAATTGAAACAGTTAAAAAAAAATTATATGATGGGGATAGTTTCAAGGGCATCGCAATCTAAAAGAAGGGAAGGGGATTAGAATATTACTTGCTCAACTCGCTTGACCCCTGAAGCAATCACTGATCCCTTACGAAGAAGCTGGATTTTCTCTATCAACCAGTCATCAAATGCATCACCCATTCCAAGTTGTAAAACTTGTTTAGCAACCCAAAAAGCTTTCCGCCTGTATTGTGCCATACATTATCAGAAGATAAAGATGATTCAAGCGGAACTTAAAATTAAACAAACTTATGTTTAAGGTCACATGAGCATGAATTTTCAGATTACCTGATCCATCCACCATCTTGAACCTGGAAGATAACGTCAACCAAATCCAATATAGGTACACTCAAATTTGGCGGCACCCACTGCATTCAAGAATTTTATATTAATCAAGATACTCAAGCATAAAAAAGTAAAACAGTATCAAAAATCAAATAAGATTTTATCTGTTTAAGAACTGCAATGAATGATAAAAATAAATAATTCATCTATTGCTGAAAAAAAAATCCAGAATGAAAAATTCTTGTCTAACCTCTGTTGGAAAAGCATCAGAAGTATCACGGTGCACTTCAGAAGCCTCATCTGAATTATCTCTTCCTTTCACTGTCTTCTGCAAGTTATTGGGAGAAGGTGCACTCTTCTGCGCTAGAATATCTGTATTGCGGCTAGAATTGTCGAATGAATCTATAGGTTCATGTGTATTCTTTTTTGGTAGAGAAAGAGGCATGCTGTTTACTTTTGACCTCAATACATCGGTCTCAACATTATTTTTTGCTCGCAAAACAGACTCTTTACTTTCAGCATTACAGTTTCCTCTCCTAAAGGCCAGAGGATCACTTGCAGGTGCAGAAAAGTGAGAAGTGTTTTTAGTCTTCTCAATAGGTCTCGCATCCATGCCAACTAGAATAGTTCCATAAGGAAGAAATGCAAGACATGTCAATAGATGGGAGAGAGATAATAAAACTATGAATGCTCAACATTTTTCAACAACCATGACTCACCTGATAAAGTTTCCATGATAGAAAAAGAATTTGAGAATATGTATGTCTGCGGTAGAAAATATGTGATGGATAAGAGATAAGCGAGATAATTGTTTAAAAATAAATATTCACAACACAGAAGGGAGGTAACCATTGGACAAGAAATCAGACCTGAGAATCGACACTGAGAAAGTCCCACACTTCAATTGATTCTGAAACTGTTGGTAGTTGCATAAGTTTCTGAGGGCCAATAAGACATGCGTCAACAAAATATTGGATGGATAGATGAAAATTGTTAGTAATAGCAGAAGAACAATGCTATAAGATGGATGCAAAATGAAGTATTGTCTCTCAACATAGAGGTACACTCGTATACAATAAAACAACATCAATCCTGCTGGTAACAGAATATTGGTGATCCCAGTTCTATCCCACAGTACTAATTAAAACAGATAAAATGTTCCTCTACAGAAAAAAAAAATTAATTAGGAATGGAAGTTAAAAATTCACTAAAAATGCAAGCCTACCATTTAGCCAAAGTAACTTCTGGGTAACAAAATGTGAACACAAAAGAAAGCTCAAGCCATAAAAAATTTAACCAAAAGTGTGCCTAACGCACACATTGGGTAGTGGGATAGAGGAATCAGAGAAATGTGAGAATTTAATTAAAAAAAAAAGTATGTTTATTAGACCTTCAAATATTTATCCAGTAATTCACACCGCTCTTGAATGACCGGTACATCTAAACCAGTTGACAGAAAATGCTTTGGTGGCAAATGAAGATTATACTGAGGGAACTCTTTCAGGCGTCGATGTAGCTCCTCAAAATGACGAAACCTTAAAAGAAAAAAGAAACAATAATGTGTAAGAAAAAAGAAGGAAGCAAAACAAGAAACATGTGAAAACAGAGTAGATTGAAAAAATTTATTACAAACATTGATATAAGACATAGCAGAAACTTAGCACCTTCTTTTAATTGACCAACTGTTATTATTTATATCTGTAACGGATATGGAGTAAACAGCAAAGGTTTTTGAGCCACTCTTCACAATATTTGCACCTAAGACCTGCAGCAGTAAATTGGCTTACATTTCATATGTAAACATATTAGTACATGAACTTATTCATCATTAATTAAAGAACTACTTATCACCATCATAAGTACCTCACATCTCAACTTGTAAAATGAATCTACGGCAGAGGAACTTTTCAAGGGAGTAACAGACAAACTACAAGATTCTGTTTTAGAAATAGAGTGGGCAGAAGAGGAGGCTGCTGCTCCACTATAAAGTCTGCCTAAACTTTCCATAACAGCATCATCACTGGACTCCTCAGAATCTATTCGTGATTTTGAAGAATTAAGTATGTCTTGACCATCACCAGATAAAAAGCTTGTTCTCTCAACTTCCTGCCACGTTTGTATTTTATGACCACCTGACCAAGACCTTTTACTGCCAGATTGTGCTCTGGATAATCTTGGATAGCGAGAATGTCTCTTATTCCTTTTCTTTGCACTGTGATTGTCAAAATTTTCAAGTGGGTGATGAACATAAGAAACAGCCTGGTTTCTATTACTTTTTCCATCCCAAACCTTAGTGACAGGGGTATCAAGACCAGTGACAGTACTACTTTCGTCATCTTGAGAAGTATAAGATGTACTGCTCTCTGAATCACTCATCTGCCCATAAATGTGGCTATGCTCATCGTCTTTATATGATGGAACTGATTCATTGTCTCTATATGAGGTAACTGAACTTGATCCATTCTTGTCTGCATGAATGGATCTATTTTCAATGGAGAATTGATTACTGTGTCCAGAATTAATGTGGAGTCCCTTGGGGGCAATAAGCTTGGAATTAGTATCTTTTTTATTGGGTCCAGATATTTCTTTCATATGATCTACCTTCAGCAATTTCCCTGCCACAGGATGCTGTGAAACATGCTCATTTGATGGGTTTTCACCTTCCTTTTTCTTGTAATTTTTCCCTTTAGTCCACACATTCTCAAAATGTTCTGGAGCAAGAGCTTGGGTCTTCCTGCGAGACATGACATCTAAAATATCTCCCCACTCTCCTCCTGAGCGATGTCGGTGAATACTTTGGTCATCATTAATTAGAGTGTTTGCAGGCATTGAGTTCCATGTACGGGAAAATCGAGTATCAACTGAAACTGAAAGCAATGGATCTTTAATAATATTATCTCGGGCATTATTTTCTTTAGAAGTGTCTGCATTTTTGGATTGACCATTTTTTAGCTGCACAAGCTCAACGCCAGTAACTGAAGGATCTGAAGTCTTGGAGAAATCATCGGATGAAACCTGTAACTCATCTACTTTAGTGTGAGATGCCTCTTGAGCTGCAGCAACCCCCTTGTTAACCTTGGTCTTGTTAACTACCACAGATTCAATTCTTTCGTTAATAAATCTGTCAGCAGAAAAGGGGACAATGAGAACAGCATACGTACATCAAGAATGATACAAAAATGGGAAAAACAGATACCTTGGATTTGCTAAGTTTAGGACAGGTCGTATTACAGCACATGCAAGAAGCTCTCTGACAGTACATCGAAAGAACGAACACTGCAAATCCTCAGACTTGAAAGTAACACGCATAAGACCAGTCATCAGATGCTGCAAAACCTGCAAGTTAAGAATACACACAGTATTATAACCCAAAATTAAAAATCATAAAAAAATAACAGCTCGTGAACAAAAACAAAACGTCCCATTAGACAATGCATGCATATAAAATAAGAAAAGCACAAAACCTTATGTTCAGCTTCTGCAGAAAATAAAGCAGGATGCAATTTGTTCTCAGCAGCCAAAACAATTTTTAGCTCCATGTCTCGACTTTCAATTGTTAACAAACCAGTGTGGTTTTTTACAATCTTTGAATGGGCAGCACGAAACAGCTCCAAGTGTGTGCAAATGAGATTAATAAGATCCCTAAACCGAAAAAAAAAAAGTTAACTTCAATTCAATAAAATTAAAACCTGATGTGAAGAAAAATCGCAGTCAAAAAATGACAGTAAGAACCTTATTAAAAAATCTATCAAATTTATGTTTCTCATCCGTCCTGAAATTTCCCCAAGAACACCATTAATTATTTTCACTAACTCCTCAGGACCCTCTTTGTCTGGTGTTAAGCGAGAATACCAAAGATCTGTCACCCACTCAGAAATTAAATGTCTGGTGAAGTGATCAATTGCATCCTCAACAACAGGAGAATTCACTTTTGTTCTCCACTCAAACCTTGCAATAACTTTAGGATTTTCCATAGGCTTCTTTGTAGACTGAACATTGGTGGAGCCTGCTTTATTGTTGTATGCTGCAGCTTTTCTCTTCATTTCAAAATCTAGTGATAAATAGCGGAGAATAATAATCAAGGAGGCTGCAGCTGGCAAGTTGACCCAAACTGAGGAGCTTGTCACTGGAATGAAAGCAAAGGAAATTAAACCAAACACCAATACCTAAAAACAACAAGAAACTAGAAATTAACAGGTGGAGAACCTTTTACTATACACAGTTTTTAGGTATTAATAAATAAGGCTTTGCTTGGAGACATGAACAGTATCAACAAAATCTATCATTACCAAAAGCTGATAAAAGAAATAAAACTCAATTAAAATGTGGGCAGTTATGGTTTCATTGAAAGCTAATATTTTAGGAATTGTTCCTTCTACTTTATTCATAATTTAGATACAAAAAACTCAAAGCTTTTGAAGAAAACAAAATCTGCTTCACTCCCCTTCAAAAAAAAAAAAAATCAAAACTACCAAATCCTACACTGACCTCAACTCTTTTTACTTTCTTTATTTATCCCTAATTCAAACCCAACACAGTCACAATATTAAGTTTATGAAGTTTCCACTGCCATTAAACACTCAAACATAACTGTGGTCATGTTTTTCTTATCTCGCTTAAAATAAATTGCACACACACAATATGCATAGGGAGGATATATAACAAAAAAAAAAAAAAAAAGAGAGCAAAAATTTTAGTAGCTACGAGACTAAATACCTACATGGATTTATTCAGGGTCCATAACGGGGTAAAGCAATGTACAAAAAAGGAGGTCACATGTAATTATACATTGATTTCTAACAAAGCTGATGTGATTTTCATGGTAGCTATTTTAGGAGGCCTCAAATTTGTTTTTAACAATTTCAAGGTGAAAATGATAGAGTCAGATTCCTGTTTCTATATGTATGGATTATGAAATTTTTGAACTGTTCACATTTCTCACAAAACCAAAATGTTAAAAGATAATGTACAACATATATTTTCATATTTAGATTGAGTTGTCCAGAAATCTTGAGATTCTACCTAGTACATGCCAGGTTCATACTAGAATGATAGCTAATCCTAATTCTTTCAAGCATTTCATGCTTCCATAATGGCTCTCACTTTGGTTAGCACTGTATCACATCACCAACAAAAACAAAGAAGCAAGTACTATCTCAAAAGGAAATTAAAGAAAACGGTAGCTACTCTTTGATATTGAAAATAGTAGCAATACACCAATTAAAGCATCACTTTGCACTAAAATTATTGGCGAAAATCCCATTTCCTACTTTTGCTCTCGAAGAGCAACAAGAGAGATAAGTGGAATCCAGCAGAATTTTGTTCCACCGAAAACCTCCAAACATCTTTCCAACAAAACAGCTACAAACGACGTCGTCTTCTCTTAAAACTGATAAACCATCAGGGCTATGTCCTAAACTCAACAGTATTGTTCAATTGATTTTTCCATATTATGGAGCAATTGATGCTAAATGCGGCATGAACTTATTCCAACCATTCATCGCACGGCAAGTAATATAATAACGACTAACATGCCTTCAAAACCCTCGGCACGCGATTACCATAACAACTAGAAAAAAATAAAAATAAAAATAAAAATACTGAAACTAAAACAAGCAAAAGCATACAAAAAACTCTCAATTGAAGTTCATCGAACAACAGAGACACAAGCACAGAGCGAAATGAAGTGAAGGAAAAGGAAAGGGAAACTCACAGGACATGAGATAGGAGAGTCCGACAACGCATACGACGAGGATGACGATCCGTTTCTTGGCTTCCTCGACGAGGTCTCTCACTACCACCTGGTTTGGCTTCGGCGGCATGTTCATCGGAAACGAAATTCTCCAAATCGCCGCGCAAACGGAAAAGAAAAAACTCGATTCAAATCAATCTCAAGCTCATCGCAAGATAGGTGATAGAATAAGAAGGGAAATTCCGTTGAAGATGTTCGAAGAATTGAATCGACGAACGGTGTGACCGTTAGGTTTTTCGGTGACGTTTGCCGGTAAAGGTAATGAGGCGGTGGTGGCGTGTGTGCTTGATTTTCTCACTTTTATGTGTCAGTTTTCTTTCGAACTTTCCCACCTCCACACATTGACGTGGGATTTCTTTCTTTACTACTCTCGTTCAATCTCTACACTTATGCAGCTATTACCATCTCCATTTCCTCGCTGCTCTACATTTCTCTTTATTTTATTTTATTTTTCAGAATCTCCCCTCATCGCTTTTTTTTTTTTTTTTAATTTCAACGTAAAACAACAAACTAAAAAATTCCTGAAATAATTAGATTGCATTATGAGAGAGATGCGGTATTTTAAAAAATTTAAAATACGACAATAAAAAAATTATATCGGATAAAAAAAACTTTTTGGAAATGTTATTTAAAAATTAAAACAAAATTTACTTAATAAGTGAGAATAAAGACTATAAAAATTACTAAACGTATTGATAGTGATGAATTGTATACATATCATCATCTAGTAATGATTAATAACATTGTTGAAAAAATATATACAAGAAGATAATATTTTTTAATATTTTTATTTCGTGTTAACAAATTTATATTATATCTAAAATAGTATTACGGTATCACTGATTTTTTGTGTGTGTTAAATTAAAACTGATTATTAATGCATCTTCTACATATTTAGATTTTGGAGGATTTTAGTAAAACCCCAACTTATCCCATAAAAGGGGACATAATTTTGGGTAAAGTTAAAAATTTTAAAATATAATATATAATGATGTAAACAAGTTCTCACTACAATTTTTGAAGAACATGTTTTATGAAAAAAATAGGCTATATAATCGAACTATATAATAATTTTATATTATTATCTAATTACAAATAATTTTAAATGGAAATTTATTAATCTTAAATAATTTGTCATATTTTAATTGGTTTTATTTATTATATTAACTTGTGCATTCATGCTAGAATTTTTATCTTATTGAAATCATAAAATAATATTCTGTTTTTTTTTCTCATATTTCATGGCATAAAAACGTATTATTTTCCAGTAATTTTGAATTATCACTACTTTGTTGCTATAACCTCCTTATAACTTAAGGTTATATTTTATTACATTTTTTACAAATTGATTTTTTGTCATATTTTATTTTTTACAAATACAAATTTACGTTGGACGATGTTGGAAAATGAGAATTAGGTAAAACAAATCTCACATTAATTATGCGTATTTAATTTAATGTTTAAATAATTATGAAACAAACACATACATGTCTTCTTTTTTATTTTATTTTATTTATATTATTAGACTTTTCTATTGTGAACAAATGTGGTTTTTATTTACTTTCGTTATTTTTCTCCTTCAATATATTATTTTTTCACTATATTTCAAATAATTTTCGGGCATTATATTGAAACTTGTAGTGACATCATTTAACAAATTGGCCTACTTACCTTCTAAATATCTCAAATTGACCCATAGACATGGATTGACCTTAAAATAGTATAGAAAATAATTTTATTATAGTTCCTATAATATAAATTATATACTTTTTTTATCCAAAAAATATATATATATATATATATATATATATGAAATGTAAAATATAATTTTTTTACATTCATATATCCCTAAATTTTTATTAAAGATTTATGTTTTCATATACTATATGACTTAAAATTAAAAATAATTTATATATATTATTCTGCATTAACTTTCCAAAACACAAAACCGTCCCTGACATGCAAAACGGAAATTACATAGAAAGATTACAATTTTGATTTTTCTTTTAAATTTTTTGAATAGAAATAAAAGTTATCATCCACCACCATGGTGGCAAATACAGTTGTAGCTGTTACGACTTTTCGCCATGGACAGGTAGACACGACAACTAACTAGATTGCAACCACTAACATCTTTTCTTTTCAGGATTTTGATCAAATTTCAATTATCAAAAAAGTAGTTACCCATTCGAAAATGAATTTAGTCCCTGCATGTTTGCATGTTATGTACTTTTTATTTGAATCATGATACTTGACATAAATAATTTTTTATATAGTTTTTTAATGAATAAGAAGAAAACGCCAAATTGAAGAATTATTGGTCAAATTAGTGGGTACTGCTAAGTAACAAGTCCAAGTGAAAATATAGTTACTTATGTAAGTAACATTACATTATATTCAAGTTTATGAACTTTTAGTAACATGATATATGGTTCGACTTTAACAAGTTATTGAAAAATATAATTACCTAAACCGATTGACTTAGACAAAGTTAATGATCGATGTTTTCCATTTATTTACTTTATCTTAATCATTACATTTACTTGATTACAAAAATAGATATAAACAAAGATTTGTAATTAATTTGATTATCAGAAAGTGGGTATAAAATATAGTAAGAATAAGAAGATAAAGTGACAGAAGTATATAATTATCATTAATCATAATAATAGATAAATAGTAACGAGTTGAGTTTTCTTAATCCCGTCATTCGTAGACATGACCTTACCTTGTCCACGACTCGTTGACTTGTCGTCACACGGTCGCATCGTAACTATGTAATGAAAGGAAAATAAAATTGAATAAATAATACAGTAAATGAAGAGTTTATCATTTTTTTTCTATTGAAGAAGAGTTTATTGTTTAAAGTAAAATATATTGATAATCTAGGTCTATTAAATTCACATATTAATTATACATTTTTTCCATTCAACAAATAATATTTAATTTTAATATATTTTTCATAATGAATACGGTATATCATTTTTCTGCACATATTAAAAATAACAAGAATGTATTATTTTTGAAAAAGAGTTTTCTAAAATAACTTTATTTTCACAATAAATGTTTAATTAATTGACATAAATTATAAATAACAATATTAGTGTTTCATTAAATTTTGAGAATATTGATCGAGTTATTTTTTTAAGATAAAGAGTATACTTTATGTTTTTCATATTTTATTTATTATAATTACCATTTGACACATTTTATTAATTGGTCAGTTTTTGAAGAATATATATATATATATATATATATATAAATAAATAAAGTAATAAAATGTTTTGTTTTAATATTTTATAACTAGTTCGTGACATATTAGTTTTATAGAATTTAAGTGGTACGTAAAATTTAGGTTGATTATTTTTTTAAAATATTTAAAAAGTATTATTTTTCTCGTTAACGATTGAGTGTTAGCAAATTAATAAGATGTCCCTAGATATAATTTGTATATTTTATAAACAGGTTTTTATATATTATTAATAAAATTTAATTCACATATATGAATTAATAAATATTTTAATACTAATAATGAAAGAATAAATTTTATTTTAGTAATAATATTTAAAAGATAAAAGTATTTTTAAAAGATTTTATTTTAGTTAATTTAAAATTTAGGATTGAATTAAAATATATGTATATACATTCAACTGTCAAATTGATCTAATATTAAAATACCTCTTTCTCCCTCTACTCTGTCTTTTTCCGACAATTTTATGTTATTTTTATAAAAATTCCCGCTAAAAGAAGCGACAGGTGTGGGAAGTTGGTGCAAAACGCAACAGGAAGCAAATGAAACGACGGGGTGGAGCACAGAATCTGGAGTGCTTACGTCGTTTATTTTGCACACGTTATGAAAAGTCGTGAGGGAGTGTGGAAGTAGAAGTAGAAGGAGTAGCTATCATCGTCAGGGTCCACTACACACACCACATTCCTCTTTATCCCTAGAAAATCAGATGTGAGTGATGATGCAAACTTCTGAATCCTAAACCTTTTCTTTCTTTCACTCCCCCACCCATCCAAACCCTCACTTGGAAAACTTTGCCGCCCATGTCGTCTCCGTTGCCGGCGGAGACTCCTTCTGACATTAACTCCAGTGCCTCTCCTTCTTCTCCTCCGGTGGAGACTCCTTCCGACACTAACTTCAGTGCCTCTCCTCCTCCTCCATTAGCTGCTGGTCCGAATAGTCCCAGCGGCGGGGGGCTGTCGCCGGGTACATTGAGTGGAATAATTATTGGGGCCGTGTTAGGTGCAGTAGGTATGCTTATCGTTGGGGGCATTTTCTTTTGTTTCTATAGGAATTGGAAAAAGAAGAGAAGCCAGAACAACTACTCTCAACCGTCACAAACGAAAGGTCAGGGTGAATGTTTGTAAAATGCGACTTTAAATTGATTTCGGTTAAAGTTGATTTTGAAATGGAATTAGTATGTTTGAATGCTTTTATTTTTAAAATGATTTATTGGTAAAGTTGGCGTAAAATAATCACATTAGCCGATGTCCCAACTTTTTTTTTATGATGGATTATGAAAATAAACAAGCAGTACACTGAAGTAGAAAATACAATTGTTGTCATTTTTTTTCTATTGGGTGAGATTGATTAACTTCGGTTTGTTGCTTATGATTAATACCCTGATAATCGTAGTAAATGTGCCAGCACTACTCGTACAATCTGTAATGTGATTTCTTTTAAAAAATCAACTACTGTTGAGGTTTATTGTGTTTGGACGGTCAATTTAAATTTTGTTTGATGGGTTGGTGCAGACATTGTTTTTGTTTATTACTTATTTCAGATAATAAAAAATTATACACAGTGTGGTTGAGTTTTGTTCTAGTTTGTGTGTAAAACTGGTAAAAATTTGGACTGGGATTAATTGTGTTCCTCCAATGGCAGATGGCAAAGTAAACACTGGCAGTAGCTCGGGGCCCGAAGAGGTGAAGCCATCACCTGGCATTTCCTTGGCGCTATCTGACAGCACTTTTACATACGATGAATTAGCTATGGCAACGGATGGATTCTCCAAATCAAATCTTCTTGGTCAAGGTGGTTTTGGCTATGTTCACAAAGGAGTTCTCCCAAATGGGACAATTGTTGCAGTCAAGCAGTTGAAATCTGAGAGTAGACAAGGGGAGCGCGAGTTCCATGCAGAAGTGGAGGTCATTAGCCGTGTGCATCACAGACATCTTGTTTCCCTAGTTGGTTACAGCATATCAGACAACCAGAAGATGCTTGTCTACGAGTATGTGCCAAATAATACACTAGAATTTCATTTGCATGGTAAGATCTGTTAGCTCACTTAGGATGCAAATTTAATTTAACCATTGTTTTCTGAGATAGGATGTCTGAAATGCCACAAATAAGTGTGCCAATTCTTTCTTGTAAACGTTTTAAAGTTGTGTACAGGATACTATTTGCATGCAATACAATGTTAGTTGTTTCATACTTTCATGTGCAAAAGTATGGCTTTGATTTATGTCATAAATTGGTTTTATGTGTAAAATAATTATAATATCGTCACTCTTTAACAAGAATGAAAATTTGACCTACTGTGGTTAGTAATTGAGTTATAAGGACTCTGCTGTCTCTGTAGCAGTTTGATAATGTTATTTATATTTCACAAGTATGATACTGTAGTTCTAAATGAATCATGAATATCACACCAGGAACGGACAGACCATCTATGGACTGGTCGACTAGGATGAAGATTGCTATAGGATCTGCAAAAGGATTGGCATATCTGCATGAGGACTGTGAGTTTACTGTTAATAAATAATGTGATCTGCTAAAGAATTGGCAGTGTTTTTGGTCCATGATGTTAGTTTTGAGATTTACATTTTAAATCTTATATCATTTTAGGTAATCCCAAAATCATACACCGAGACATCAAGGCATCGAACATTCTTATTGATGATAGTTTTGAGGCTAAGGTAAATTTTATAACTTGTATGCGTGGGAATGCAACAGGCAACCCTATGGAAAATAAGGGAATTAAGTGGAGTTCCATGAAATCATTAAATGAAAGAAAAATGTCATAGAAATTGTTCATGTTCACATTTAGCACTCCAATATCTATGCACATAGTAGAATAATGTTTCAGAATCTTCTGTTCAGGTTGCAGATTTTGGACTTGCAAAATTTTCATCAGAGACAGAAACCCATGTTTCAACTCGGGTGATGGGAACTTTTGGGTTAGATTCTTCATATGTATTTCTTGAATCTAATTATGAAATACTTTTATTGGGCAGTATGTTTCATTGATTTTATTTTTCCCTTTTCTATCTATTATATCTCACTGAAACTTCAATTCATTTAATGCAGATACATGGCTCCAGAATATGCTGCTAGTGGGAAACTCACTGAAAAGTCAGACGTTTTCTCCTTTGGTGTTGTGCTTTTGGAGTTGATCACTGGACGAAAACCTGTTGATAAAACTCAACCCTTCTTAGATGACAGCATGGTTGAATGGGTGTGTAGTATACTGTACTCCACTGATGTTTCTGTTTTGATAGTTATGCATAACTAAGAATAACATGTTATCAGAATGCGCTATTGTGACATCCTTTTGTATTTTTGTGTCAGTTAATGAATTTTCCCAAGCTTGAGAACATATAATAGGAGTGCATGTGCATGTGATCAGAAACTTGCATTCTATGTTGTATTTGCCTTTATACTTTTTTTTTTTTCAAGTTGCAATCTTGAACTTTTACCCTCTTTGTTCAGTTAAATGGGTTGTTGAAAAACCTTATTCCTTGAGGTGTTTTAAATATTTGGAAAACTATGTATCTTGTCCAGTGGAGATCAGTTTTGGAGCTAAATTATGTGATACACTTGAAAAATCAATTTAACCTTATCACCAATCTTGTAATTAATGTCTGTTTAGATTAGTTTTAAATTTGTCTTAAATAACTTCTTTTAGATGCCAACTATGTATTGATCTTGGATGAAGCTAATTATAGTTTGCAACCATGTCAATTACTTGCAATAAGTTCTGGTTTTGCTTAAATTGACGCGGAAATAATATCTGAAATATTCTGCAACAGATAGTTGAGATGACAGTTTAATGCTGACAGTTATCCCCCTAAAAACATCTTGTCCTGAAGCATTGTTGTGTATAAATTACAGTCTAGGCCTTTACTGTCTCAAGGTTTTGAGAATGGCAACTTCGATGGACTTGTTGATCCAAAGTTGCAGTCAAATTACAATCATGAAGAGATGATCCGAATGACTGCTTGTGCTGCAACATGTGTGCGCCATTCAGCCAGGCTTCGGCCTCGAATGAGCCAGGTGAGTTGATTGAATCTGAAGATATGGTTGAGAATAAAAGGTATGTTTTGTTTTTATAATCAAATTGCTTTGGTTGTTTTCTCTGACAAGGGTATGTAGTAAAATGCCTCCCTGAAAGGCATTCGCCTCTTAGACAAATAAAAGTCCATTGTTGTTTTCATGCATATTACAAATTACGAAGTATTGTCAGGATATGTGCTATACTGGTTGATGATTTTTTAGATTTAGTTCATGATCAACTCTGACCATTGGCAAACTGCGATCTGGTGCTTCCCTATAAAAATGATCAAATTAATGACATTGGGTAGGTTGTTCGAGCCCTGGAAGGAAATATTTCTCTAGAAGTTCTAAATGGGGGGAGCGCACCTGGACACAGCGGAGTTTTTGGCGTCCAATACAGTGAAGACATGAAGAACTTCAGGAAGCTGGCACTGGAAAGCCAAGAGCAAGGCATTAGTGAGTACAGTGGTCCCAGCAGTGATTATGGTCGACATCCATCTGTCTCTAGCAGTTCGGGACAGCAAAATACGCAAGAAATGGAAATGGGGAAGGTGAAGGGTAGCAACCAAGATTCTGCGTCAGGCTCTTGAGTGATGATTCCTACGATTCACAAAATTGCGCTTCAGACATCAGTTTGCTAGTGCACCCATAAGTTGGTACTGGTACGTATAATGTTGGTATATTTTGCAGGTCCAATATATTAATTTGTGTCTTTCTTTTTTTCCCGGCGATTTTCACGGTCTAACTTGGTTCCGAAGTACAATTCCTGAATTATTTGATACACATGAAGCTTTATAAAGCTTCATTCATTCTTCGATGGTAACATTTGTTTTGTTTTAACTGGGAAAAAAGCCTGACATTGGGACTTGTGTTGAGGATGAGGTTATATTTTGTTCTTATTTGGTGGGCTTTGTGATAATGCATTCTATGATTCTTCGCCTGGTGTTCAAGGGCTGTAGCTACCGAGTTTTATTGTTTGTATTGGGAGGGTCACAAGGAACACTAGTTTTTTTACCTCCAAAGAGAACCGGTGTAACAATCTTAGTGCGACCGAACTACTTCTTTATCCTTTATGGTCTCTACCGATTTATTGGTGTGCTCAACTTAATACCAAGAGGAGTAACAATTTTACTTTTTCGCTTCCAAGAGAATCAGATCCATGTTTTCATGCGTGCATGAAGACAAAATCATCTTGTTTCCATGAAGATGCTATTTTGATGCACTGTATTTATTTGGGCAAAAATCTAAAAGTTTCATGAAAAAAAGATATGCGTGGATGCTGGAAAAAATTAATTGCCATCTGAAAAGTGAAATGTAAATTGAGGTAAATATGGCAAAGGCAAGTGTAGTTGTCGTTTACTATAAAAGTTTTTTTTCTTTCCAATTTGCTGTGAAAAAGAATTTAGAAGACATTTGAAAGTGCAAATTTATTAAAAAAATGTATATTCGTACGTGTCTACTTGTCTTGGCCTCTTGGGTTGACAATAAACCTGCAAACTATAGGTACACACAATGATTGTGTTCCTTACATGTTTCAACAAACTATTTTCTAACTACGTTTCAAGAAAAATAAAAAGTAAACACTTATCTTCTGAAGATAATAAGTTAGGCTGCCTCTTGTTTCATAAATTTTTTTTATCGATTATAATATATGTAAAATGATAAAAATATTTTTGAAGTGAGTGAGTGTTTATAGTATAAATAATTCGTTGTTTTATTTAATTATTTAAAGTTTAATCCATAATGTATTTTAATCAAAAATTATTCGGCATTCAATTTTTATATTTAGTATGAGTGAAATATTTAAGGTAAATTATAAGAATAGTAAAGAATAATAAAAATAAATTGTGGAAAAGTAAATGTGTAAGAAAAATAAATTTAATACATTATCAAGAATAAAATAGAAATTGATAAAGAAAATCAACAAAAGTGGCTATTCAAATTGTAAAGAATTTCATTAAAAATGTTTATTCCAAATTTGTAGCATTTTTTAAAATGAAAGTTTCTTCATATAATTTGACAATGACTTACGATTATATTTATTTTATCTTATATATTTTTGTTCAATGTAAATGCCAAGGTGACCTAAAAATATAAATATAAAATAAAACTATTAATTAGAATTTTTGAACTGTTATTTCCTTGTAATTGTCTCCCTTTCTTCCATTTTGTTCATACGTGTCATTTGTAACTGTACATGTCAAAGAACTTGATCATAACCGTTTTCATAAATCTCTCAATATACCACTTGAAGATCTTCTAACATAGTCTTTCTCCATGTTTTGTCTCTTCAATACATTGTGACATTTTACTTCGATATTCTTCACTCTTTAAATCCACGATTCTTCTTTTAATGATATTTTGACTTTTTCGATATTTCCCAAATCCTTTTCTTTTTATAATACCTATTGATAACTTTTCTATCTTCATAATATACATTTTATCGACTACATTATTTATTCTTTACAACTATCGATGTCTTTCCTCTTGATTCATTCTTTCAATATATTTGTAATTTTTATATTTAACAAAATGCCCCCTAAGATAATATTATATGAATCTTGATGAATATATATATATATATATATATATATATATATATATATTATTTTTTCTCTTATTTTCAATATCAACTTCAAATGTTTTATCTTTACTTTATTCAAAAGTTGTTTCAACCCATGTTTCTATCATTATTTTTCATTCCCCTCATAAATGCAAAATTTTCATAATAAATGTTATTATCTGTATCATCACTCCTTTACGCGTCATTGGTCTAAATTTATTTTAAAATATTTGATTTATTGGATATGAGCTTATACCAAGCCAATCACATTACTAGGTTCCTGGGAATAAAATCTCTTCATTCAAAATTAAAAACTATTCATTTTTCTCATCCCCACATACTTACCCTACTTTGCGATCATTTTCTCAAAATCTTCTCCACTCCTTCACTCTCATCTTACTTGTATCATAGTTGAATCTTGACTTATACCTTTTCTTCAAATGACTTCATCATATGAAACTTCCCGAACTTCCTTGTCCAACCTATTAATACTCAATTCTTTGAACCAAATGTAAAAACCTTTGCACCTGTTCTTGGTTTATCAAAAGAATCCAAAAAAAATTGCTCCACATAGGTATTAATCCCGTACTCAATTAGTTGTGTTTCACTTCCTTTTGGAGGATCATTGATCCAAAACTCTGATCATCCAAAAGATTTTCTTTCAAATAGCAAAGACAATTCCATTCTTCAACAAAAATCCAAAAATTTTAGAGTTGACTTTTTTTCCCAAACTTTCAAAGTATATTGTTCCATACCACCCTAAAAGAAACCCTCCTGTATTAAATGGCTTGATATGGTCGAAGCCAATTATAAGAATCATAGAGAAGGATTAATATTTATGACCTTCTCTATCTCTTTCGTTTTGACATAGGTCATTTTGATATGTTAATGTTTCTCCTAGCAGTCTAACTTTGAAATAAAAATCTTAATGCCATCGAACTTTCTTGTGGCCCTGTCTCTCCAACTTTACTCGACATGGCTGCTATTACGGGTCGTAAACCCATTGGGGAGAAATACTACATCAATGCTTTTTCGGTGGATAAAACAATCGAGTTAAAAATTCACTAGAATAGAAAGCATACAACCATTTCCTCTTTGACGAAGAACATGTAGCTTTCCTCTTTGACGAAGAACATGTAGCTTTCCTTGTTTCTCATTGTTCATCTTTTGGTTCACTTTGAACTTGTTAGCAACAATTACTACACTACACCTTGAACATAACGCCACCACTTCATTCTTCTCTTTTTTATGATTCAAAAAATCTGTTAGCGTATCTTCTATTTTATGATAAATCTCATTCTTTATTTGTAAATCTTCCAATTCTAGTTCAAAGTCTTTTTCACCATCATCTAATTTGACATGACGTGGATTGATATCTTCTAATATAATATTCACCATGTGAATTCCCAAATCACCCACCATATTCTTAACATGCATTAGTAGTGTTAAGTTTAACTTCCACATACCCCACATGAGCTTTGAAGGGATCAATATCCACCTTCATTGGTTTCTCTTCGAATTTCAATCGATCTTGCTCGATAGCATCCTATATCGTGTTCCTAAAATAAATACAATTATTAGTCCAATGCTCATATATATTATGAAACTTACAATATTTTTGCCCCTTTCTCTGCTCTAAAGAAGATAATTTATGATCATTACTCAACTTTATTTGTTTACCTTTTAATAAAATATCAAAAATCTTATCCGTCTTAACAACATAAAAACTATAAGTTTGATTCCCTATTTTGTCAGAAATTTCACTTTTTTGTAACAACTTACAAACATAAGGTGGACAAATTTTAATTTCAGCAACATTTATTTCATCATCGTTTTCACTCATTTCTTCATCTTCATTTTCTTCTAGAATATCTGGTAATTCTTGATACTTATTTATTCCAACATATTCAATTTTATCTTTTTTCACTACCTTACCGAATTTATGATATCTTTCTTTCTCATATATAATATGCTCGATCCTCCAAATCTTATCTGCTAGAGCCGTACCCCTTAAAGGTGCATTCACTAACTTTTTCCTTATCGAAAAATCTTACCTTACAGTTGCCATTCTCACTACCTCACTCTCAAAAAATTTTGTGAAACACCTTGATATCATCAAATCAATCAAACTAACCTGAGTTTCCCCTCTAAAGAATTGTTCATGAAAATTTCTTTCCAACTGTGCCTAATCGAATATTAAATTTGGAGGCAATGTTGTGAACCAAGTAAAAGCATTTTTTGTTAAAGAACTTGGAAAATATTTCATTATCAAACTCTCACTCGTTAATAAATTCTCACACTCAATTTGATACTTAGTTATATGTTCGACAGTAGATTCCTCAATATCACCTGCAAATTTTGTAAACTTTAGAATCTTTTGTCCTCTAGGTAACTCAGCTTCTAACATAAAATCAGGAAAAAGGTGAAATAAAATATGAATGATTATATTATCTAATTCCTTCATCCGATTGATTCCAATGTCCGATTACTTGATTATAAGCATTTTGTTGATAATTTTCATTATTCTGATTATTCCTTCTTATATTATCCCAAACATGCAAAATTTGGTAAGCATCTTGACATCTATTAACCATCCTAACATCTCTCTGCAAATTATAATTATTTCCTTGCATATTTTGATTATTATTGTTTTGTTCTCTAAGGGTTCAACTTGTTGATTATTTCTTACTTGCATATTATCATTTTCTAGGTTATTCCTTTTTGGGATAGCAAGTGCATCTCTTATCCTTATCATTTGCTCTGCTAACCTCTGAACTATTGACAATCGTTTGTACCAAAGGATTTAAAATGGTAGTCATTTGCTTGGACAACATATTAACCATTTCATGATTACTATCGTCTATTTGTTGTTTTATAACCCCTAACATACTACGTAATATCCTTATGTTTATGTTATCGAAGTCACCTTGATTTCTATTATTCCCCATATCATTTCCCCGTCTTAATTGGTTTTGACTCTGATCATTTATCCTGCTAGAATTTAGGTTGGTTGTCATGATACCATTCCACAAGGATACCTTTCAGCTATTGGAATTCTTTGATTATTTCTTTGAACTGACATGTTCCCACTAATCATATGTGGTCCTACACAAATGCTACCTATCTTATTATTTATTGGCTGAATCGTTTATTGATTGATTTGACTACCAACGTTTGGATTAGTAGTAACACCCTGAACAATTTTGCTCTCATGTCCCACATTTTGACTCTCATTGTTATTGTTCATTACTGCACTAGTTATTACCGTAAAATTCAGTACAAAAGTTATTTATGTGTTTTGACTTGTCATAATTATTCTACCATTTTTTACTATCATACATTATATAGTTGTCTCACTGGGTGTGCCAATTTGTTTCTAATATAAATGATTTGTTGTTCGGTTTAATTAAAGTTAATTCTACAAACTTATGCCATGAATCACTTTTAAACACTATGTAGATTTTTAATATTATTCAAAGTCTAACACACAATATATTTCAACTAAAAGATCGTTTGCATTCAATTTTTATATTTAGTATGATTTGAAATATTTAAGTTAAATTGAAAGAATAGACAAAAATAATAAAAGTAAATTGCGAAAAAGAAAATATGCAAGATAAATAATGATAGAAAAATAAATTTAATTCATTACCAAAGATAAAATATAAATTGATAAAGGAAATCAACAAAAGTGACGATCCAAATTACAAAGAATTTCATTAAAAATATTTATTCTTAATTCGTAGCATCTTTCAGAATGTAGGTTTCTTCAGTACAATTTGACAATAACCCCTGGTTATATTTATTTTATCCTATATATATATTTTCAATATAACCGCCACGGTGATGTAAAAATAAAAATATAAAATAAAGCTAACTAGAATCTTCGAACAATTATTTTCTTGTAACTATTTTCTTTCTCTCTATTTTGTTAGTACGCGTCATTTAGAATTGTACATGTTAAAGAACTGAATCATAATCGTTTTCATAAATCTCTCCATACACCACTTGAAGATCTTCCAACATAGTCTCTCTCGATATTATGTCTCTTCAATACATTATGACCTTTTGTTTCGATATTCTTCCCTATTAATGATAGTTTGACTCAGTAGTGGATCTTCTTGGGAGCTGAGGGGGATCGTGACCTCCAAAGTTTTGTAACTCTCATGTAATTTATGATTTTGACTCCCCAAACTTAATGAATATTTAATATATTTACTTATATATTTACAATTTTATCCTCTCAGATTCCTCCTTAGTTTTATAACTCTCATATAATTTATAATTTTGTCCCTCTCAAACTTAATGATTATTTAATATATTTAAGTATATATCTACAATTTTATCCTTTCACCCTTTTATCTTCTTTCTTCCTTTTATATTTATTTATTAATAATATATTATTTGATCCCTCAATATCAATGGTTAAGATCCACCATTGATTTGACTTCTTCACTATCTCCTAAATCCTTTTTTTTTCGATAATACTTACCTAATGACTTCCCTCATCTTCATAATATACTTTTTTATCTAGACTTATTTCATATATAAAAACAATATTTGATTTGTGTCTATAATATTCTAGATTATTGAGTTTCAGACTAATCCATAACTTATTTTCAAATCATATTTTTAGAAATATATTCTAGATTCAACTCTTTAAAACTTATTTTTGGATTTTATTTCTTAAAAATATATTTTAGATTTAACAATTCAAAGTTCATCTTCAAATTGAGTTTTCTAAAAGTTTATTTTCGAATTCAATCATCTATAAATTACTTTTAGATTGTCATTTTTGAACTGTATTTTTCAAAATCATTTCTTCTAAATTTTATTGGATTTAATTTTAAAAAAACGTCAATCTAAATTATTTTAGTTTTAAAATTTATTTATATTAAAAATAATATTATCATTTTAGATACATATAAAATTACAAGTAGAAAGTACGAATATAAAAGAAAAAACTTATTAAGTTCTAAGTTTGTCTGTAAAATGCTGACTTCATCTGTTACAAGAAATAAATTTCTGTTCAAAATACTCTATTAACTATGCCTATGGCATGTGGTTACTATCAGCACGAAAACATTTTTATATCTGTCTTGCCTTGTGCTTATCATTTAAAAGGGGGTAATGGACTGGGCCAAACTATAGTTTTATATTTATTTTAGTATCTCTCAATGTTTATCAAATTATAGTTTATACAATTAGTGTATTTCTATTTTTATTTTAAAAAAAGAATCGAATAGGGCCTTAAGTAATATTTTGGTAAGAAAAGTAATATTCAATTTCTTTCTTATAAAAAAATTAGTAATTAATAATAAAAATATATTTTTAAAATAATTTATTCTCTATAAATTTTATAAAATTTAAAAATCAAGATTAAAAATAATTTATATATATATATATTATTTATTCTTAACCGTCTTTTAAAAATAAAATAAAAATTATGATAACCTAGAATATCAAAGTTAATAATAAATTAATCCTAATTATATTTAAGGACTGGATATTCCGTCCTTCTTGTACAAAATACCAGTAAACACAAACCATAAGTTTTTAGTTGAGTTTATGGACTCTGCATGAGTGAGAGATTTAGTGTAAACATAAATACACAGTAAATTGACATGAGATTTTGTTTAAGAACCAAAGAAACAGTGAGTTAATTTTGAAAGGTTAAAATAATTATGCGTAGTTAAATGAAGATGCGTGGGTAGTTTGGGAAATAAGAGAGTGAGTCATGGCTGGCATTCGTTGTTTTGTTGGTAACTTACTCCTGTTCCTCCATCTGTCTTTCAAACTTTCTCTGGCGCAAACTGCTCCAAACTTCAACACTTCCAAACACAACTTTTCTTTCCAAATTTTTCCACAAAAAAAAAAAAAACATTTTCGAGTAAACACACACTTCCTCATCCATGGCATCTCGCCGCCGCATGCTATTGAAGGTCATAATCCTCGGAGATAGCGGGTAAGCTTCTTCTTCTTCTTCTTCTTGTTCGTCTTCTTTTAATTTCATCATTTTTTCTTTTTAATTTAATCAACAAATGGGTTAAATCACATAGGCTTCCCAGAAGAGAAGAATGGTTGTTGCATTTATCTTCCAAATTTGTAGTTTTCGTTGAAATTTCCGATCTTTTGTTTGTTTTGCAATAAGAAATCATGAAATATTTCTTCCAGGTACATGAGGCATTAAAAATTTAGGGGGAAAACATGAAACTGTCTTGTCTAAATAACCTTTAAGAAGGATTAGAGGAAGATAAATGGCTATAGATTCTATAGATTTGCAATTTTCTTACATGGTTAGCTTCATGTCATGCCATGCATACCAATATTTGAAAGCTTATGATTCCAGTTCGATGCAATTGCAATTGCTCTTTAGTAAGTTATTCTCCAAGATCTCTCTGCTAATTGACGTTTTCTCTTTTTAATTTGTTGGCAGGGTTGGTAAAACATCACTGATGAATCAGTATGTTCAAATCTTAGATTTTTCTTCTGAAATTCTTTTTTATGACTTTTGGGAAATGTCCGATGACAATTTTTTCTATTTGATTTCTGTTTTCATGATCATTATTTCCTCCCTTTGAATCTAGGTATGTGAATCGTAAATTTAGTAATCAATATAAGGCAACCATTGGTGCAGATTTTCTTACCAAGGAGGTTCAATTTGAAGATAGGTTGTTCACATTACAGGTGAGAGATGCAAGAACTCATTGTTTCTTTTTTGGATAAACAGCTTTTTGTAGCTGCAGCTACGGATCCGTTTTGAACAGAGCTATTATGTTATCAATTTCATATCACCACCTATATTTGATTAACTAAGTGGCTCATGATGCTGACCAAATGAATGTAACTAGAGTGTCTTATATTCTCAAAAGTATTTGAGTTTCTTTTAAGACCTAAATACTCTTAAGGTTATAATATAAATGTTTTTACTTCTTCCTATATTAATTTGTTTTCTATGCAATTCTTTTGACACTGTATTATGGGTTTCCTTGTAAATCTCAGCTCTTTAGATTACAATTTTCTTTGCATTATCTTCGGATCTCACTTTGATGTTATTTAGTGAAGGATGAGGCGTTTTATAAAAATCGAATTTGGAAAGAGAAAGAAATATGCTGGGTTCTTGTTGTAAAAAATTAATGTCTTATGGTGTATGAAATAATGGCCATTGTCAGGGGTAGAGCCTCTTGTAGTGATGGAGTGGTGTGGTCCACCCCCTTTCCTTAAAATAATAATAATTACACATACAAATAGTATTCTATAATTTATAACTCATGGCCATTGTGCATGGTATCTGATGATGGTTGGGGCAAGTGCGTGGCACTTTCTACTTGATAAAAGATAAATATTGATTGTATGTTTTGCTATGATATTCATTGAACGGTTTCATTCTTTGATCTGTTTGAAGATTATGGAAGAAGATTAATCATCTAAGATTGAGATGTTCTCACCATACATGCAGATTTGGGATACTGCTGGTCAAGAGCGGTTTCAGAGTCTTGGTGTGGCTTTCTACCGTGGTGCAGACTGCTGTGTACTTGTTTATGATGTAAATGTCATGAAATCCTTTGACAACCTTAACCACTGGCGAGAAGAATTTCTTATTCAGGTACTTCTTTTCCTCGTTCTCCTGCTTTGTGGTATCTTTGTTAAACCCCAGTGAGAAACTCATACAAAATATTTTATTTTCAGGCTAGTCCATCTGATCCTGAAAACTTCCCATTTGTTGTATTGGGAAACAAAATAGACGTTGATGGTGGAAATAGCAGAGTTGTAAGTTACTTATTTTCTCATGGCATAAATTGTCTATTGACCTTAATAAAATTTCTGTGTTCAATGATCTGTGGTGAATAGGCTTTCTGCTATAGTTGTGAGAAGATCAGCTTTAAGGCTTCACCTGTTTTTTAATCTATATTCATCTTGTGTTTGGTGGTTATTTTTGCATGTATCCGTTCCTCATAACCTCTTCTGTTGCAGATTTCTGAGAAGAAAGCAAAGGCGTGGTGTGCTTCAAAGGGAAACATACCATACTTTGAGACCTCTGCAAAAGAAGGATTTAATGTTGAAGCTGCTTTCCAGTGCATAGCAAAAAATGCGCTGAAGAATGAACCCGAAGAAGAAATGTGAGCATTCCTGAAAACTTTTAAAGTTTTTCTTTATGTGTGATTTCATCCATTAATGATTTATTATTTCTGGCTTCTAAAAGTTTAACCGTAACAGTTTCCATTGACTCATCACAAAGCTAAAGTATGCTGTATTGTATCAGGTACCTGCCTGACACAATTGATGTTGGTGGTGGTGGTGGACGACAACAGAGATCTACTGGATGTGAATGTTGAGTGGAGAGAGATCATTGAACTGTTAGCCAGAATACAAACAACCCTCATGGATTTTTAGCCAGCAACTACTTTATTGACTATGTAAAACCAAGGACAAATTCCAAATTTCATTTTGTATCTATCTAGTGGATTAGGTGCCATTATGTTTATTTTTCAATTTATTTCTTTTTATCTTTTATGTTTGTGACAAATGTTCTTCTAAATTAGGAAATGTATGTTGAAATTGTTGTGTTCAATTGGGTTATGACATAGATGTTCCTAATTTTAAGTATGACTTTAGATTTGGGTATAAATTCATGTATCGTTAGTAATTTAAGTATGATTCTAAGTGTCACATTAAATAAATATGAGAAAATTGAGTAATATAAAAAGAAGTATGATCCATAATCTAATGCTTAAAGGTTTTTAGTTAAGAGGGATGTTTATTCTTTGTGAAAATTGGACTTATTTTTTATTGGTGTTGTTTTTTTTCTATGAATTCTCTTGGAAAGATTCAAAATGTATCCTTTCAACAATCAACGGGATCATACTTTCAAACATTTTTAAAAGTTTTAAATAAGATTTTTTTTTAAATATTAGTATAAATAATTTTTAAAATAAATAGAAATAAAATTAATCTTTTTAAAATTACTTTAAATTCATAATTTGAATAGAAAGTATGGATCTATAAAATTATTTTCTCAACAATTTTTCTTTATTATTGTTTTTCTCATTAATGGTTTTATTTTACACAATTTTAAAAATACCATCGTACCATGCCAGCGTTAAAATATGTGTACTTTTGTAGATATATATATATATTAAAGATATTTTATTAGGATATCTATTAACGCAGATAATTATTTTCATATCTATACTTAACCTTTATTTAGTTTGGATTAAAGAGAAAGGGTTAATTTTTGGGTCAAAGCTAAAGAGTGTTACAATTTGTGTCCCTTAACTACCCTTTGTTATGGACCAAAGTAGGCTTGTTTTCTATGAATGAATGCCAACGTTAAAATTTTGATTTTTTGTTGACACAAGTATTTTTGTGCGCAAACTTCATTAAAATGTGTTGAATCACACACAAGGAGGCATGCATGTAAAAAGTAGTTTATATTTTGCATCATTTGATGAAAATCACATTCATGATGAGGATTAGGTGAACATTGAAAGGAGACATGCAAACTTCAATTTTTGGAAGATTGTGTTGGGTAGCAAAAGAACACCATAACTACAATTCTTCTCAACATAATTATTATGAAAACTTGCTCATGACACTTTACTGATGATGTAATGTAATCTGTCTTTTATGTGACAGACACAAGCAAATGTAATTTCAAATTTTCAACCATACTGACATTTAAATTCAAATATTTTAAAAAATTAAATACTCCCCATTTTTGAATAATTTGTGGATAAATATCTTTTGTATCAAAAAGATTATAATATGTTACTTTTTAGTTTACGAGTTTTTATAAAAGATTAGAAGATTTGAAGGAAAGCAAGATTTTAACTTTCTATGTCCTATAAAATAATTGACATATGAAAGGAAAGGAGTATTTTAAAATATAATTTTTATTTTATAAGTATTTTGTGGAATATAACATTTGTATGCGTAAAGTATTTTTAAGAGAAACGTAGGTGGGCTATAATTGTTGTGGATAAAGGAAAGCCCAAAGTCCAAGGCCCAGAAAGGTTGCACATATCACCGCTTCAATCGGTGGTATATGTTATGCATCATCATAATTGTCAAACGTTGTGAATATTGTCAAGAGAAAGGAGAAGGTGATGGAGTCCACGGAAGAACAATCAGGAATGCTGCACCAGATTCTACCCCCGCGTCTGGAAGATGCGGGCCTCGAAGATCCCGCCCTCCCACCCGAATCCATCCACCAAGCTTTTGTCCAAGCCGCCACCGCCGTCAAAGCACGCGCCGCCTCCATTTTCTCCTCCACCGCCGACACGGATGACGACGATGACGGTTGTGTCTACGACCCCTTGCCCACCTCCAAGGATGCCTATGATGCACTCGTCGGAATCGAGTCGGAAAATGAACCACCGGGATCCTGCACCGTGGAGAGGAAATTCGAGGATGGCGCCGACGAAGTCAAGGTTGTCGGCGGAGGTTGCGGCAGCACGGACGACGTTGTGGTTGAGGGCGAAGTGAAATTGGGAGAGGATGTGGAACCGTGCGTGGATGAGTTACAAGGGTTGATTATCAAAGATGGGGAGAAAGGTGGTAACGTTGGGGAAGAAAATGAAGAAAACAAGAAACCTACCTTGGTTGAAGGCTATGCGTGAAAAAAGGGGTGAAGTTCTTTGTGTTCTTATTCTTTACCCACTTGTACTAGTTTCTGTGAAAGGCCTATGAGGTTATGTTGACGTTTGTTTGAATATGAAGTTTCTTCAATGTCTTCTTCATTGGCATAATCAAATGAATGTTTGTTGTATAGATAGAAGAGAGGGAGCCAATATATTCCTTGTCTAATTTTTGTTAATTTGCAACAGAAATTGTAAGTGATTAATGTCACTAATTATCATATATTATAACACATATATGGGTGTCCGTAACTTTTTGAATGACCATTTGATCAAGGTCAGTCTCTTGGTTTTGAGGAGAAATAAAGATGAAATAAAATCAATCTTTCAGTTGTATTGGTAGAGTAGAGATGGAGAAAAATATGTAATTTTGATTTGATAAAAGTAAGAAAAGATAAAAAGATAAATAAAAATATATGAGAAATAATGTAAAGAACTCCATAATGTACGTTATGCTTAGCTAATTGGAATATTCATACGCATAAAATAGGATTGAACATACCCTCATAATCACCAAAATAATAACTTTCTAGCCTCAGTAATTATTAAATAACATACGCATAAAATAATTAAAATAATATGCTTGATCTATAATCTTATTAAGATGTCAAGATGAAGATGAACTAAATCAAAAGTCACAAATAGATAAAGCACCAACACAGATATTAAGAAGCTCTCACAGTAATTCATGCCATGTCATAAATGTTTGTCAAATAATGCAGGGCTATCAATCCTGGTAGTTTCATGGCGGAATAAATTAAAACAAGGGAGTTAACAGTGGCTTTCCAAGGAAGTGAGCTTCCAGGTTTCCAAGGACAAGGTCAGCCATGGCTGTTCGAGTTTCTAATGTGCCACTTCCAATATGAGGCACAATGACAACATTTTCAAGCCCAAAAAGCTCTTCGGGAACAACAGGCTCATTTTCAAACACGTCTAGCCCAGCCCCAGCCAGACGACCTTCTACCAGGGCTGAGACTAACTCTGGCTCATCAACATGCTTACCTCTTCCAATGTTAATAAGAAAACCCTTGGGACCCAGGGCATTGATCACTTCCCTGTTGATTATGTGATGAGTTTCCTCTGTCAGTGGGCAAGCAACTACCAGTACGTCGCAATTAGATGCTAATTCTACAACACTTGGATAGTATTTGTATTTTGAGTTTCGTTTTTCAGTTCTAGAGTAGTAGCATATGGAACAGTTAAATCCTTCAGCTCTCTTGGCAATTGCTTGGCCTATTCTCCCCAGCCCAAGAATTCCAACAGTTTTCCCAGAGAACTGCAAGGAATATACACAACTTAAAAAATAATTTTGCTGTTGGAAAAGGAGTGGGAATACTATAAAGTATAAAAGAGGATTTTAACGTGCAGAATAATCGTATGATACATGCAACTCCAAAAGATTGACAGATCTTAGTGTCCAAATTAAAATTTGGTTTTTAAACATCACTCTGAAAGTCATAGAAATTGTGATAAGCTCCAAGAGCTATATATGTATATAGTGATAAAGAGTGAAGACAGAGGAGAGAGGATGGTAAAACAATGTCACCTTCACACTTCACACTTATTGTCCATGAAGCGGTTGGGATTTTCTGCATGAATTTGTGATGGGATACTAAGTTAAAGATAAATGGTTCTTTGTATATGCACAGCGAAGCTAGGTAGTGGTTAAGGGGTTTTCTGTTTTGTTCTTGGCGACAATTCTCTTCATCGTAAGATAGATCCAACACTCACTTTCCAGATAAAGTAACTAATCTCTGTTATAGACTATGATGCATAATTATGATACGTGAATCAAATATGATACAATCCAGTAAGATGATTATTCTAAAAATATACAAGAACGAAATAATATACATACATACAATATAAGTATAAAATTTATCATTGTCATAATGAACCATATCCGATTCTCTTCTCCAAATAAGAATAGTTTCAACTCCATCCATTTACTTGGGAGGCCATACTAAGCTCTTTTATAAGAATGTACTCAAGTTTCAACATTTTTGAAATCATTAATGGAGTATTGTAGTTTCTCATATCGATAGTTTCTGATGTCGATAGTTTCTGATGACGATACAGAAATACAATTTATAAACTATAGACAACAAAATCAACTGTAGATGTTATTATTATAATAAATGTTATCATAACGTTTTAAACAACTGTCAACTACTTCCATTAACTACTTAAAGCAGAATGACGAGAATGCAGAAGCAAACAAACCTTAGTAGTCAATTTGTAGTCCCCGTGCTTCCACTTGCCGCTCCTCACAAAGCGATCGCACTCGCAGATCCTCCTGAGGAGTGTCAGCATCAAGCCAATAGCGAGGTCGGCGACGTCGTCGGTCAACACGTGCGGCGTGTTGGTCACGCGAATCCCCTTCTCTCTGCATTTCTCCAAGTCAACCTTATCCACTCCCACGCTGAAGCACGACACGATCTCCAGCTTCGGCAGCGCCTCGATCATCTCCGCGTCTGCACCGGCGCCGGAGTTTCCGACCACCGCTTGGATAGAGGTGGCGTGTTGAGCCAGCAGCTGCGCCGTCTCCGGATAATCCCACGCGCGGAACAGCTTGTAGCGCTTGTCAAGCTCTTGCTCCAGGTAGGGCAACACAGGAGTCACGAGGAGTACCCCAATCGATCCCATTTCGCCGGCGAAATTGGGGATTATCTTGGTTTGTTTACGCTAGGGATTCCGTACAGAGTCACAACGCAACAAAAATTGATTCGGGATCCACGCTCTCTGCTTCACCTAATTTGCGTTTCCCTATATAATGTCTGTGCAGATAGATAGAAGAATAATTCACGTGGTTTAAATCAACTTAATTTCATTATTTTAAAACTAAATATTTTTTTTTCAAATTTATTTTGTTGTTATTTTTAATGTTTTATTCTTATTTTTTAATATATCATATTAGAAGTAAGGAAATGTTAATCTAACACTTTAAATGTTTATATGAACTTGGCGTATGTTAATATTATATTTTATTTTTTATTAAATTGGAAAAGAAAATTATTTAAAAAAATAATAATAAGATAAACTTAAAAAAAAACTTCTATTTAATTATATTTATATAAGAGTAATTAGATTGAATTCGATTTTTAATTAATCTGAATGAGACTTATCATGTAAGGATAAATATCAAAGTATTAAATTTGTGAATTGTAAATATGAAGATTTGAGATGAAATCAATTATATAGAGTTATTTTTATTAACTATTATACATAAAAGAATGTTGTATATTATTAATGGATTTGTAAATATTTTATTATTTTTAGTTTATGTAATTAAGTTATGATAAAATATATAATTATGTATACTTATTAATTACACAGTAATGTGTATTTGTAATAAAATGATATATTTTTCTTTTGAAATAATTTTTGAATATTTACATAATATAAATTTAACCAATCTCTGAATAATTTTCCTTTAATTTTTATTTCTCTCAAATTTAATACAAACCTAACCTTAAACATTCTAACAGAAAGTTCATGAAAACTTGACCACATCTTAAAAGACTAAATAAAATTCACATCAGCAATAAGAAGAAAAGTCCTATCTTTATTTAGAACTCGAAAAGTCCTATCTTTAGGACTTACACGAGTCTTTTCTCGTTAGTTGGAAAATTTTGTGTTGGATAATTTTATTTTATTTTATATTGCAATATTATTTTTTAATAAACGGTGTATATGAGTGCACGACAGTATCTGGAATGGTATGCTGTTACGATATTATAGAAATTAAAAAACATTTATACGGAAAATAAAAAGCAGAGTTTATGGTTGAGATTAATTAAAAGATGTCTGGTTAATCATTTCTGATCTTGTTCTACAATTATATAATTACTCTTTCAAAATTTGTTTTTTTAATTCAAATGATTGTACCCAATATTTGACATTAAAGAGAAAGAAAAGTTTTGAAATGGAAGGGTCCTAAACTAATCCTGGTAATGACAGGGTGGAGAATTGATGGCATTCTATAAAGGTAATCAAATCTAATAAAAGACTTCAGGGTCTGTGCAGGTGGCAACATCAGAAAAACCTAGAATTTGGAAATTACTATGAAGATTTTGGACATGACAAAAAAAAAAAGACAGAACAGTAAAATAGTTGGAGGAGGAAATTCGGAATAATAGATGATTTTTGGTTGTAGAAGTGAAGCATCTGCACCGTCCAGTGATGGGAGAGAGTGCAAGAAGGGTAGGCATGCATGAATGAATGAATGCTTTCCCTGGTCTTAAGCAACCTTTGACCTCTTAATCAGAACCTTAACCATCCAATTTCCCACATGGTTGCCAAAACAGATTCCTCTCAACATACAAAACAATAACAACAATAATAATGCAAAATTTTGTTTCTAACTCTTAAACCCGCTTAATATGTTTGAACATGCACCCCACGTTCAATGAACAAACTCAAAAAAGAAAATAAAGACCAACACAGACCTCATCAAATATTCACCTCCAACTTTTTTTGGTCAAACTCACTCCTAAAAAAACATCTTCCATTTCATCTTGCTCTCCTCTGCTATTTTCCTCCCTTGCTACAATGTATCAAACATAGTTTGCCTTTTTTTCTCTCTTCCTACAGGGACCTGGAAACCCCATGTTTTGTTCTTGATGTTCATCCCTTGATATTTTCCATAGAACATATATATATATAGTTAAATAAAGGAAATTAATGGTCAAAACAATGGAACAAGAACAGGAAAGTTGCAGGTCCAAACTATTCAATTTCAAAGGAGTGCTTGAGAATGCAGGGAGGCATACAAAGAGTTTGAGCATTGAGAGTGCGGGCATATTAGATCCTGCTTCTTCAGAGGACGATCCAGCATCGTCAAAAAGTCAAGGATCAAGATCTCTGAATGATCCAGATAGGGCTCCTAAGCCAAGGGTAAACAAGGAGGAAATGTTAGCCAAAGAAGCCAGAGACAAACTAGCGCTAGGTAAACATTGTGTTAATTTAGATTGGAATCTACTTTACTTTGACATGATTCAATGCATTTTATATATTTTATTGGTACTAATATTGTTTCCATGTTACAACGTATTGATTTTGAAACTGTTTCATTCAACGTCTTTTATTTTCAAACTTTGTGGATGTGTTGCATTTGATTAGTCTATAATATTTATAAACGGTTGGGTTTAATTCAGAAATGGAACAGATGAAGGAGAGATTTGCTAAACTACTGTTGGGGGAGGATATGTCTGGTGGAGGAAAGGGTGTTTCTTCAGCTTTGGCATTGTCAAATGCATTCACAAATCTTGCAGGTATGTTGCCTCTTGCTTTCTTTCTTCTTCTTCATCTAAGACATGACCTTCTTCTTTCTATCCAGCTCCAATCATGATTGGCGAGCATTGTGCTGTTCCTTCCATTTTCAGGAGTGCTTGATAGCAGAAATGTTTCAAATAATTCATTGTCAGTTTCTCTCATTCTTTTCTTACTGAGAATGCAGCTGCTGTTTTTGGAGAACAAAAGCGCCTAGAGCCAATGCCACCAGAAAGGAAGGCAAGATGGAGAAAAGAAATTGATTGGCTTCTATCAGTCACCGATTACATTGTTGAAATGGTTCCAGTGCAACAAAAAAACAAGGATGGCTCAACCATGGAGGTAACCCTCTATTCTTTCTTATGTTTCTCGTTCTTCCTATCATAATTGCTGTATGATTGAACCCGATCTTTGGCTAAATAGGTTATGACAACACGACAAAGAACTGATCTCCACATGAATATCCCTGCCTTACGAAAGCTTGATACAATGCTTATTGTAAGATCACTATCCATGCATTCTGATTCCCTCACGAATTAAATTTGATAATTGTTTTTCTATATGCTTCAATTGGGTGTGTGTTATCATACAATTATTGATGATGAGCAGGACTGTCTAGATAACTTCAAAGACCAAAATGAGTTCTATTATGTATCAAGAGATGCAGATGATCCTGATAATAGAAAAGGTGATAACAAGTGGTGGTTGCCTACACCTAAGGTACCTCCAGAGGGTCTATCTGATGCAGCAAGAAGGTTTGTTCAATATCAGAAAGATTGCGTGAACCAAGTACTTAAAGCAGCTATGGCCATAAATGCTCAAACTCTATCAGAAATGGAGATCCCTGAAAGCTATATTGAATCCCTGCCCAAGGCAAGTCAAAAGGAACTAGTATTTGTTTAGAAGTCGTCATGGTTAACATTCTGAAATCTCACACACAACATGAATTATTATTTTTTTTAGAATGGAAGATCAAGTCTAGGGGACATGATATACAGGAGCATTACAGAAGAATTTTTCGATCCTGATCAGCTGCTAGCTTCCATGGACATGTCGTCAGAACATAAAATCCTAGATCTCAAGGACAGAATTGAGGCATCCATTGTGATTTGGAGGCGGAAGATGAACCAAAAAGATTGTAAATCATCTTGGGGTTCTGCTGTGAGTATGGAGAAGAGAGAACTCTTTGAAGAGAGGGCAGAAACCATCTTACTTCTCCTAAAACATCGTTTTCCAGGGATTCCCCAATCTGCATTGGATATAAGCAAAATCCAATACAACGGGGTAAGAGCATGTCCATATTCTACTTCACAAGAAATTATTGCATGGTCCGAAACCATGTTATCCTCACCAATCTTCTCATGACATGTAATCAAAATTTCCATATTCCTAAAAAAGGTTTATAATGTGTCATGTGGAGATTGGACAGGACATCCACATGGTCCTGAACAGTGTATTAATTTCTCCCCGTTCACAACTTCATTTTTGCATGCTTTTCAGTGCAATGTTGAATGACTATTTGGCAAAGTTGAAAAGGTCGTATTCTTTTAACATAATTAAGAATCACTTACCATTTCAGGACGTGGGGCAAGCTGTTCTTGAAAGTTATTCAAGGATATTGGAGAGTTTGGCCTTCACAGTGCTGTCAAGAATAGAAGATGTACTCCATGCAGATTACCTCACTCAAAATCCATCGAGTAGAAAGAGTGTTTCGAGAAACTCAAATTCCAAGCCAGATAAGTCTCCAACTCCAAAAGAAGAGGTGGAAAAGACTGGCTCAGAAACAATGACACTATCAGATTTCATGGGTTGGAGCAGTGATCAAGGTGAGTCAGACAATAAGAAAGACTCATCAGATGACTTCTACAGTGACATGGATAGTGGAAAGCCCCCAAAACTTCCAGACGTAGTGACCGACAAGAAGGTGTCCTATCTTGAGACATTGGGGGGTATGAGAAGTCCAACAGCACGCCATTAAGCCAAAAACTCAGATGTAAACATTTTGAAAGTGGGAGAGAAAGAACCCACAAAAACAAGTATTGGTCAGAAGCCTGTGGTCTGTGGAGGTGTTGTTTAAAAAATAATTAATTATTCTTGATCATCTATTTGTTCTTTTTGTACATAGGAATGTATGAATACAAAATTACAAAGTCACCGGGGTTTGAAGAAGAAGCACTATCACGTATTGTATTTGCAAAATGTTTTATTGCATGAATTCATTCGCTGCCATCGTGTCTTCAAATACTAAATAACTCTATGATTAACGAGGACTAGGTAAAAAGAATTTATAACTCCAGTTTTCCAGTCATAGGGACTCAATCACTTTTCATTCATTTAACCCTTCGAAATGACAGTAAAATGGTTAAAACTCAGTGCATGCTTGAGAAATTAACCATTGTACAAAAATATTCTCCAGTTGGTTGATTCATTCATCACCATTTTTCCTCGAGCTATAAGCCATTTTGTTTTAAATAAATAATTCTTTTGTGCTAATTTATTAACATGTTGGATGAATCAAACAGGACCTAGTTAATTCTGAAATTCGAAAGTAATATACATGTTAAAGAGGTGATAAGGTGAACATTTAAGATCAACATCCCAATCAAATATATGTATGTCTTTACTTCAACTGAAAACCAAAGCAATGGCTCTCAATTAGACTGGAAAGAAGCATCTTTGAATGGTGGTCTGTAAGCATACTTACACATCATGCAAACCAGAAAAAAAAAACTTAAAAAGGAACTCAATAGATTGAGTTTTGATACAAATAAAATTAGATCTTGCCACGAGGGCCGAGCTTTGGTGGAAGTTGTGGCCCCTTCTTGATTGGTAGAATATCACCTGAGGCTGTTGCACTGAAGTATGCCAGGGTGGATCCACCTCCCAATATCAGAAACTTGAGTAACAATCCTCTCTTTGTGAATGGAGCAGCAAATGTCTCAAAGAACTTGCTCTGCAAATCCATATCAATGAAATAGTTAAGTAGTTTGTGTATGTATATATGCAATATGTGTTTGAGTATAAAGTTTAATTTTCTTTTACACAATCAACTAATCAGTAAAAAAGAGTTCCATCATAATCATTATAAAACCTCAAACGTAGGACTTCAACTCACTCTACTCTTTGGTAAGGAAAATTAAAAACGTGACTCTTCTATTGAGTCTGACTCATAGCGAACATATCAAAGAAATTATCAAATGGTTGAAAAGTGGGGAGAATTTACTTACTGTACTTAGTTGACATGCATCTGAATCAAGTTCTGCTTGTTTACCAACGAGGATAATATATGAATTATACATCTATGTTATCAAAATATATATATGTATATCGCTGAATTATCTTTAATTATCCATGTTTGATTCTAAATGAAGAAGATGCAGAAACAAAGATGGGACAAACCTGAAGAGAGTTGTAGGGTGAAGGTGCATCTGAGCCATACAAGTCCCACTGCCCAGTGGTGTTACCCAGATCCTCCAAGTCAAAGTACACACTCTTGTCACCATACTTTGCTACCACAGCACCATTCCTGTGATATTAGTTACACCTTTTTAGCATACATTACAATAGATAACTATAGTCCATAAGGGGTTTTTCACTTTTTCTTTTTTCTACTAAAATTGCAATTTATGCAAACCGATGCATGGAACCTGAAGTTCTTGGATTTGAGACTCTGGCGAGAGGGCTTGAAAGAGAGCTTAGTTCCAGTGAGGGAGCTTCCAGCAAGGCCATTGATCGCAGCTGGTTGAACAGCAGCTAAGGTTGCAAGAGAAGCCATGATGGTGATTTCTTCACTTCTTCAAACTCTCTTTCTGGTGCTGCTATATCAGTAATTCAGTAGAAGGTAGCCAATGGGGCATAGAAGTCTGTGTTTTTTATCTGTTACATGGAGCTCATGTGTCCACGTGGCCACATGCATTCACTTCAGCAGATTTGGAAATTCATTCTGAGGTCACACCTCACTTGAAGATAGATAAGCTTATCCACTTCTAATTCTTGCCCCACAAATATCCAAAACAATACAACATACATGTTATCTACTGTTCTTAAATATCAGTTAACCCAACTCTACTCTTTATAAAATAGAATAAATAACCCATGCATAAAAGAAATTATCATTTGATTTAAATACAAATAATATATTACGAATGATTTTTAAATAATCATTATAATTTTTTTACAATAATAGTAGATGTCTATAAAATTCTTAATGGCTTAGTTAATTTTCTTATGTTTAATATTATTTTTAAGTTTTTATATATATCTTGTTTAATACTTATAGATTTAGATGATAAATTTTAAAAATATTAATATTATATGTAGTGGAACTAAAATGGTATATTAAAAAATAAAATAAATAACTTTTAAATATAAAAGAAAAAGATAAAATTTGTATAAATAAGTAATTTAACGTAATTTTTTTTTGGAGTTTGTACCTACTTTTGTCGGAACCGTTTTGATGTTAACGTCTGTATAATCAAGTTTGTTTAATTATTCTAAACTTTATTTAAGTAGTCATTTTAATCTTTTATTTGATATTATATAATTTTTTTGAGAGAGATTTGAAGTAAATCAAGTTAATAATAGTTAAATCAAAGATAACTATTTAGCAACCTGCAAAATCTAAACTTTAAAATTGATCTAAAGAGATGAAATAAGAAATTTCATCTTAACTTTGACAAATTCTCATTATGGTCAGAACATATTTTGTAATTTATTTTTATTTCGTTTCTTTTTTAGTAAAAATAAATGTCTTGTAAAAAAAATTTTACATCGTTCGTGTATCTCAATTTTTAAAATATTATAAATAGTACGAAAGCACTAATAAATGATAATAACCCTGTAAACAAGATTTCTAGGTTCTAAAAACTTTTTGTCTCTGCTGTAATAAAAAAACTTACCTCCTGAAAATTCTATTTCCTGTTTTAAATGACACTAATGGAAAAACATTTAATTTTACTGCTGAACTGGATAGTGAGACTCAATTTGGTATTCCTTAAAGTTAATTAGAGGTGAAGATTCAAGGATGAGTTTTCCATGTAAAATAAGTTCCATCCATGAATTTTGCCTCCTATCATTTTAAAGGAACACAAAATATTCATCCATTCTTTAAAAAGGGTAGAAAGCCTGTAACTGTAGCTGCTAATCAAATCCTATCTAGCTAATTATCTTCTCTCTCTCTTGTTTGTCTTGGCTAACCATCTTCACACTGTAAACATGTTCTAATATTTCTTAATGTACAAGACACAAGATTATTAGCCGATTCCACAGATTCCATGGTTAACTTGGCTGTAGGAGAAGCATTGACAAGCATCTGGAATACCATTGTAAATAAAGACCCCTCTTCTGTTCCTTTTTCTTCTTGCCTTGACCTAATCACCAATGGCCTTCCCTCAATCCCATCAGGAAGAATTGAGAATCCTGACGGCAAAATGGGAAGATTACTTGAATCACATCCTGTCAGCACAGACTGGAGACTAGCAAAGTCCACTGGAGCATATGCCACCATTGACTCAAAAGCACTTGTGCAGCTATCTTGCAGTACCCACACACTGTTTTCTTTTGATTGTATTTTCTGCCAAGTGAGAGGAATCAGATGCTTAACTAATAACAATCTTTAATATGCACTATGTACTGTTGTTCATTGTGTATTTATTGACTATTCAACCCTCCACAAAAGGGAGACAGTAGTAGAAAAACTTACTTGGACGTTTACAACATTGCCTCGGTCTTTTCCTCTAGCTAAATTTGCAATGGACTGCACCGACCCACCACTGGACATCATATCCCACTGTGACAAAGATAAAACCGAATGGCCCCATTTGTTATTATTAGTCACCAGACTGCGTAAATAGCTGCTTTAGATATGTATATGTAGAAAGATAGAAGGTGGGTGGAACTCTGCAACTTTGTATCTTCCAAGATGCATCTAACTCTAGTAGCAATTGCTAATAAGAGTATTGTTGTGACACAGTCAATAATTCTGTTTATTAAATATGTGTGATCAAGGACTCATCCTCACAGCCACAGAAAAAAAAACTAATTACTCTTTTAAATGGATTTCACTGTCTCGAAAGAAAAATCCTTAACATCTGGCCTAGCTTGGATTTATCAAAAAAGAAAAACAAAGAATGGATGCATCACATTTGTACCTCACTTCGACGAGCTTCATCCCTCAAGAAATCAAACAGCACATTACGAGAGACAGGAAGCCATACAGAAGAAACCGCACACAAGATAACCCCAAGAGGTTCACCGGGGTCATTCATGTTCTTCCTAGAGCTTATCCTTATGTCTTCTCCTGTTTTACTCGTGAACTTGGTCCATGTATGGAAACTTGACGCGCCAGCTGCATGGCAAAAAGTCGATGTCATTCTTTGTGCCAACTTCAAAATGCTTTTCCTCCCAGCCAATGTTGCAACACCTATCATTTCATCACCAATATTTTAAGAAGACTTTAACTTGTTAGGTAAACCTACACGAAGCTCCTTGGAATTCAGTGCTCACCACTTGAATCCTTCGTAGGAACATTTGTTGCCATGTTAAAAACTAGTCGTTCACATTGAATTTGTAATGTGGTTATCCAATGCCTTGCCCCAAAAGCTAGGCCGCTGTTGACAATGTTTCGATACAATGTATGGATTGTGCTCCTCTTGCACTCCAAGTGCTCCACCCATATCACCTTAAACCGAAAGCAATATCAATATATAGTCTGAGTTTAACAGAAAATGTTAAAAACTCTGTTCATACCTTGCAATGGCCATTTGATTTATCCTCAATAATACAACCAGATGGTCGTTTTCTACATTTCACGAGGGATGCGTCAATGTTGTCTTCTACTTTGTCTATAGATACATCAATTATTGCCCACTGTTCATCACTCAACTGTTTGCAGCACCTCACAAAATACACTTCTCTGGTGGGCACCATTGGAGTAAGCATTTGCAGCTCAGCAAACATCTGCAGCCATATTACACATGGTTATTACTTTGTGAGACTTTTCATGTCATACAAAACCTCGTGCCTTTCTGTACTTCGATGGAGAAAGTCTCACTGTCATTATTATCCATGTGTAAGGACCTGAACAACAATATCATGTTTATCTCTCTATCTTAATGTATTGAACAGGAAATAAAGCAGAATTTCTACAATACTGTAGAGATATGACAGTGATAAAGAAGGATGGAGAGAGATTTTGTGTTGGATCCGATATTGGAAAATGCCAGGAAAGTGCCAAGAGTTGCTAAATGATGTAAGTTCGATCTTTTCTATGTATTCTTTTAAGCTTTTTTGTGTCCTTATCAACACTTTCTGAGATACAAATAAAAGGTCGTAAAGAGACGGAAAAAAGGTATCGGCACTTCCATTCCCCAACGGAAGAGTAATGCATGACGGGTGATATATAATAAATAAAACCTGAATAGTATCTGCTAAGAAAATTAAACTATAATCATAATCCAGATGCAGACAAAGTGTCTTTTGTTTTTTAATCTTAAACTTGAATAACAGTTGGTTGAAAATTACAAGTGTGGGAAAGGTCACTTTAAAAAGAAGTCCTATCTTTTTCTTGTGCTTATCAAGGTTGGACCACTTGAATAAATAAAAAGGATCCACGTTCAAACATGAGGCCAAAATGAATGGCTCAAGATAAACGAGACATCTATTTCGTACGTATGTGTGGTAGTGTAGTATGACTACCTAACACTCTGAAATTAAATTATCTTCCCCTTACCAATTGCACTGCACCATTCCTGTTGGAACCTTCTCCATTGCATATAACATCAACAGTTGCAGCCTTTGATATCAAGCACGGAAACATTTCCTTCCAATGATTCTGCAAGGATCATTTAAGAGAGTCGAACTTATATTTAATCTTAATTTAAAAAATTGCAAAATCATTTGAAGCAGTCATATGATGCAAGATTTAACAAAAATATATCCGTTGGTAACATTACCAATGAAACATTCGTTATATATATATATATATATATATATTAACATCCTCGTACGTGTCTTACACTTACCACATCTAGAAAGGTTTGGAGCAGCTGAGGGAGATCCATAAAAACAACCTCGGTGTCTCTTGAGGCTTCGATGAATGCCTTTGGCCTATCACCGCACAAATTTTCAACTGCGAACTCCTTCACATATTCATCATAGTTAAGTATTTCACGACCTGCTTCAACGCTACGAACCCATAATGGTTCCCCCATGTTTGCCATCTTTATGAGTTCCTCCGTTGCCCGGTTCACTATTTCCACTAACCTTGATTTCTCGAGCCCGAAAATTCCATTGTAAAAGTCGAAAGAGCTTCTATTCTCTTCCTCATCATGACCATGACCAGCACAAGATGTAGGAGATGTTGGTGAACATTTTCCCAAAGCTGCTCGGAGTTTCTCTACCTATAAAAGGATTAATTAATCAGAGAATAATATTTTCAGTAGGATTGTAATATGCACGCATTGCTCAAATAAATACACCTTTTTTTTCTATTTCAATGTTCCTTGTATATAGAGTATACGAAGTACCTCAGCTTTGAGTTTGGTATTTTCAATAAGAAGTTGTTTTTCTTCAGTGGACATGGAAGCATCTATGGTAGCCGTTACCATGCCACAATTGGGGCAACAAGATTTGTTGATGGTCTCCCGCATGACCTTATTTTCCTCCCTCAGTTTGTCTAATTCTGTCTTCAACAGTGAGTTTTCATGGCGCTCTTGTATTGTCTGCAAATAGGCAATAATAATAATATGTAGTACTTCCATCAGAAATATTCATTCATTAATGAGGTCTGCATTCTTGAGGAACAGTTAGGTGAATAGATTAAGATACCTTGATTTGGGTTCGACGATTTTGGAACCAAAATTTGACTTGCCTTGGAGCAAGGCCAAGTTGCTTGCTGAGTTGTTGCCTCTGCTTTTCATCAGGATGCGGTGATTCCTTGAAAAGCCTACAACAGTACATTATTCATGTCAGTTGTCAGCTTTTTTTACTGTCTTATCTTTCACTACAAGCTTCATCTCTGGGAGACTGATCCAACAATTAATGTTCAAATGGAGTTTAATAATGCAACAACACAAACTAATTAAAGTGGAAAGAGAGGGCAAAGTGCTTTGCATTAGCACAAGATCACAAACTAAACCGACAAAGCAAAAGTAATTAAAATATTATAAGCAAGCTTTAGCTTTAATAATCATCTTTTCAATTTGACCATATATGATATCGATCCCAAACTTTTTTCATAATCTTTGCAGTAGTACGGCATATATACATACCTTACATCTATATATAAACTATGCTTTAAAACCACTTTCAATGTCGGCATGTAAATTTTTTAACTTTGTAAGAAACCATTTCATTGTTACATATAACACCACCACTGTTAGTTAATTGGGTGCAGATCACAAATGTGTGACGACAATCATGTTGGAATTAACTACTACAGCGTTATCACAAACAGTATCTCAGTATTTAATATTAAAAAACTCGAACTCACTCAATGTTTTTTATTAAACTGAGACAATCTTAGATCAATTAATTGATTGATCAACACCTATGCCAAGGTGTGTGCATATATAAAATGATCTCACAAGTCATAACCATTAATCAGTAAGAAAAGCTGCTCCTTAATCTTAAACAATAACTCCAAGTGTCTCTCACTCCAACAATGAATGTTGAACTGAAGACACACCTAAAGAAAGAAAAAGTGAAAGAAATTATAATGCTCAGTCTCATCGATGGTTAATTCAACACCAAATTAATACGTAGATATACGGAGAGAGAGTTTACGTACGCTTCCATTTCTCTGATCTGTTCAACGGTGTGTCTGTGATACTTCCTCTTCTTCTTCTTATTCTTATCACCATCATCGTTGTTCTCATCATCGTCATCCTCATGAACACCTTCTCCATCAAAATCCTCTTCTGACCTGGATCTCACAGGTCCTGAGTTGTCACTGCTAATCTCAACAGTATCCTCTCGCCGGACCTCATGCCCGGCCACCACCATGCGGGACGTCGCCGCCGCCTCCTCCGCATGCCGGAAAATCCCAGCCTTCGCATCCAATCAAACAGACAAAAATACAACAAAGTTTAATTTATCTGCATAGATACTATATATTATGCACATATATATAAATATGTAATATATGTATATACAAATATAGATAGATAGAGATATACATATAGATATATAAAGAGTTGATTACTTACTAGGCTAAGAGAGAGAGCTGGAGAGGAAAACAAGTCTTTGGTGTGAGGTGGTGTGTTGGACATGTTAACTCCCATTGGCAAACACGTTTACAGTGCTTTTGCTGTTCTTGATGATGTTTTTTAAGGAACGAAAATGGCGAGTTCTCTTTCTCAGTGAAGGAGTGAAAATGATGTTTGGTTTTAAGGACCCTTTCTCATGTTGCACGCTCTCGTTATTCTTTAAAATAATAAAAATAAAAACAGACTGTCAGAACAATTTGTGTGAAAATAGAGAGATATATATAGTGATAAATGCTGCCAACATTTTATCACCCAAATAAGAATAATTTTTAATAAAATAAGAGTTTATTGTATTCAATTGTTTCTAGAATTTATAATGTTGTTATTATTATTATAGCCTGTGTAATTAATTTTATTAGGAAATACTAATCAAGTTTAATCAGTAAGTATTGAATGATTAGAAAAAAAAGTAAATCAACAAGTATATTGAATTTATTTATTTAATTTTGATAACTCCATTTTATCCACAATTCAAATTATTTAATTTTATTATTGAATGTGTGCGGCGTTATACGTTGAACTTTTAATAATATCATTAACCATAAGTACTATTTAAACTATTTAACTTATGATTATATTTAATAAAATTTAATTGTGTATTTTCATTGACTAATTTAAATATTTTATTAATATATTATAAATATATAACGTCAATTAATTGGAAATAATGTTTATATGTTTTTAATGTAATTATTATTATTAAAATAAAATAAAAAATCATTATATAGTTGTTTTGATTGAATAATAATGTACAAAATTTGTTTGAAATTAAAAACTATTTAATAAGTGAGTTAAATTTATTTATTTTTTCACAAATTCTTTAAAGCTTCAAATGATATGCTACATATCAATTTTGAATTTAATATAATGTAATGATATTTTAAAATTCTTGTTTACAATAATATATGAATCTTTGTTAGTAGGAAAATAAAAATATAAGTTGTGTGATAAATTAATTTATTATAAGAATACATTACAATATTTTTTAAAAAAGTTTTCCAATAGTTGTACTCCTTACGCATGTTAAAAATTATTAAATAAAAGAAACGTTTAAAAATTTTCTTTGTTGACTTTTCCTAATTACTTTTTACATTAATTATTTTAGTCCATAAACAATAAATTTGCTTTTAAAAAAAATCCACTATTCTCTTAATTGTTTAAAGATAATTTTTAAGTAAGTACTATTACAGTTAGAAATAAATTTAAAGCTACTTTAAATTGACTAGTTTATTTTAATGGAGATTAATTAGTAATAAGTTTATTGTGTTAAGAGATAATAGAGTAATAAATATTTTGAGTAAAAAAATGAGAATAATAAATATGTTATTTAATATTTTATGATGCATTTATAAGCTGTGAGTTGGAATTGTACTGGATAAAGATAGTCAGCAAAGTGGACACGGACAGTTACTCCTTGTCATTAGTTCTGTTCCAGCATCTCATACTTTATCAATATTTATTATTTCCATTTTATGAATTTTATTCAGGATTATCATTATTTGTTAATATTTAAATGAAATATAATTTTAAATAAAAGAAAAAAATGATAATATAAGTATATAGATATTATATAAAATTAATAGAAACATTATTACTTGTACATTTTCTATATTATTAATTTATTTAAAAAAAAATTCTTCTTATTTTTGTAGATACATTTCTTTCTCTTTTCTTTTTTGTTAATTTTTTAAATATATAAATTATAATAATGGTTTTTTTTACTATTGTCTCTCATTTTATAAATAATAATATATTATTTTTTCTGGTAATAAAAAAAATTATGTTTGTATACCCAATTGATACATCTCCTTTACTTATACATATTTTCACGGTTGATCTAAGAGATTATTTTTGAAATAATTAAGTTAGTTAATAAATTAATTATACTAATTAAAATAATTAACAATGTTTAAAACGAAAAAATTATTGCATTTTAAACGAAATGATTGGTTGATTAAAAAATAGAAAAATATAATTTATTTGTTAGAAATGTTTATTAACGATAAAAGAAAGATAGAGGAAGTGGCAGTAGGAGAGATGAATTTAAGAATATAAAAACAAAAGAGAGGAACTCGTTAAGAATTTTTTTAATTATTTTTTTATTTTGTCTTTTTTGTTGGATATGAAGAGAAAAAAAAAAAAAAGACGGGTTGGTTCGGTATGATTGACGGTTAGATGTGGTTGTTGTTTTTATGAAGGGTTAGATATGGTTCTTCTTTTTATGAACGGTTAGATATGCTACGTTCCACAGCATCCACTGTTCCACCACACCCCCAACTAACTAACCTTTCTTCCACTGTATGAATTTTAAATCATGAAAAAATCAACGTTTTTCGTTTTAATAAATCAACATCTAAAAAGATAAGCAATTAAATATTGATGTATTTATATTATATATAATATATTTTCTTCCTTTTTTTATAATCGCTTTTTTATCATTAGGAGAGAAAAAAATATTATATCAAATTAGTAAAAAAATAACGTGAAATTATCTTAAGAGTGAAAAGAAACAAAAAAATTATAACTATTTTCATTTCATTAGTACTTTCATAATCATAAAATAATAGATCTAATAATTCCAATATATATATATATATATATTAATACTAAAAAATTACTTATGTTAAATTCGTAATTTAATTTTGTTAAAATTAATATATGTTATGGAAATATGGTATTGTTGTTCTCTTTTTCTATAAAAGAAATATTATAAATGATAAAGTATATTTTCTAAATATTTATCATGATTGATTTTTTTTAGAAATATTTTCATGTTTTTAATAAATAAAATATAAAAATCATATTATTTTATGATTAATATCTATATCATTAGTTATAAGAAATATACTAATAAAATATGAAAAAATATTTCCTAATAATTAGAAACATTATGTAAAATTCTTGTCTTGATATAAATATACACCTAACTTACTTTATTTTTAAATATTCACAATACCATGATTTTTATTATTATTATTATTGGAATACACGTTTATTAAATTAGTTATGTTTTGATTTGTTAGTAAAAGTTAAAAGCATTAAATATAATACTTTATTTTCAGAAAAAAAAAGAATATATTTTTATCTTTAAAGGTTTCTATTTTGAGACTTAGTGTGACTTTAATGTGTGGTCCACATTTTCAATAAATGAATTGAGCTACCAAGTCACGCGTCACTCACAGGACAAATAAGAGAAAATGGTGACCAACAACATCGTGTAATTTTGTTACAAAACAATGCCTACTTTCACTGAATAACTATGTTGTCCTTACCATATAAATGCTCCAAAAATCCTATTTATATATATATATATATATATATATATATATATATATATATATAAATATTTAAAATAAGAGTGATAATTGAATTTTGTTCAAATTTTAATAAATAGCTTAATTGATTTCAATAAAATAACAAAAAATAGTTAAGTAGCATCTAAAAAAATTATAAATTTATAATTATGTGAAGTAAGTTAAGAATAGTAAAAAATTAAGTATTAGTATATTATATTATTTAAGTATAATATGGATTAATCACTGTTTTATCTACTACTACAAACTTGTTTTCTTGTTTCCTTCATTTTTTTCAACATTAAAAATGTTTTTCAAAAATAATCTCTCCTTCTTTTAACTATTAAAACGACGTTTACTTAATTTTTCATGTCAATTGAACCTAATATTCAATGTGTCCTGTCACATTCTAGCAACATTAAACAACAAAAGTTACCAGAAGATCGATTTGAGTGATCAACTTGTCTTTCTAAAACGTTTTTAGCAAAACATGTTTTATCAAACTCAAATTCTTAAAAGGATAATTTTTAATTCAAAATTATAATAAAAACACAAAGACTTTAACAAGTATAAGTAAATAAGTTTTTCTTAATTGAAGACTGATTATAGAGAAAGTCGATAAATATTAAATATATATATATATATATATAAATTAAAAAAATATTTTTTTATCATTATAAATATATTTTTTAAAATATATAAGTTACTTTGAAATAAGTTTGAGAGGCATCACGTTCTAAATTTCAACCACATTTTGTCCCAAGACTTTTATAGCATGTGGTCCACTTTATTGACTCTAAATCACATAATATTAAAAGCATAAGCACTCTATAACAAAAAAATTGTGCATTTTTTCTTCATTACATCACAACTGTAAAATGATTTAAAAAGAAAAAAAATTTGAGACTTTCTAAAGTTATCAAAAATTAAACCTTGAACAACTAATTTTTTCGGACATAATTAATATCAACTTAGGAAGTATACAAACAAAATCATATACATTATATTTATTTACTCAAATCTTCTTTTCATAAATTAAAAAAAAATCTATATATAATTATGAGAATTCCTCTATTCACATGTAGGATGGTGAACCTATCTATGAGATGTTATTTTCATAATCAAAACATCATAGGCCTCTAGTATCTAATGTTAAACTCGAAACAAATCTCTAAATAAATAACAAATGTCTCTTTCTATTTAGCTAGCTATATATTATTAAAAATATAAGTTAAAAAATAATATTTAACTGTATTAGCTAATTATTTTAAATTTATATAAAATAAAAAATATATAAAAACTTTAATTATATATCTGTATGATGTTTCATATATATAAAATAAGATTTTTTTTTTAAATTATCGATAAAATATAATAAAATTTTATATTAATTAAAAATATTATAATATTATAATATATAAATGATTATGTATATGGTAAAATTAAGTTATATATTTCATTATTTTTAAATGGTATTAATAATATTAAGATATAAAAATGTTGCTCAAAATAAGAAAAATAATATAATTTCACGTATATTATATATATATATATATATATATATATATATATATATATATATATATACTTTCTCTATTTAGCGATTTTATAAATATCTCATAATTTTGAATAATTTTACTTCATATTCAATATATTATTGATTTTACACTATAATTTTTATGACTAGAAGATATTTAAATGAATTAAAAAAAATTAGGATAG